ATAACAATTCAGAATGACAATACAGAAGGGCCAAATATGGGTCCCTGGTGCATCCCATGGGTCATCTGACCTTTGTCAGAGAATGACCACATAAAGGCCCGAATCGTTCCCTTGTGTGCTACCTGCTGGGGAAACTATTCAGGTGACCAAACTCCTAGGATGTGTGTATGGGAGGGGGTGCTGAACAGATGTGTTTTACTCCCTCATTAACATCAGAAAGAGCTACTCTGATTGAAGGTCCTGGACCAAGGGGGCTCTATTTCTCATTGGATGTGGACTGTCCCCATTCACTCACACACACACTCACACACACTGACCTCTTTAAAAGGCTTCCACCTACACTGCCAGCTGGCAACTGGTTAGGTTTTGCTGTGGTCTCCACAGTCCTCACCACAGATCCACGCACATGAGCTCTCCGAACACCTCAGGTCGCACACACCCATACACATGTTGGCAGCCTAACACAGACATTCACTTTCCACAAATGATCTTCCCTGTGTAATGTTTCTGCAGGGTCAAACGATCCATTTCGAATAAATCTTAAAAAGTGAAATAAGCTCTGTGACCTTACGTATCAGCCACAACCCAGATTCAAAAACCTTTGTAAATTAAATACTTTTGAAATCCCTGCTAACTGTTAACTAGTTGAGAATACGGCTCCCACAATCGTCAACAAAGTACTTAAGCGGCGAGACGCATGGTGATTCAGGTTTCGCCCGACTCTTTTTCAAGTCAAAGAAATAAGGCTTACTGTAATCTGCACTGGCAGCACCGTATGTTATTTTTCTGTCCTAATTAATCTTACAGGAGGTGTAATTCAACTTCAGATTAGGCCCGCACCTCACACAGATTAATTAATGTCTCTAATCAGCAACAGCTAAATTAATTTTGCCCTGATTCCGCGCTTTTGAATTTGCATGTGCTTAAAGCAGGCTCTTTATTTCATTATGATATTGAGAGAAGATTCTTGCGCACACACACACACACACACACACATACACACGAAACAAGTTAGGCTGCTGTAAATGGACATGCACACATGCACACAACTGGATGCGGGCATAAACTGTGTTATTCACTCGTGTTTTGGCACACACAGCACACAAGGCGCATGTACACACACGCTCGCGGCAGTAGCCAGGAGCTGTTTGCAGTAGAGTGATATTGATGGGGCTGTGGGAGTGATGGAGAGAGAGAGGCTGAAGAACAACGCAGCAGATGCGCTGACAGTTGTTCACAGGCAACCTTGTGCATGTTTAATACCACCCCAGCTGATCCTGGGCCTGCCGAACACAGGAGAGCACAGCTTCCGTCCAGCATGCATGTGTGTTTGACAAAGCCATCTTTGCCCCCGCAGCAGCATATACGATCGGCCCATGTATATGGGGAGATATAGGGAGGAAAATCGCATTCAGCTGGTCTAGAGGTGTGTGAAATGGCACAGTAATGCATGGCCTAAAAGCAAAACACATCTAAGCTAGATTTTTGAGGTGGAAGAACTATTATCAATAGTGTAGAGTATGAAGCACAGCTCAGAAGTCAGTTTCAAACCAAGCAGCGTTCTGTCTATCAACACAACCAACTTTAACCCGAGGGGAAATCTTTCACCTTCACACAAAATTCCTGATCGGGTTGATTCCTATTGAAATGACTGGATTTCACTCGTGAACATTTTCTGAACAATGTAAATGCGACTGCACCTCTAGGCTTGAATTATTCTCTCTGAATCAAACATACAACTCTCTATCCATAATTGAAGCACCAACCAACTCAGAGAATGTGAGGGATTTTTAGGGAATTGTTATAAACGAACGGTTTCCCATGCAGGCAGCACTTGTGAAAGTACAATTAGCGGTCATATGCTGTGAACACTTGCCAAGACACACAGAAGAACGTCCAAAAAGGAGAAGTTTTTGAGAAGAAGGCTTGAAATCAAACCATGCATCGCTAAACTCTCTGAGGGTTTCTTCTGATAAGGTAGAGATGAGTTTGTCTTTGTGGTGCCAGTGAAAGAGTGCTTGTTTTCTTTTTTTCTCCCTCTCAAATGAAGCACACCATAAAATGGTGGAGGGCAGAAGAAGGAAGTGTGGGAAGGTTGTGGGCAGGATGGATGGATGGATAGATAGATAGAGCCACTCCTTACATGAATATTTCATTAGCAACCTGTCTGATGGTCTGGAGCCTTCATTTAAAGCCCCCCTTTGAGGTCTTATTTTTTTGCTCCATCTGGACCTGTTAGCTTTCAGAAACCCAACAAGCACCTCTGGCAATGCCACTGAGGAGTCTTAACAGAACACAAGCTGTTTCCTTCTAGTTTCGCCTTTTGTCTGATAGTAAACAGGTATTAGGGAAAGATCATTGTGTTCCGCGAAATCAGCCTTAAATAAAAGTACTATAAAGCCTGCAGTCATTTTTTTTTCTGAAGTGGAGAAGCTGGAAGCTGTTTCAGGCAGTGCAATAGAAGTTATATTGATGACATATGAGGAGATATAATTGTATTCACACCATAAATATGTGCTTTAAAGTGATAGTTCACCCAAAAATGAAAATATATGCTCCCTGATGCCAGTCCAAAACTGTCTTTATTTCTTCTGTGGAACGTAAAAGATATGTTGACTGATGTCTCATTATTATTATTTTTTTTTTTCCCCATTGGTAACTAAAACTGTTGTTTGGTTACCAACATTCTTCAAAATATCTTCTTTTGTGTTCCACAGAAGAGTCATACAGGTTTGGAATGTCATGAGGGTGAGTAAATAATGAAATGATTTTCAGTTTTGAGTAAACTACCTTTTTAAATCTTAAAAAAAAAGTATGGTGGTTGTTGTTTTGCATTCTTACTTGAGAAACAGAATTAATTGTACCTCTCCAAAAAGTACAAAAACATTGCTTATGTAACAACAAATTATGTAAAGTGTCTCGTTGGTTTCTCTCTGAGAGGGAACCTGGTGTTGTTTTGCTCGTGAAACTGTTTGAACAGCTAGTGACCGACGGGCCAATCGCATGCTGAGAGCCACCGAGCATCTGCCGGGAGATTTGCATATTAATTGACCCATATTAACTTCCAAAAAAAAAAATTGATAGACTCTAAACTCGGCCAACAAATTCATCTGCCTGTGCTTCTAAACCCTCACCTGCCGATTTTATGGTAGGGTATCGCGGTACAAAGACGTTGTGCTCAAAGGAAAGAAAACCTAAAATTGCAGGTTTTGTTAGCGTGTGTAATTTGTGTCGTCTCTTTTCAGCTCTCTCCCGCCCTGAGGCGGTTTGGGCTTTTTGTGGTTGTTCTTTTCTCCCAGAGTGCAACCTGACTGATAGTTCGTCTGAGATAGAGGTTGACTTCTTTATCTTCCTCTGTGCAGCATATTGTGTTCTCCTCTCCTCCTGTCTTTTCTCCTCCTCAGGGTAGCCCAGTGAGCTATTGTGTGTCTCCAGCCCTACGATCTTACACACACACACACACACAGGCACTCTGAGGCTGGTAGAGGCCCAGAACAGTTGTCGAGAGAGAGGGGTAACATGTGCATGGGGTGGGCACAGATGGTGGGTCTGCGTGGGGGAGGAAGGGGGAAAGGTGGGCCGTCTGGCGGCATGAGCAAGCCTCAGAGAGCTCTCTCTCTCTTTCTCTCTTCCTCTTCTCTCCTTCTTGCCTGTTGCGTTGGGTCCTATAGTAGACAAATGGGAGTTTAATTCAATTAGGGCCAGGCTACTGTTGCCGCTTCACGGCAGGGTCTGTGGAGCACCGCCACCCATTTACTGATGGGTGCACACTAGATAAGTGCTCGCGCGCACACGCCGTCTTTCTCACTCTCCTTTTTTCCACTCTCACAAATATTGGCAAGTACTGAAATACTTAAATACAAGGAAAACAAAGACCACCACAGTACACACACACACACACACACACACACACACCCTCTCCAGGTTTGCAGTAATGGTTCACGCATAGCTGAGTTTTCACTGAGGATCACCACAGCACAAAAGCGGCCCCTCTCTTCCTGGGCCCTTTGTTCCCCCAGCACCAGTGTGACCTCTTCGGCTGCCCGGCCTTAAAACAAACATGGAGAGCCTTCTCCCCCCATCACATGCACCATAAACAAGAGCACTTTCACCAACAGTTATCTTCATGCTAACCTTACAAGAAAAAATAGACTCAAGCCAGACGCTATCTGTCAGGTTCAAGGCCTTCGCAGCCTTGCGTGGGAGTCACGGATTCATTGTTGAAAAGTGTGTAGTTTTCTACAGAACTGCTCCATGGCTATTTATATGCTTACATACTCTTGTTCAGATTGAAGAGTTTCAGCATATATAAGCATATGAACTCTTTCTTTCCCATCTCAGAAAATGTATATCTTTTTATTTATTTATTTATTTATTATTTTTTTTAAATACTATTAAATCCTGTGCATTATTTGATTTGTCTTAATGCTATAATGTACCTTTTAAATACTCCACAGATATTTTATATTTATATTATTTTATTGTTAAAGGAATGCATTTCCAGTATAGGACACAAGGACGTCTCGACCAATTTCATGTTCTTCATAGACTGCTTAAAGTTTTTTTATTCATTAGACCTAAAATTGGATACATTATGCAACTTACTATTATATCCAACAGGTGAAATCAAATTCTTTGGCAGTTCCCTTGCATTAAAAAAAAAAAAGATTCTCTGATATTACATTTCCCATTCTTTTAGATCAGACGGCTGCCTCAGCGTGTCCTTTACCTCTGTGCTTTATTTTGAAGCACAAAACAGGTAAAAGTTTGCCCTCCAACGCCCTTTTTGCGCATGATTGGAAGATGGCTGATTTGATTTGCATGGATCATTTCCAGGCTATAGCCACTAGGCAGCGACCTCCTTTCAAGTGTTTGAAGTCTTACCTAGTCGCCCCCTCCCCCACTGCACACTCAGGTGATGCGCACCGCACAGGAGAGAGAGAGAGAGAGAGAGAGAGAGAGAGAGAGAGAGAGAGAGAGAGAGAGAGAGAGAGAGAGAGAGAGAGAGAGAGAACAGAGTGGTTATTTTCCACCGTCTGTTCCGCCGGGTTTCATTACCGTGGCAGAGAGGCACCTGGGAAAGACCTGCGGCAGGCTGTGTGTTTCTCAATATGGATGTGGAATACGTGCTCACCTTTCTGTTTTGGCCGCTAAGAACAGACGGAAAGGAGATTAAAGGAAGGGGAAAAGATGGATAGCAGGCGGATTACCTGGGAACAGGAAATGTTGAAAAGGTGTGTGAGCCAGCGGAGGTGTCGTTCAGTTCAGATGGATGTGATTGTTGAGCGTTCGCTGTAACAGAAGCCTTTCCTGTCTGAAATATTCGAAGGCTTGAATCATCCTTCGCCACGTTTCAGTGAAATGGCTCCAATGGACATTGTGGCTTTGAGTTTGCAGGTGTGTCTGCAGTTTTCCCCCAAGCGCTGGGAACACACTCCGCAGATGAGATGAGAGAATTGTAAGAGATTGTGACAGAGCACACACATACCTGTCTAAACAGCTAAACTGCTCAGAAGAACATGTGTGTGTCTGTGTGATTGCACAACTCCAGGCAATGGAATGTGTGAACCTCTCCCAGTTAACGGGAACTCTTAGTTTGTCCAAACTGGACAGGCACAAGGTATTGTTTCTGCAATAATGTTAAATATTTGTTTGGTAATTCCACCATCAACATTTAAAAGATTCTAGCTGTATAGTGTTTTACTGAGTTCTTGTTAAGGATGACTTTTAGAACCATCTTGAAATGCATTATGCCTCATTCTCAAAGGACAGCTAGCAGAATGATAGGTGGGGTTGTTCGAGAATATGAAATGGCACGGAGAGAGAGAGAGAGAGAGAGAGAGAGAGAGAAGGGAGGGGAGAAAGGAGAAGTAAGGGCGAGAGAGAAGAGAGGTGGCCTCTTTGTCTCTAGGGTGAGCACAATGGACCGTTCACTGCAGGAATTATACAGCAGGGACAGCTGCCGGAATGACACACTAAAATGGCAGCCAATAGAATTACAATGGGGGCTGGACGACACAGGAGAAAGCACATTTGATTGGTAGATCGAAATAAAGTTACAAAGTATCAGTATGTTTTAATCATACTTCTCTTCTTACTTTAGTTTTACTAGTATATACAAAATAATATTAAACATTATGATAATTATTAATAATAATATTAAAAAATTAAAATTTTACTTAAATCAAAGTTACAACCTCAATTTAAATTGTATTACTGATGATGCGTTTCACATTTTATTACCTGAAAATGTGAACATTTGAAGAGTTCAGATGCAAAAGCCTCTAAATGCCATTTGAAATTTTCTTCTAAAATGACCATTTTTATCAAGCTTGTATATTTAAGTTCAGTAATTTCACTTAAATGACAATTAATAGGTAATCTCCATTGCCATTTAAGGGAAATTACTGAACTTAAATATACAAGCTTGATAAAAATGATCATTTTAGAAGAAAATTTCAAATGGCACTTAGAGGCTTTTGCATCTGAACTCTTCATTTATAGAAATTACATATTATTGGGACTAGTTAGATGGATGAAAACAAACATCTTATTACAATGGTGAAAACATGTATACAGTGATGTCTACTCCCACACACAAGTGCACAGCTGCATACAATATCTCAGTCACATCTGTCAGACCCATGTGACCTTAGAGGCAAATTGTTTGATGGATTGCTTTGAGTGGCCATCACTTGCTTTTCTATTACTGACACACATACACACACACACAAACAGGCAAAGTATCTGCTTGTCGGAATTCAAAACATGCCTGTTCCTTGTTCCAAAATGGTTTTCAAACCTCAGCGTTTTGTATTTATATTTGTGTCATGAGAGAATCTATGCAATTACAGTCAAATTAGAACATACTTTCATGACAAACCATACTGACTTTCTGTAAAAAAAAAAAAAAAAAAAAAATCTCAAGCATCCACTCAAGTATTCAAGCTATGTCATTAGGAATGTAGATAGCTAGCGTATGCTGTTGAAAAACACAAGAAAGAACAGGAAGATGTGATGTAAAGAGTTTAGTGTTTTGTGTGGGCTTAAAGTCAAACCGCTAAGCAGTTCACTATTATTAATATTCAGCCCTGACCTCTGTATTCATCCTCTTGATTCTTTTCCCAGTCCTCCCACTTCTTTCTTTTCCTTCAGAACACTCCCACCATTCAAACTCTGAATGATTGGCCGCAGCTTTTTAGCTCCGGTACCAACATTCAGTGCTGTCTTTCGTACGGTACCTGGGCAAGAAAGTGCACTTATTAGTGGGCTAAAGATAAAGAAATATATGGGAGTGAAAGGGATGAAATGTGGGAGGAGGAACAGAGGATAGAAAAAAAAGTCAAGATAAAGTTGCTTTACGTCCAAGGTATACTAAGACCACACAAAGAGCCTCTCATGTCTTACTTTCAACCACTCCCTTTATGTCTCTCTTTTGCTTTCTCTTGCTCGCCTTCTCCTTTTCATTAATGGGGGGGGGGGGAGGGTCTTCGCCCTCGGCCTGAAGTCGCTCTTAAATAATCCCGCTGGTCACACCTCTTAGTTAGAAAGCTTTTTGTCCCACGCCCCTCACCCCCGCCATACCACCTCACCCTACTCTTTGGTATTCAGCCCGGGTCAGTGCATTTCGACCATCCCTTGTACCCGAGATGGTTCCCCTTTTAATTTGCACCTGTTGCGCAGTTGTCCGGGGGAGCAAATGCAGGCCCACGGATCAGACAAAGATCATATTATGATCAGATACGTGCAGCTAATCTTCACGTCCTCTGGTGAGAACCGGCAAAGGGAAGCGGTCAGCTTTTTTTTTTTTTTTTTGCATGGGAACCTGTGAAAAAAAGACATCATTGGCATTTTTTAAAGTGGATGGGCTCCTAGGGAGAGATTAGGGCTAGTTAAGGTACGGAGGAGGGAATGGAGCGTTCCACAACCCAGTTGAGTCCATTTGACGCCAATGAACTGGGAAATAGTGCACTGATGGAAGGGAAAGTTTGTTGTTTTTTAAAACTCTGTGTTCAGAAGAGGGAGAAAATTGTCCTGAAATCAGCAATTAGGGGTTTTAATCTAACCATTAGAGAAACTTCCCACTAGTTCTCACTGCTTTGGCAGCGTGCCTCTGAGATAAGGTGCGCGGAGAGCCTGGGGAGATGTGTGCTGTATTAGGCAAGGAAAGAACTTCAAATGAACCTGAACGTTAAACTGTTGTTCCCATGATGTAAGCTTCATAGTTTATTAGACCCTCATCACCTCTCACCCCCAGAGTTGTGTGGGATTTTGGTTTGCTCTATCATGCTCTCTTCTGTTGTATACTAAGCAATCTGGTCTTGTGAGGCTTCCATTATCTTGACATCAAGTCTTTGGAAATGTTCTATTATATAATATATATTATTACTCAAGTATTTATTTACAATCTATTTACATAATTATTTTTAGATTATTTATATTATCCACAGGTCAGGAAAGGTTGACAACCCTGCTTTTTACCTTTTATCAAGCTGTGTACATTTTACACAAATGCCTATTAATCAAGCTGCTCGAACCCCCTATTTCCCCATTTATTTTCACTGGCAACCTCAACTGTACCGTTCTGTCTTTATTACCATGTGCTTAGTGCACATGTGAAGAAGTGGGTTAACAGGTCAAGATTGTAATCATACAGCCATACCAGTAAGACTGCACAAACTTCTTTTGAGATGTCGGTAAACTCACATAATAACACGTGAACTTTTTTCTGTCCTCAGTGCTGAGTTATGAAAATGTGGTGGATGCGGGTTCAGGGTCCGATGAGGAGGACAGACTGCTGGGTTCTGAGGGCGAAGGCAGTCCAGCAGGTGTGCCGAGCCTGGAGGCTTCACCCCGGGTAGCCGACGGCCTGTTCTCTTGCCGGGAGGATGAAGAAAACGAAAGCCGGGATGGGGCAGGGGCCCATGTCTGGCACCACGAAGACCTGAATGGTTCAGGTGAGAGTGAGAGCTGAGAATATTACAGTGAATTTAGGTGTTAACACATGAAACATAGCTGAGGTTAATTTGTTTTATCTATCAAACTCACAGTTTTCATATTACCAGGACAGACCGGCTTTATTTACTAGGCCAACACCTAGCAGCTGTCTGGCATTTTTGATGTAATGGCAACTTTTTCGACTATTAGCTCACTTTTCTACTTTGGTTTCTTACTGCTGTCACAAAGTAGGTTACACCTAATCTTTAGTGCATCATCACCCCACACCCCTTTCTTCTGGCTTCGTTTTGACTAACCCACCCAAAACCGAAAAGATCACGATCACGGACAAGACCCAAACTAGTGAGGCTTCAAAGATAAATTCTCTTAATTAGGATCGCAGAGCTATCATTTAGCAGGAGCCTGCCCTGCTGAAGACTCATTAAAGGGCTTAAATGAAATTTTTAGCATTATGATGGCCATTTACATACATAATAGGCCCACAATTCCCTGGGCCTGGCTGACAGTTACAGAGTGAAGGGAGAACTCATGCGAGTCGCCCGGTTTGAAAAAAGAAAGAAAAAAAAAAAAAACCAGACCCCCAGCAATCAGTCTCAGCTAATGACTAAACCATATGCATCACTTAACTTCAGAGAGTGTCACAGTCACAGAACTAAACAGGGTCTTCAGGGATGTGTCATCCGCTTGAACAGTGTTTTGTTTAGTTGATGTTCACACTATATGCTAGATTAATGAATGTCATCTGAGTTTATTTGAATGCCAAGCCTCTGGTAGCATTGCACTATTTTATCTTAGTGATTAAAAATCAAGAGATGTGTCCACTAGCTGGAAGAAAAATACGGTGGTAGATGCTGGTAGATCTTAAAAGAGGCTGCATGAATCATCTTCCTCTTTGCTGTGGTTGCTTGAGAAGATGCACCTCAAGTCTTTATATGCTTTTCTAAGACAGTGGGGGTTCAACAGACCACTTGTGAAAATGCTTCTAATTAGCATATTTTTTTCTTATTTATAAAAGTTTTTTTAATTGCTTTAATGTTTTTTTATTAAAAATTAAATGATCAGAATTTCATTTGAGTGAAAATTTTAATAGTGATTAGTTTCATTTTAAATTGCTTATTTGATTAGTCAACTAAATCTAAAATAATATACTCCACCGTTGTTTTACAGTATGCTCCAAAAATTTTTGAAAGAAGTCTCCTTTAGATATGTTATTTATTCCTCAGATGACAAAGCCATTACACCAGTCTTCAGTGTCACATGATCAGTCAGAAATCATTATAACATGTTGATTTGGTACTCAAGAAACATTTCTTATTTTATCAACGTTGAAACAATTGCTCTGCTTAATATTTTTATGGAAACCGTGATAATTTTAATCAGGATTCTTTGATTAAATAAAAAGTTCAAAAGAACAGCATTTATTTAAAATAAAAAATCTTTATTTTGTAAATGTTTTTAGTCACTTTTTACCAAATGATTTAGTCCTATCTGAATAAAAGTATTAAAGTATTAGTTTACCCAAAAATTAAAATTATGTCATTAATGACTTACCCTCATGTCGTTTCAAGCACGTAAGACTGCCATTCATCTCCAGAACACAGTTTAAGATATTTTAGATTAGTCCAAGGGTTCTCTGTCCCTCCTTTGAAAATGTATGTACAATATACTGTCCTTGTCCAAAAAGGAAATAAAGAAATCACCAAAGTAGTCCATGTGACACCAGTGGGTTAGTTTTGGTCCAAAAATAATAAAAACTACGACTTTCAGCATTGTCTTCCGGTTCTGTTGTTCTGAAACAACGCAAAGCTTCTAGGTTGCACATTGCACGTCACACAGGCTCACTACTGGCCCCACACTTTTGAGTGGTATATACTATTTATATATTAAATATAAATATATCCTAAGTTTTAATTGCTTTAACTAAGCCCTAAACGTTTGAACCAGACTGTATACATTATTATAGACAAGAAGAATATGAATATGTAAAGTGTTTGTATTATACACTGTATAGCAGTATCAGAACTTGGTAGTATCAGCACCTATAAGTACTGTAGCTCCAGTGTTTGCAAGCCTATTTATAAGCATACTAAGTCCATGTCAAATTGACAATTGAAACAAAATATCATTTAATTATGCACCAAAAGAGATCTGGAAATTCTCGTGTGATGCAGTGGTTAAAATCACACCATTGCCTCAGGGGGCCTGCAGCTACCACAAGCAGAACTGAGACTCTAATGTAGTTGCCATTTTGTCACTCGAGGAAACTATTTACTCGAAATTAATATCTGATACCTCTTTGGCTTTCCTTAAACTGGGTTTTCGGTGTGCTGCACATGACGTTCATACAGTATGTCCTTCATATGACCTTAAAATATCCACATGCTAATACCGCTAATCGCTAACCCTCCCAAAGAAGTTTTAAGCCAATGTACCTCAAAGGAAAACACAATTCTGAGAATATTTTCGCTGGCTCCAGGCCTTGCACTTTTATCTGCACGGCACAGAAGGTGACAATTTCACCAGGAAGGGGTTTTGTGAAGGCAAGTCCCCTATTAGCAAATGCCTTGTTTCATTAAAACTTTGTTCAATGAAATGCATCCAAGTAAAGCTTTTGATGCTCAAAACATATCCTTCAAGAAGCATTGCTCTGAGAAGTTTCTCTCTCAATGATTTCAAACACAGCTTTGAAAGACATCTCTTAAATGTGGTGAAAAGTGAGAGAATTCGCTGACTTTCAAAAGCTCTCTCGGTTGTCATACTTAGATAATGAGGAAGGAAGTGGAAGGCAGTTTTGAAATTAAACAGTACTTATGCTGTGGAGGCGCGCGGGGTGTGTGTGTGTGTGTGTCAGGAGTCTTGAGTACCCTTGTTTTCCCCCTGCGATGTGGTGTAAGAGGTGCTGTATATCCTCCTTTTGTGGGGGAAGCTTATGATACTTGTGACTGCCGGTATGAGGTCACATGAGGGGGAGGAGGAGGAACAAACACAATAGCTGCAGTATATGAGCAAACTTCTCTCAGACCACCCTCCTCTCCTCCCTAAATACCTTGACATGATTTGTTATGCCCTGCTTAAGAGAAGTGTATCATTCTCTGAGCTTCTGTCAACATGTTTGAGATATATGCCTTCCTGATATGTCCTCTCATCATCAGGATGATTTATTTATCATTTGCTGTGTCATATTTATCTGATCTAATTACACTCACACAAGCATTAAATCTGTTCATTAAAATGAACTGATAAGGGCAGAAGATTTGGTTATGCAAATGGTTTTTGTTTTTGTTTGCGATTATCATGATAATTTAAAACAAAGTGTTTTCTCTCTTCTACATGGCAATATTACAGAGGAAAGAAAAGCTGAGTACAACTCAATGAGCCCTGACATCTCTCTTCATGGAATTGGAAATGGTACAGGTGAGAACACTTCACAATATTTTTGAAATATTCGTGCATACAGTAGATAGACAATAAATAACTATATTTAGAGAGTTGGGTCAACCATTTTTAGTAATCAAGATACTTAATCAAATCTTGAGCATATTCATCATGAAATACTTCTTATGTAGGTGTGTAACATCTCTTAAGACCGTACGTAAACTTGAGCACTTGAGCGTCTGAGATAATGCTTCCTCGTGTGTCCATGGGAGATGGAAAGTAAACATTTTTTAGTTGAGTGCAAGTGCATGGCAAATCACATTTTGTTGCCAAATTGAGTTTAAGACCAAAATCGAATTTGTTCAGTCCATGTACTTTCAAATTGATTACAATGAAACAATAACATTTTCATTTGCTTACCCAAAGAGTCCAGTCATCTGAAGAAAAAGTATCATTTGCAATAACTTCTGTCATTTTATTAGTTATCTACCCATATTACCTCATGTTTGTTTTTTTAAATAAATCTACTTTTCTATAAGGCACTCTTGTCTACTTATCCTGTCAGTATCTTTTAGTTGTTCTCCATAAAGCATCCAAAAACCTATTGTTTACAAAAATTACGTTTAAAATCTTGTTCTGTGCAATTACACGTAACACATGATCCATAATTAGATTATTGAGTCTGATTTTATGTATACGATGAGCAATACAAAGTGAGATCAGTTACCCCAGCACGCCTAATTGCCATATAACTCAATTACCCATAATGCTGGAAATGTTTAAAGCATTTTCAAACATGCAAGAGGATGCTTAAAGAGTGCTTGACGATCAAGCTGGCTCCTATTAGTCTTTGAAGTGGCCATTATGTTGTAACTTAAATAAATACTTCCACCTTGAAAGGCCTTCTAATGGTTTGGTCTCCACTATATCACACTTAGCGGGACCAGTGTCCTAATATTCAGCTTGGTCCTTTCCAATGACACTGAGCATCAACCACTGGATTCATTTGTGTTTTTTTTTCTCCCCACTTCCTGTGTGCAGTTAAGGGTATTGATGCCTCTTCAGAGCTGGAAAGCTTCTTTGCCAAGAGGAAACTGGATGACGGTGAGGGACATGCAGCGAGCATTGCAGAATACCTGCAGGATACTGTTATCATTTATCCAGAAGATCCAGACGAGGGTACACGACTAGGAACACCGGAGGCCAACGGACAAGATGAAAATGAAAACGGTAGGCATTAAACTATACATATATAAAAAAAGACGCAATACATAAGAAGATGCTCTAACATTTACGACTCGCCAAGTGCAAGTAGAAATTGTTTTTGGTCTCATTGTCAAAGAGACAAAAACTATTTTTTAATAAAAACTAAAGTAAAAATCTGTTTCATTGCCAGTAAGAAATATTTACATTTAAAATGTTGTACAATATCTATTTTATTATTATTATTATTATTATTATTAAATTAAATGTAAATTAAATGTAATATAATTATATATATATTATATTTTATTTATTTTATATATTTATATTTAATTATATTTAATTAAAATTATTATATATTTAATTATATATTATATAATACACATTTTTTATGTATATTTGTTATATCTTAAATGTAAAAAAAAATAAACAAGTGAATTAAAAAATAAACAAATCAATAAAGTAATTCTTGGCTGTTTCAAATTTCTGATTGCAGTGCTATCTATCGTTCTCCCATGGCCTTATATGGCAACTGTTTGTCCTACATATGCTGATTTTTTTTTTTCTTCTTCAATCCCCCTCCTTCACTCTGTTTGCTCCTTTCAATTTTGCCCAGATCTGGCACTGAGGACGCCAGATGCCTTTGCCCAACTGTTGACCTGCCCCTACTGTGACCGGGGCTACAAGCGGCTGACCTCTCTGAAGGAGCACATCAAGTACCGACATGAGAAAAACGATGAGAGCTTCCCCTGTCCCCTGTGCAGTGACACCTTCGCCTACCGCACCCAGCTAGAACGCCATATGGCCACACATAAGCCTGCCAGAGATCAGGTGAGACGAGGCCCACCTCAGTCAGTACCCACACTCGTTAATTTCAAATCATGTTTTTTCAAAGATTATTATAGAAATTCATTGTCAAAGATGCATCATCTCACATTCTGAGCATTTACTTAAAGGGGTGGTTCAGAATTTTGGACATCGGGCCTCATGTCCAAGTTAGCCTTTAGTGTTATTTATCAGTGGAGATATAGTTGAATAGTTTCAACATCCAGTTGCATAGTTCGCTAATGCTAGGCTAGCGTGAGTCAATGGTAACTGCTAGCCTTCCATTAAAAACAGTTTTACCCACTCCACAGTACACAAAAAAATATGACGCCAGACTATCGATGTAAATGTCTGTTGAGATAATAATGTTAGAAATCAAACTATCCTTTCATCGCATTGCAATAGTTATACTTTGTTCCCTGTATTTATTATCCTGTAAATGTATTGTGATAATAGAGATGCAAGAGTAGTTTGATAGTCTGGCGTTATAATTTATTTGCTTTTGGTGTTCTGTGGAGTGGGTAAAACTGGCTGGCTAGCAATAATTAAATGGCTGGCTAGCAATTACCAACGCAATTACCGTTGACTCGCGCAAGCCTAGCACAAGCGAACTATGCAACTGGAACGACTGGATGAAAAATTTGGAAAACTGTCTTCTCTGAAATAACACTAAGACTAACTTGGAAATGAGGCCCTATGTCCAAAATCCCGAACCACCCCTTTAAGTATATCTCAGCAGAACATGTTTTAGCCTGTTGATAGCTCCAGCATCGAAAAAGCTCATCCGGAAGCTCCTTAATACTTGAATCCTTCACACCGGAGCCACAGCTGTGCACTGTCATACTCCCCTGAGTGTCCGCCCACAGCCATCCATGTGTGGGCTGTTCTAGCACACTGAGTCCTATAGGCCTTCTGACTTCTCGCATCAGCTGTTGGAGTGGAGTCAGCTCAAAAGATGTAGGGAAAGCTGATGTTAATTTAGCTTTTTAGGCCAGTCTCAACATGAGCATGATGTGAAAAAATGCAGTGATATGAAATTATTTTGAAGAGGAAACTCTATATTGCTTTATTACTGAAGGAAAATTTCAGTTTTTGAAGTGGTAAAAGGGTTCTCGGTTGTTTGATAGGATTATAACACGATATCCTGCATTTAGGCTTTCAACTTTGAACCTTAAGCCATCTTGGACACGTTGAAAAAGAATTTGGAATACTTGCCTTGCACTCTCATCTTACTGGCTGATTCACACTCACACATATGCGCACGCACACACATACTGTATGTACACCTCTCCAGACTGAATTAAACATGACCAGATGGCTTTTGTTTCCTGGTGATCTAGAGTATCCTAATCCTTAAATGACTTTAAGTGTTTGTTTATTTGCTCTAAAGAGCTATTTTCCTGAATGCTTTGAACATTCATTTCTAGGTTCACCTTGCTAGGGTTAGTATTACATTTCCATGTGCATTCTGTGTATATATTTGCATACACAAATGGAAACCCCAATACACATCTTAAACTGGGCTATGTATACGAGTATGACTGAACTTTTGAAGAAACTTCTGCATAGTACTGTACATAGTGACTTTTAAACAAACATGGACTCCCACACATTTTTCACAGACCTTTTGTGTCTGTGTGTGGGGTGCAGGGTGAACGCTGTTGTTTTTGTTGTGCATCTGGGGCCCACATTTGAATTTCAAATGGAGGAAGAGCACCTACGTTTAACTTTGAATGGTGAATACAGATACGGCCTACACTGTTTTAACTAAACCTAGACAGTAAATGCATTTAGATAGAGCATGTAGATAGTAGTTTAATGGATGAGGTACCAAGTAGGTACAAAATTCACCACCAATTGATCTTGTGAACTTAATTATGCACAAAAACTGTTGCTTCACCAGCCTTGGATACACATACCTAAATACTATTCTGACATAGTTTTTTTCTATGTTTCTCAATATAAATAAATGTATTATCATTTTTAACAGATTTAACCTTCAGAAGGAATTATAAACTATATCATGACCTTTCATGACCTTTCTCTCCCTCACAGCCTCAACTGCTAAACGAAGGGGCTGGTAACCGCAAATTCAAATGCACAGAGTGTGGAAAAGCCTTCAAATACAAGCATCACTTGAAGGAGCACCTCCGCATTCACAGTGGTAAGTGTTTCATTGAATAAAATGTTTAGAGCCTCTTTTAATAAGTGCTGGAAAAAGAATGCCAATAAAGTATATAATCTTATGCATATGTTTTCAATTTGCCTAATGGTGAGTCAGTGTGGTTTGGATAGGCTAGATAGATGATGAATATTTAAAACCATAATTATATAATTACGCAATAATTATTTGTTATTGTAGGATCCCATCATCCTATCAATCATTCAGTTGAATGATGGAATGGGGAAAAAGTTAAATGTCTAAAATATATAAAGGGACATCACTTATTTTTTTGCATTTATGCAATAATAAAAAAATAAGACATGTTTTATTTTTTTTTTTTGAAGGTGAGAAGCCATATGAGTGCTCCAACTGCAAGAAGCGCTTCTCCCACTCTGGCTCCTACAGCTCCCACATAAGTAGCAAGAAATGCATTGGCCTTATCTCTATTAATGGACGGGTACGCCATGGAGTCAACAGCAAGCCTGGCTCATCACCAAACTCTGCTGCATCCTCCCCTGGCAGTCCTGCCTTAGCTCAGCTCCGTCACAAACTGGAGAACGGCAGGTCCATGAGCTTTCAAGACCCATTTGCCCACCCAGACATCAAGTCTGAGCCCATGGACTTCAATGATCGTCTTATGATCGCATCTCAACAAGAATATGGTGGGTCAGGAACCTTTCTCAATGGCGGTGGCCGTAGTCCTCCAGGGATGCACAGTTCATCTCAGAACCCCCTGCAACATCTAGCCATTGGGTCGGATTCTCATCTATTGGGCTATCCAGCGTTCATCAACAACATGAGTGAGGTTCAGAAGGTTCTTCAGATTGTGGACAACACAGTTTGCCGACAGAAATTGGATGGCAACCCTGAAGAGATATCTAAGCTTAGAACATACATAAAGGCATTAGGCTCCCAGATGGAGGAGCAGAATCGGGTACTAGCCTCCCAGCAAGGCTTCCTTGGCGTTGGACACAACAGTCCCACCAAGACTATCATTGACTACACACTGGAAAAGGTCAATGAAGCCAAAGCATGTCTCCAGAGTTTAACAGAAGACTCTAAGAGGCGAGCGGTGGATATAAAAAAAGAAAGACCAAGCCACGCCATGGATCTTCTATCTGAAGACAAAGCACAGGAGAGGGATGCGCAGTACGCACCATTCTCTTGTCAGTATTGCAAGGAGACGTTTTCTGGCCCTATTCCATTACATCAACACGAGCGCTATCTCTGCAAGATGAACGAGGAGATCAAGGCTGTCCTCAAACCTAATGATACTGTACCAACCGGCCGCAGGGGACTTATTGGCTCAGAGCAGCATGATGGTGTGATCTCCTCATCTTTTGAGAGGAATCCCACCAGCCCAGTCAACCCCTACAAGGATCACATGACAGTACTGAAAGCCTACTTTGCCATGAACACTGAGCCCAACTCAGAGGAATTGAGGAAGATCTCCATGGCGGTGGGTCTTCCTCAGGAGTTTGTGAAGGATTCATTTGTGCAATGGAAAGCTCAATCTCACCACAGCTTCTCGAGGAAAAGATCTCCTCCCCTTGAGCGAAGTGGAGAGCTCAACCATGGCTTGAACAGGGAGTCCACTTTTTCCCGGTCACCTATGTCTCTGGGTCAATATGGCGACTCAACGGCGGATATCCAAGCTATCACCAATGGGGATTCAGGGCAGAAGTCGTCCAAACCACATCAGTTTACAGGCATCAGGCAGACCAATGAAAAGCCACTTGACTCTGTGGACCACATAAGGGGTGAGACACCCTCACCTTTGAATCTCTCATCATCATCATCCAAACACTCACATAGCAGTTCGTACACTCCTAACAGCCTTGTCTCTGAGGATGCCCATGGGGAACCTCTGGACTTGTCTTTGCCAAAACAAGTTTACAAGGCAGAACGGAGACCCAAACACAATGGGTTTTCTGTAGACCAGACTAGCAACTCCTCTGCACGTGAATCAGGAACAGAGCCTTTAAATTTGGCCCACATCAAGAAGGAGTTCAATGGGCACAATAATTTGGGCAATGAAAATCAGCTGGAGAAAAGCTCAAGCCCCATCTTTAGTATAAACCCCTTCGGTGGTGGGCACATGTACACCTCGCTTCCACCTCACGGAGCATTCCCTCCCCCTACTTTTATGTCTACGGCTCAAGCCAGCATCCCGGGACTCAGGCCTTACCCAGGGTTGGATCCCATGAGTTTCTTACCACCTATGGCTTACACTTACGCAGCAGGGGCAGCCACTTTTGCTGAGATGCAGCAACGGCGGAAATACCAGCGGAAACCAGGCTTCCAGGTAAATCGAATGTTATGGTACTGATTAAAAAAAACAAAAAACAAAAAAAACAATTCCCAGTGTATTCTGTTTTATTTTTGTTTAAATCTTTCAAAAAGTGTGATAAAGCATTTGATTTATTTAAAAGGTAATACATTAATAAAGAAACTAGTTCAAATGTCAATACATTAAATTATACATCTATATTATTAAAGGTTATTGCTTCCTAAAAGTATGTTGTCTACACCATTCCCATACTGTTTCCTACATTAATTCATACTACGTTCTGTACTAAACGGAGAGAACCCTTGTAAAGTCTTCTTAATATCAAGCCATATGTCCCTCTTTTGAGACCTCTTCAGGCGATAAAGGTCTTATACAGGTTACAGAGATAAGCTCTGTCCAGACTTGGGATCAAACATGGGGCAGGGGCTGTCTCCTAGGTGGCAGGTTAGGATTAGGATTTGTGGCAGGTTAGGATTGTGTGAAATGTCTAAAATCTGTTTCTTTTGCAGGGGGAGCTAATGGACAGCACAGGGGACTATCTGTCAGGGCTAGAGGACCTGACAGACAGCGAGTCGCTGCTCGCCCGGAAGAAGATTAAGAAGACTGAAAGTGGTATGTACGCGTGTGACTTGTGCGACAAAACATTCCAGAAGACCAGTTCCCTCCTAAGACACAAATATGAGCACACAGGTATATCACATTTAGACAACTCTTTTTTTTTACCCTCGTCCACCCCCTCCAAGTAATTCCCTTTGATCACATTGTGTTTTTTTCCGTTTCTTTCATTCCTTTCCTTTTTTATTTTTTTATACCTATTTTTTTCTGTCCATTGCCATATTTTTGTTGTACATTTCAAACCCATGACAAAGGTGTAACAGTTTTCTTCCTTTTGACAGGCTCAAAAAAAAAATGTATTTAGCATGTGACAGACAATATTTTTTATCCAGCTAACATTTACAAAAACAATCACCACTTTAAATGGAAGATGCACACACACACAAACACACACACAATATCTCGTATTTGTGTTTTGCTCATTGAACCACAAAAAAATATTCCATTGCTTATTGAACATTTGGAACACCAGTCGATATAGAGACACATTGTCAATAGAGTTTTCTGGCATACCAACATGGCACAGTGTGCCAGGTGTGTGAAAGCCTGATGTGTGCATGGCATTTCTACAACACAATGCGACCTACCCTCCTGGGGAACTCCTCTCTTTCACACGTTTGCATCATCCTCACTTACATTCTTCGGTCGGAATTCATAGAGAGGAATCTGCCATCTCGTCTATTTTTGAACTTGATGAGGGGAGGTGGGGAAGGGGACCATCTCAAGTATGGCTGCTATGGAAGGTGTTGCAGGCATGCCAGGGCTATTCATGGCCAAGAATATAGTACATCTGTTCATGTGCTTGGAACTGATGGCAAATGTGTGGGTTTTTATGGCAAGTATGTTACTGGTGGAATTAATGAATGCCAAATGGAAAGTGCCTCCTACTTCACTGATTAGAGTAGAATTAATTTCCTAGTTTCTGTAAGTAGACAACGTAATCCAAGCCGGTGAAAGAGGAAGGTGTGCGGGAGGTGAACTGTTTGGTGTTTATATTACACAAGACATCACCAGACAGATGTATGTCTTATCTAAGCATTTTCAATCCCAAGTCATGATGTCATAAACTCCTAGGGATGCAGACTGCCTCACTTTCACCTTGCGTGGCATGGAGTGATAATCACCTGATCTTCTTGGCTGCGTTCAGAACAGTCACAGACAACCTCAGAATAGCACCTCAGGACTGTGGCTTCCCCCTCACCTCCTTGCACTGTTTTTGGTAACATCTAAAATAAAACCCGGTGGGGTTTGTCGCTGTTTGAAATGAAGGGTTTTTTTTAGTCGAACTTTTTTTTTTCTTTCAGTTTTTAACCCAAACTAATCCCAAACAAGAATTTTCTTTGTAGAATTCATCATGAGGTACAAGTTAGGAAGGAGGGATTTGTGTGGTTTCTTCAAGGATATGTTTCTTACTAAATTGTAATGTTTTACCTTACATTTGACTGTAATGAAAACAATATATTTGATACAAGTTTGTGCATCCTCCAAAGAGAGGATTTTCAAATAGCTTTTTTATAGCTTTTAAGATTTTATGGATGCTTTTATGGATGCTAACCTGTTGGCTCCTCTCTCTTTGTGTCTCTGCAGGAAAGCGGCCTCACCAGTGCCAGATTTGCAAAAAGGCCTTCAAACACAAGCACCACCTCATCGAGCACTCACGTCTACACTCGGGCGAGAAACCCTACCAGTGTGACAAATGTGGCAAGCGCTTTTCCCACTCCGGCTCTTACTCGCAGCACATGAACCACCGATATTCCTACTGCAAACGGGAGGCGGAGGAGCGTGAGGCCGCCAAACAAGATAGCCATGACAATGGCGGACCCCTGGAGCCCACGGAGCTCCTAATGCGTCAGGCTTACCTTCAAGGCCTCGGGCCCCTGGGCTTTTCGGATCCAGAGGACCAGATGGAGGACATCACACGAGAAAACACCATCTTGAGAGATGGCACTGAGGGTCGGGCCAGGGAGGCAGAGGAGGCGTATCCGGAAGTGACTGACAGGCAAGAGACAGAGTTGGTGGAGGAAGAGGAAATGGAGGCAGAGGGGCGGAGATTTGGAACTCAGAGCCCTGAAGGGACAGCAAAAGATGAGAAAGAGAGAAAAGTAATGGGAGGGACAGAGGACGAGAGCTCGGAAGAGGGGAAATTAGCGAGCAAAAGAAATCCTGACTGCGAGAATGAGGATGCTGATTAACTACTGCATTTCGGAATAAGCTTCTTGTTTTCTTTTTCCCTCAAGCTTGCATCGTGCCCTTCTTCCGCCCCTTTTGGAGGGACTTTGAGCCAGATTCATTTGTACCACACTGCCACGTCTTGGTTATCTGAACGTGCGCCTGAGGCTTGCACTCAATGAAATAAAGAGTGGAACTTCATAATCAGGCATCAGAAACTAAGATGGAACATGAAGGAATCCATATTATGCAAAAATACAAGTGATAACGATTGTCAGAATAAAATTTAAAGAGAGTTTTTTTTTTAAATGTACAGAGGTTTCAGCCAGAAAGCTGTGTGGTGCTGATTTCCATATAACTCCTGTGTTTCATTGTGGTCGTAGCACAAGCCTGGAAATTGCACTCTGAAAAAAAAAAAGCATTAGAAAAAAGTAAAAACAAAAAACAAAAATAAAATGAACAAAAAACACTTAGGTAAAAAAGCATTGCCTATATGTACTTATACTGCGCTTGAAGACGCAGGAGTGTGTAAGTGTTATATTTCGTCTATCACTTACTGTGATACCCTTGGTTTTACCTTTCTTTTCCTGACCAGCTATTCAAGTTTTGGCATCTCACCATGGCTTTTTAGGAAGCGACTTTAAATAAATAATATCTACATGATTCTTAAACGTACAAAGTCTTAAAGTTGGCCAGGGGTGGATGGAAAGAGTCTGGGTAACTGTAATGACGGAGGCTCATTGTATGAGGTGACGTCAGAACCCCTGTGTTGTTTTTTTTCGTTCGAGAAAAGCCTTATATGCAAACCCTTTCACCTGTGTTTTCTGCAAGTGCCATCCTTGTACAGTATAAAGCGAAGTTAACTAGTGTTCTCTTTGCACCTGCTTTAGTATTAAATGAAATATTTCACCTTGTCATTTGAAATACCTACGTCAGTATTAGTATTAGACTGCAGTTGTTTAGTTTACATATTGTTTGTGCAATTTTCTGTATTTTTTTAAGATCATCTGTCAGTATTATCTTGGTTTGTTTTGTTTCGTTCAATACAAAGTTCATTTTTATTTTAAACTACCATTTTATTTATGTGACTCATTTTATATTTCCTAATTATATTTATTTCATACTGTAGTGTACAGTATTATAGTTCCTTGATATAGATATATTTTAGTAAATAAGGATCCTTACAAGTGGAGCAAATTTTACGTAAAGAGAGCATTTATTGTATCTGGAGCGATTGCTGTGAATTGCTCTTACTACACTTACCTGATGAAGGAGAATCTACAATTTGGGAACTTTTGATACAATATTGTGAAAACACTGTATTTTTGACTGAAAGGAAAAAAAAATTCCACTTTATTCATCTTATTTGTTTTTCCTTTTTCCCTTTTTTAGCTAAAGAATGAGGGGGGAGGGGGGATGTGGTTGTTGGGATTCTTTGAAATGTCTGTTGAAGTATAATTTAATTTTTAATTTGTAATTTTTCTTGAAAATGACCTTGCTCGAATAAATGTAGCCCAATTTAATTTTGAAAGCCTGTGTAACATCTCACTTAACGACTCACTTAAATTTCCTCACAAATTGTCAGATGTCGACACATTCAATTTATCGGGGTGGCAGTGGCTCAGTGGTTCGTTAGGTCAACTACAAACCTGAAGGTTGGTTCCATGAGCAAGACACCTAACCCCAGGTGCTCCCGATGAGCTGGATGGTGCCTTGTATGGCTGACACCACCGTCGGTGTATGTATAAATGGTGCGTTGGTGGCCATTGGGTCTGTGAAAGCGCTATATAAATGCAGTCCATACCATTACTTTAAATACTAAATAACCATTCCCATATAGCCAAGAAAAAAATGTGTTCAAATAGTTAGCAATTTAGTATCTTTGATATAATGTGTGTGTGTGTGTGTGTGTGAGTGTGTGAGAGAGCATGTACGTGTGCCTTATTGTGCAAGTAATAAGGAGTGTCATCAATATTATAAATCACCTCCATAAATTGGAGAAAAAAGATCAGACTTTAATATTCCTCAGTATCATTTTCTGTGCTATCATTTAATTAATTACTGGAACCTTTACCTTTTGATGTGGATTACACATAGCAATATAATCCACCTTATCAAAGTCCCTCACAGTATGATAGCCTTCTATTAGTCTCTTTGAAGTTGAATGATGTTGGGTTGCGCTAAATTAACATCAGCTGCAGGCTGCCAAACTGGCTGTGAAGACTCAATGTTGGAACTCTATGGAGTTCCATTAACCATGACCTTGCTAATTTTCTCAACTCACATACTCATCTCAAGTTTAATTTTCAAGGAACTATTCAAGACACTTTTCTCCCTGCAGGGATGTACAGTCCATTTCATTTTAGAAGCTAAGGTTACTGTATAAATTGCCCTACCAAATTGAACCGCATAGTACATAAGCTGCAATTTTTTATTTATTTATTTTTTTGCAAAACAAATTTTCTCTGCTGTCCAATTTTTGATGGGGTAACTAAATAAATGCATCATGCATGAGTGGTAAAACCACTTAAATGTGTATATGTTCTGACACTGAATGGTGATATTTGGGATACTTTATATGAAATAATATGCTAAATAATATGCTAATTATAATAGAAGTGTATTACAAGTGTAATGATCTGGTCTGAGACTGTACCTGTAGTTGTTCTTTTCATGTGGTTTTCCGTTCAGGTGATTATCTAAAGGGGCTGTTGTAAGCCTCTGCATTAAACACACACAAATAAATAAAATGCCCTGGACATTTATGACAGTTATTGAAATATCAGTCACTCATTAAAGCTGACTACTGAAAATAACTATTGAGACAAGCTACAGTATAGCCTATATGCAAGTACAGTAAAATCTGGCAAAACCATATATATATATATATATATATATATATATATATTAATGGTTATGATATGTTGGGGTACATCAAAATTTAAAAATCTAAATATAAAACAATCAAAACATGAAATAAAATTAAAGTATATGCACCTCGGCAATTAAATATGAAAAAAATAAAAATGTCACTTCAACATTTACCATTATAATTGCAGTTTTCACCAAAAATGACATATTTACTACTGTAAAACTGTGGTAACTGTAAAACATGAATAAATCAATCAATAAAAGGCTAGATGCTTTTACGTTCTTTGAATGATGGACAGATAAGTTTGTGTGAGATCAGATTTGGGCAAAATATAGGCAAAGTACACTGACAAAATATTAAGAAGAGGGGTTTCAGATAAAATGTAGGGCAAATAAATTACTGTCCTTTAAATATCAGAATATATTAATATTTATTAAATGCTGTCTGTCATTTTGAAGAAAAAAAAAATCAGTTTGAGTTTCCACATAGGCTAACTGCTGTCATAAAAAAGGCAAATGAGGTTTTATAAGGATTCTAGCAGGACCAAGCTGGTCAATTTATTATAGCCCACACTGATCTAGATGATGGATTAGCTGGACTACCAGCTGGTGGGACAGAGATCAACATTGATTGTAGACCTTCATCAAGCTGGTTAGGGTTAGACCACCTTGCAAAAAAACAAACCAGCATGTTCCAAAACGAAGCTGATATGACATGGGATTTCCAGCAAAACTGGAAAGTATTTTGACAAAATTCTAACTTTTTCGCTTTAAAACAAATTGTGTTATATTATAAATGATATTATGTATCATATCTTGCACGTACCACATCTGCATAGTTCATACTAGCACATTTATGACGCCTGCAAACGACTTCACGGGACACAGCGCTGGAAGAACGTAGACACGCATAGTGACGTCATGACGTAAACAAGCGCCGCGTTTCCTATCAGGAAGAGGTAAGACTGAATTAAACACGCGAATGTTTGCAGATTTCAGCCTCCTTTACTGGTTTAAAACCAACGAGTGCTTATCAGCTTGCTTGACTAAAGGCGGAAACGAGTATGCGGTTGTGCAGTTATAGAGATATGTGTCTTAGTGTTTGTTGTCTTCTAAACTAATGTTAAAGTTAACTTGTTCTCATTGTTGTGATGTGAATTAATGTAATAAAAACGCTATCGTTTGTACACAACATTCCTGTGTACAGTGGCTCAAAATATATTTGAAGGCTGTGTTTGATGTCTTTGCATTAGATCACATATCAAAGTAAGTGTTTTTAAAGCACCCTTTTCAAGCATTTCGTACAAAGAAGAGTGCTTGGTTTGAAATAATTAAACTATAAATACAGAATTGACTTTATGCACAGCTGCACTACTTCCTGAACTTAAGCCAGCTCCTTGTTTCCTGTCTCCCATTATTGGAAAAATTGATTAACCCAGGTATGCCTGACCTCATTAGTCACGGCAACAATAATCAGACACACCTGAATTAATCAAGTTCGGCCAATAAGGAAGTAGTGCAGCTGTGCATAAAGCCAATTCAAAATAATAAAATAAATAGAGACTCTTTGCTTGTCACTCGTTAATAAAACATGTTTAGTTAATTTGATTAACTAGGCTACACATGGCAGTTCATGACACCGACCTATGTGAACATAATAATCTCTAAACTGATTAAAAGTTGGTTGAAAGACATTATTTAGAAACGTGAAGATAGTTTTTTTTTTTGCTGGCGTTGCCAGAATTTCATATAGATGCCATTTGGTTTGACATATTTTACTGTCATTGCACTGAAATGAACATGTGGCTTAAGCTTCCAACTCCTTAACATGAAAATGTTCTAAAACGGCAGTCAGCTTTCAGACTTAAACAAGAGACAACGATTTTATGAAATATCACTTCATGAATATCATATTGTATTATTAATCAGTGGTCACTGAGATACGGTGGCCGAGAGGTGCAAAACAAATCACAATTATAAAAACAAAAAAACAAGTCAGAAAACACAACGACAATTCAGAAAACAAAATAACAATTCAGAAAACACAACAACAAATCTGAAAACAAATTAACAAGTCAGAAAACACAACGACAAGTCAGACAAAACGGAAAAGGTAGGTATATGTGGCGAATGGAATACTGATCGCTGATTGGACGATACATCTGTCAATCAAGACAAACAGGCAGAAGAAAGATCGATTCGCGTGTGCATGTGTAAATATTAGCTGTATCGTCTAGGCTAGGGCTATTCAATTGGCGGCCCGCGGGCCAAGTGCGTCCCGCCAATCATCTCCATGCGGCCCGAGAGCACTCCAACCTCCCCCTCCTATTTTCTGGTGGTGCGGCTAAATTTGGTTTGATATGCGCGTGGCCGCAGTGGCGCGTGCAGCTGTATACGCACTGTGTGTGTACCACGAGCGCTCCGACTGACCTGAGAAAAACGTTTTCAGTCCGAATATTTCAGCAGTTAATATGTGTGTCCCGTATTTCTGTCGACTGAACCAGCGATATTAATCATTCGTTGATTCGATTCCTATCTCCTTTTCACGAATTGGCCAAACGCGCGTGCATAACAGTAGGAAACGATTCGGATTCGTTTGGACCGTTCTGTCACTGAATCATCTGAAGCGGTTTCTCGGTCAGTAAGAACAAATAGAGAACAAAATAGCGCTGGTTTCAGTTGTTTCACTAGTTTACTTTGAACTAGGCAGCGCGGTCCAGTGGATAACCGAACGCAAGCTTAAAGGAGTTGCGTTTACTAATAGTGGTAGGAAGATTTTAATTTGAAAAGTTTTGTTCTCCATAATATCACTAAATTAGCCGGCTAAATAGACAGCTAATATTTACACGTACACATGCGAATCAATCTTTCTTCTGCCGCAGGCGCAGTCTGCTGTACTTTCTGTATGTCTTGATTGCAGATGTCTCGTCCAATCAGCGATCAGTATTCCATTCGCCACATATACCTATTCCGTTTTGTCTGACTTGTCGTTGTGTTTTCTGACTTGTTAATTTGTTTTCAGATTTGTCTTTGTGTTTACTGATTTGTTAATTTGTTTTCAGATTTGTTGTTTTGTTTTCTGAATTGTTATTTTGTTTTCTGAATTGTCGTTGTGTTTTCTGACTTGTTTTTTTGTTTTCATAATTGTGATTTGTTTTGCACCTCTCGGCCACCGTACTGAGATGCTATGATAGTGGACACATGCAATACATGCAGATAAATGAGAGTTAACAAAATCTGATACATTCAGATATAATAGTTGTGATTTTATTTATTTAGATTGTCAATATGGTACTGAATATGATCATCCTTTACTCTAGATGCTGCGATATGATGCAGAGTAGTTTCTTTAGATCATCATTTGCATGGTTTCAGCTGGTCCAGCTGTGTTTTGCTTGAAATGAGTCAGCATGAGAAATGAAGAATGTAGCCTTGAAATGTCTCAAAGTTGGTCTTGAGGTTTTTGTTACCTATAGCTTAATATACATTGTTTAATCCCTATTGTCATATTGAAAAGAGAAAAGGGATTTAAATGGACTTTTTAAGCTTTCACAGACTATTACAAATAACCCAGAATTTACCTGTAGAATTTAACTGTACACTCTAAAAAATGCTGGGTTGTTTTAACCCAACTTTGGGTCAAATATGGACTAACCCAGCCGTTGGGTTAAATTTTTACATTACATTTTTAACCCAACATTTTGGGTTTGTCCATATTTGACCCAAAATTGGGTTAAAACAACCCAGCATTTTTTAGAGTGTAGGCAGAAATGTGTGCCTTTATGATACTATTTTGTTTTGTCTGTTTTGCTTAATTCAGTCACTGAGATTTTCAGGCAATTTCTCTTCGCTGTGGAGTTTGCTTGTTATAACCCATACATGAAGAAGAAACCTGTGTGCTGCATTACACTTTAAACAGGAAACATTTTTTTTTTTTTTTACCCACAAATGGAAATACATAGACATGGAAAGCTAATTAGAAATGTAGGGACTTTTGTTCAAATCTGTTGCTACATTTACTCAATTCCAGTAAATTGTATCGATGAGGAATTAGATTTTACTGCCCTAAATTTTCATTCTGAGTAATGACAAAAAGAGAAAAACTCTTTTGAAATAATGTCATCCACACATCCAGTACACAGTTTTGCCTGTTTGAGGTTACTTTGCCACAAAACGTTCATAATTTTCTCCGCTTTTATATATATTTTTTAATTTAATTTTGGTCACATCTTTTTAGTTTATACAAGGCTGTTTGACCTTTATTTGATCAACTTCATGCCTTCCATGTCTGTGATGGAGGGCATTTTCTGTTATCTCATCACATCTTTAACAGTAATAGACACAATTTTCTTCTACTAGACATGAAATGAGCCTTCTGAAGGAAAATTTCTTTCAGACGACCTGTGAATCAAATGTGTTTGGCTTTTGTATTATTAAAAGCCTGGTCTAATTCAGAATGCTGTTGTCTGTCACCTAATTGTCACCCATAAATGATAAAGAATCAGGTTAAACTCTTCAATTCACGGCACATGATTACCATGCCTGCCGTTTCACCGCTTCATCTCTGTCAGCCGGGTGTGCAGTGATTAGCATGTAAGTGCTAGCATGTAATTACAGAGCAGCTTCTTTTCCTTTAATGATTACCGTTAACACAAAGCCTCTGACGAGGTGAATGAGGACACGGCTCACTCTATTAAAAGACAGAACAGACACTTGGATGGTCTAAAAATTTAATTCGTGGAAAATGTGAACTTCCTCTCGCTTTTCTAACGTGAGATCAAAGGCATTTATGAATAGGCTAGTACTTTGTGCCCTCTGTGCGTGTGGTGAACCTTCTGAAAGTGCCAATGTCAGTCTGAGCACTTCGAATTAAAAGGTTTCAGGAACAAATGACTATCATTTTACAAGGCTTAATAGTGTTTTAGTTGATTGGGATGCCACTCAGTTCAGCAGAGACTGCCTGGAAGTTGAAGAGGTTGTGTTGGCAACATTCATTAGACCAGTTTGTTAAACAATATCATTGCAGAAAAGCTTTTTTGACAGTTATTTCATGCTGCTTGAGCTGATGAAATTGTATTCCTCATATCCATTGACATTGGAAATGGTAGTTGGATAGTTAGAAAAAAAAATAGTTAATTAGCTTTTCTTTTATTCGATGTGGTTTTTAACAAATGTTAGGATATGTAATGTTAAAGTTTTCACATCTTAGGCAGTGTAGTCATAGCCAAAGTGTTTACAAGGTTAAAATATTGCTCAAATATGAAGTCATCTGAATGCAAGCTATGGAGACGGCCCATTGTCTGTGCAGATGCACAGTGAACTTTGAAAGAGCTTCACTGTTTGTTTGCCCACTCATCCGTGACCCATATTTTTTTCCTCGTGTGTTTCGCTTTTTTTTAATTTGAGCGACCAACTTATGAAAACATGGCGCGTTGATATGTGTCTAGTACTGCAGCTCTCTTATTGTGAAATTTATTACATGCTAATATGTTGTGAGTTGACTTTTTTAACTTTCAGAATGAGCACCTCAGTGGTACATGGGTCAAATAAGAGTGTTTCCAATAAAGCAAGAGAAAAATCTCTAGTTTCAAACACATGCAGGTTCATTCCTTTGCCTTATACCTTTATTGAAGTAAAGGAGCAAGGCAAAGGAGTATCTTACAAGAATTATTATTAATGTTATGTTTTAGGAAAATTATTTTTCATGTACTTTTTAATGCGTGTTGGCATGACCTGAGTTTGCCAAGTCAACAAAAGTTTTTCGATTATGAATAATATGCAGTAAAGTTTTGTTAATAATAATAATAATAATAATAATAATACTTGTCATTATAATAATCAGTAAATACATATTTATTTTGATCATGAATAAATAATGAATATATAAATAATTAAAATATGCAAAACAAGTGCTACCCAATTTTTTTTTTTTTTGTGTGAATAATTCAATTCTTGAGGTTGTTTTTCCTTATGATGTCAGGACAGTTTAATCACCCATTTTTGACTTTATGCTTACAATCAAATGAATTGGATTTAATTCATAGATTTTGGAAAAGATGAGCATCATGTCATTGACCCATCTGCGTACATCATTTTAGACCAGTTTATTTAGTTTGGATACAATCCTGATGCAGCACGGTCAAGGCTCGTCCTCATGTTGTTCCTTGTATCGCTCAAGTCTAATTTCAAGTGATCAGCCATGGCTTTGGTCTGCTGTGTGGGAGTACATAATCGGATGTTTCATTCTGGCTGAATTAGCCCTCCAGAAAGACCACATCACTTTAAGGCCTCCTCCTGCCCTGTCAGAGTCCATCGCGGGTGATGACGCAAACACACATACACACACACACATTCACACACGCATACACACTTAAGACATGGATGGCTAGAGGCTGTTAAAATGAGGTGTTGAGAGTTGGCTCACACGCTCCAATGCGCCATGTTTCTGGGTGCTTGTCACTGGGCAGTGCCATCCTATCCGCCCCCCTGTACTGGCACTTATTGGTGCCATTGGTAGAGTCACTTTTACTGATGGGTTTAATCGTCAGGATTGGTACTGGCGCTTAATATGACGTCTTCGTGCACTGCCCCTGCGGATGTATCAGCTGCATCCCAGTTTTTTTGTTTTCTGTACTCTGAGGCAGAATCTCTCTAATGCTGTCTCTTCTCCAGTATTTTGAGAGCCAAAGGAAATTCTGTATTTTATCTGGAATAAGGCAGTGTAGATAATGACCTGTCTCCTCTGTTTTTCCACAAGAAAGAAGGAAGGATTTTTTTATGGTTAATTCTGTAGGTGGACAGACATATGGGTAAAACAACCTTCGATATTAGTTTTGATTAATATAATCATGCTTATCAGTAATATGCTGTATAAACAGTTCAATGTATACCAATTTATTCTGCTCTTGTTTTCATGCTTTTATTTTTCACATGGTTATGACTTGACAAAAGGTTAGTAGCCAGTTATTTATAGTAGTCTTAGGCATGTAAATGCAATATTTCAAGCCGCCATCAAAGGATTTTTGACTAATTCAGTAGAAATTGAATACCCTCTCTGGTGTTGTTATGGCGTCTGATTGATTTGCGGGAGTTTACGCTTACACAGGCGAGCCTTTTGAATGCAGCAATGACTCAGGATCCATCGACAGTCATGATGGTGCTGCTTTTGGTTGTGAGGCCGAGCACTGCGGGGTTTCCCTTTCACATGAACCGTGTGGGGGTCTGAACGCGACAACGTTAACCCCTCACTTTCCTCTCCATCTTGAGGTTGAATGCTTTTCACGCCTTACCTGTGTAAAATGGAGGCTCTGAGGTAAAATGGTAGAGGTACATCATCGCTGTGTAAGAAAATCCCACTCTGTATCCGAGCGATTGGAAAACCCCAGCCTTTCAAGTTAGATGTTTAAACCTAGCCTACTTAAGTTGTTATATTTCCAGTTCCATGTTGCAAAGTTTTGATTGTTTTTTTTACAGTTATGCCTGCTATGAAGTGCTTAGCTCAGCAGTGTTTATCACATGGGTGTTTATTAGACTGTTAAAGAAAGTATGGTCAAAGTACCACAAGTTACCACTTAAATTTGTACGAACAAGTTAATGTCATTTTTGAAGTTAAACTTGAGTGTTGTCTGAGAGTGTCAGCTTGCCTGTTTAAATTGTTCATTTTCAGGAAGTCATTTTGAAACAGTAGCTTCTCGAGCTACAAGCTTGAAATTAGCAACAACTAGCTAAAAGTATTTAAAAAGTAGTTAGCTATTACAAGTTGCTAACTACATTAGCCGTGTCGTTTGTTTCCACAAATTAGCTGTTTTTATCGGCGACATTAAAAAGGGAGATCTGAATGAATGACTCACTCACATGAAAAAAAAAAAAAAACCTTTATTGTAAACTTAGTGATAGCAGCATTTATCTAAATACTATGACATTGAAAAAAAAAAAAAAACAAACAAACAAACAAACAAACAAACAAAAAACGGTGTGTAGGTAGGAACGTGGATAACAGAATTGTTTTTTTTTTTTTTCCTATGTCCATTGAACCAATTTACTTAAATTAATCAAACTTCTTGTTGCTACTTGAGGAAGAACTTTTGGTTATGGCCTTAGTGCATTCGGTAGTACATCTATTTATTTGATGCTACATGCTTCTTGTTGGAGAAAGTAGCTTTTCCTGGAAAACTTACACTATTAAAAAAAAAAAATAGAGGTTGTCTTGTCATCTTATTGAAGAAGTGATTTAAATTAGTAATGTCGCTTTAAATTAAGTTGTCAAAACAACATAATCAAATTGTCAGGTACATTTCCAAATTATCAGCTGAAGGTTTTTTTTTTTGTTTTTTTTTTTTGCTGCATAACTTATTATGCACTCCAGTTATGACTTAACCGTGACACATATATGAAATTCTACGTGAATCGGAAAGTACTGTACGTGGGCGAATTTTGCCAGTGCAATTATTATTAACACCCTCTCCAATACATGGTTATTAATCATAGGTTATTAAAATATTATTTTCGCAATGATTGTTGTTTACGGCGTTCTTTTTTATGTGAGTCATTGAAATGTGATGTGTTTAGTATTCTTGTTTCTAGATGTTTCTAGTAATCTGATTTTTTTTTTTCCCTGTTCTTTTGAACCCAACAGTAATAGTGTGCATTCACAATAAACATCAGGTTTGGTTGGGCCTGTATCCATGAGTGCGCTCTTGCTGGAGGCGTTCTATGGCGGTTCCCACAAACAGCTGGTCGATCTTCTCAAGCAAAGTGTTGAAGACTGTGTAAGCTTCACTCTACCTGCGAAGAAATGGCACTGGAGGGCCAGAACTTCTGCTTTGTACTTCATGCAAGCAGTTCCAGCAAGTTCCACGTACAGGTCAGCAGAGGTCATCAGTATGGTTGTGTTCCTTAAAGTAATTTTATTGTTTTTCTTTTAAAGAGATAAATATGTAAATATACTGACACAAAAATATTTGAAAAGTTTTAATGTTTGAAAGTTTTAATGTTTGAAAGTTTTAACTAATGCTAATTTTCTCTGCGACGGAGTAAATTCATCACATTTTTTAAGCTTTTTCCTTCTTAAATCACAGATATGGCTATCTAGCAATTGTCATCTTTTTTTTTTTAATGTCTACTAACACATCACAGTAGCTTTGTGTAATAACACCAGTGTAATGTGGTTTGACATTTTTACACGTAATACTAGGATGTTCTCTAAAGTCAAAAACAAACTTTATCAAAGTTAAAGGTGTTCCTGGTACATGTGGGTACACATCACTATACAAGCAGATTATTTAGCTGATTAGTTGTATCGCAAGATAAAAAACAACACTGAGATAAATTATAGCTGCTTGTTTTATTTTATTCCCTAAAACCACTAATGCCATGTAATAAGTGAGTAGGAATGAGTACGAAAAATAAAATAAACTTTCATAATTAGTTTAAAAAATTAGATCACTTGATCTTTAAACACATAGTCTTTTGTTTTGACAGACACTACATCAAGCTTTTATTTTGGTGGAAAACATGGTTTACAAATGAGTCTCATTACAATTCTAGTAAAATGCATTTCGTCAAATATGCAGATTTGGAAATTAGGATATGCAGGGTGTTAAAAGATTCGATTGGGCCAGCCCAGTTTCAATCAAGAGAAGAACCAATGGGCCGTCATCTACATGTTTCATGGGCCGTTCTGTGAGAAGAAGAACAAAATCTACGCTGACTTTTTTTTTTGTCCAATGCATTAGATCCCAGCGCCGCCAATTAAGCAAAACAAAACTAAACAAACGGGCCACGTGTTTTATGGGCCGTTTTTTTTTTTTTTTTTTTTTTTTTTAAGTATGATATGTGTTATGGTGCGTTCTATTATAGCCAACGAACCGACTTGGACCTCGGATTTGATGTCACGTCCACACTTCAAGCGTTCTATTATATTTTGCATGTCCGAGTCGGAGAAAAAAAATGGATGCCACCCGGAAAGCTGTTATAATGGTAGCACTGGCCGAGTCCCAGGCACTTACATTAAAAAAAAAAAAAAAAATATGACTACACCTTATCAAAACGCAGCCATTGAACTTCAATTACGTTAGTAATTGCACTCACAACAACCGATTCCCATACCTACAGGGGATGCAGTAATACAAGTGATTATAATTGTCATTTAAAATACCAAAGCAGTTCAAAAACAATGAAAATAATTCATTTTTACAAGTCACAGGGCGCAGCCATCTTGAATTCTGAAACGGAATTCTTGCTCGGTGTCCTCACGGTTGTCCGACATCCGAGAGGTGAAATCTGAGGAAAGCTAGGCAATGTCTGTTGTCCGATTCGGATCTCCGAGACGGGATGAATAATAGAACGCACCATTAGCCCACCGGGAAAGTGCCCGGTCTGGTCACACGTCATCAGAGAAGAGGAGACAAGATAAGATAAGAGACGAGGGAGGGGAAGTTATTTTGATTAAAGATTACAAGGTGCACAGATAAATCATTTTTTTTATAGATACGACAAAAGAATTGTTGATTGTTGAATTAAATGTATTTAATTAGCATTTGTTCATCTAATTATTTAGTGTTTTTTAAATTCATGCTCCTTCAAAATATAGCTAATGTTCATTTATACAAATGTGTAGAAATTAACATAAATCTAGATTAATGAACTTGAAGTGTTTTTCATTGTTAGGTTATGATACCTAAAGTAATTCATTAAGTAATGCTAAGTTATCAAAACTCCTTCTAAAATGTTACCAGAATCAGGTGATTTTCAGTTTACGATGATATTTTAAAATGTGTGCCTGCACCTAAAGTGCACTATGGGGAGATTATACACTTTGAACTCTCCGAAGATTTGGTTCAAATAGAGTTTCTAAAACTTCATAAACAAGGACACAAACACATTTAGAGAATAGGATCCGATGGGGACTTTCTTGCTTCCTTTTAAGGGACGGAGAAACCGCAGGTGGGTGGGGGAAGCCCTGAGCATTCTTTCAGCTGCAATCTCATCTTGCTGCACTCGAAGTTAAGCAAAAGGAAAAACATACGTTTCATTCTTAAAGTCAAGTATCAAATATGCACAGTCAGAACCCTTCATGTGTCAACTGGACGCGCTTTCAAAACTTGTATCAATTGTCAGGCCCTCATGGCATTTTGTGAAAATATTTGAATGTGGTCCATTTCATTGAATTGTGATTGTCAAAATGGTTCATCTCTTCTCATGCTTGCAAAACCAAGTAATGAAGAAGTACTAAAGATACAGTAACACTTTTTCACAAGGTCCCATTAGTTAACATTAGTTTATGCATTAACTAACATCAACTAGCAATGAGCAATACATTTGTTACAGTATTTTGGTACAGTAATCTGCGTTAACATTATTGTTTATTGTTAGTTCATGTCAGCTCTGGTCCATTAAACAGTATTAACAGGCACAACTTTTGATTTGAATTAGAAAATTTTGAAATTAGTATTTCTCATTGTTAGTTCATTTCAGCCATGTAGTGAACTAACGTCAACATATGAAACCTTATCGTAAAATGTTACCAAAACTACAGTGCGCCAAGAGCAACGCTTGCTTTTCCAGATTGGCACCTTTGATAATGCAGTTCCACAAACCTGACTCAGCACAGAGCAGCTTGCCCACCCACTGTTTCTCTTATCTTACAGGTTCTCACAAAGCCAAATTGTCTGGTTTTGTTACGGTTAATAGTTTGCGCTGGAAAAAGTCAGTGGGCGACAGTTACGGTAACGCCAAAGTTTAATGAAAGCCAACAATGGGTCCTGTGTAGGATTGTTTACACACCTTGGATGAAGTTCATATCTATCGAGTACATTCATTCGAGATTTAAAGTTCTTTCCACTGAAATAGATGAGTCAGATTTAGCTTTTGGCTTTTGGTGGGCCCATCGCTCATTAAGGTTTATACGACCAATGCCGTTTGCCTACTTGCCTACTTGCCTCATCAACCACATCAACCGGTCTGACCTAAAAAGTTGCATTAAACTCAAGTGTCTGTCCTCACCTCCAGTTCAAAGGGAAGCAGAGTAAACCTTCCTGTTTTATTATTACTGGACGCACTCCACTTGACAATTTCGAGAGGAAAAAGGAAAGCAAGACTAAAAATAGTAACTTCCATCATCTGGTTTGATTTCAGAGTTGTGTGCAAGCAAGGATTTGGGAGGTGCCGTTCAGCGCTCGTCCTGATGGAGTTGAGGAATGGAGACGTAATCCTGCCGCACAGTTACGAGGGCGCAGGGTGGTTGAAGGTCCCCCTTTCACGCTGATCTTAAAGCAGTGTGATTGGTTTTTCGTATAGTTAAGATTAGGAATTGGTTAGGGGGAGCTGGTCGTAGATTAGCATAAAAGGGACTCTTCTGACAGCGACAGAGTCACGGTCGCGAGGCCGCGGGCTCCCCACATCAAAGAGACTGGCGAGCGGGCTGGAGGGTTAGACTGACAGGCGGTGGGGGCTTAGAAGAGGGGGCTGGGTTCATTTAGGGAGACCAGAACTGAACTTCAAAGCCCTTGTCCCATGGCTCTTAGCACATACAAGGGTAAAATTTTCAATGGTCCCCTACTTGTGTATATAACATCTTAAAGCAGTGTTCATTAACCTCAATAATGTTTCTTTCAGCAGAGTGTGCAAAGATTGTCCTCTTGTGTTTCAAATGATGCTTTTTCTTTTCTTTTACAAATCTATGATTTCATTTTTTACTCTGAGACCTCTGCTGTGGGCGTTTTTTTTTTATACATTTTTGCATTTCAAAAAGTAAACTTCTGAATGTTAGTTATATTAACTTTACTACTTTTACAAAAAAAGTAAGAAAGTACTTTAATTCTACAGCCTGACTTCGTCATACTCATATTCTAGTCAGAATGTGAGTCTGATACTGAGTCTGTTGTCAACAGAACTCAACTGCACGCACGCTGGAAGTAGTAGTAAAATAATGAGTGTTGCTTCTTTTACTTGGTCCTCCGTGAGTGCGACCAATGGAGAAACCACAACGACCACAGGGTTTTCATTGTGTCCCATCTTCTTAGCGTCCATCAGAGCCAGCTGATAAAATAAACTTTTGCCGAATCCCATAGGAAGGACGGCAAACACATCTTTCAGATCGACAAATGCCTTGATTGCAGTTCTCTGTTCATCTTTTAAAATGAATGTGCTGTTGATTTCTTTTACAACAGAAGCGATAGTGGAATCTATACATCTCATTTCTGCAGCTGCAGTCATCTTTGAGGGAAACCAGTTCAACCCAATCGCTCTTTGACGTAACTGCAGATCGTCTGTCCATCATCGTATAAAGCCCGCCCTGGCAATCTGATTGTCCCGACTAATTCTGAACCGATCATAATTACTCCTCAATCGAGTCCAGACCGAACTTCGCGACCAAAAAAGTTGTGGGCGAGGTTCGGGCTGGCATCCAGGCTACTTTTATTTAGCCAATAGACACTAAATTGTTCAAACGTGCCGTAAATTGTACATTTTTGCAATTTTATCCTCACAGTGTGCCATTATATCACACATGATCACTGCATAGGCTACTGACTGTTTAGAATAATTTTTTATCTTATTGTTTTATTGCAATTTTTAACATGATTAGCAAATCAATTTTCTAGTTGCATTTGGGGATAGGGGACTTTTCCCCCACATTACAACAGGCCTTTGTGGTCAGAAAAATTTTTGTTACAATGAGGATCAATGCTTAGACCTATCATAGAGCATTGATGTTCATGGCAGACAGCAAATTAATGGTTCCTTCTTTAATCTTTTTTTTTCTTCTTTCTCTGTCTCGCAGAGTTTTGTTCACAAGCTCCGTCCTCAATCTTGCTGAGCTTGTAGCCCTGCGGCCTGATCTCGCTCATCTTAAGAAGGTCCTCTACTTCCATGAGAACCAGCTGGTATATCCAGTCCGAAAGAGACAAGAAAGAGACTTCCAATATGGTTACAACCAGATCCTCTCATGGTAAGAGCAGAGTCTGGTGAACTTTACAAAAGTACCTGATGAAGAAAAACATAACTTTTTATGGTTACCAGACATTTCTAATGTGCTGGATATTGCACATGCTGGATTTAAAATAAATAATCATAGCACACAGTATGCAATTTATATTTCATCATTAGTTTCTACTGTAGAAAAAAAAAAAGAATATGCAAATTTTTGCAGAACTAAAATACATTAGTTTAAGGGAAATGGAAATGCTGTGAGTTACTTTAAATTGTAGTAATAATGCACATAGTGTGCATTGATGGCTAAATATAATTTAGAGTTGTATGGCAGAGTATATGCCCTTTTTTAATTCATCGCTAATAATATCAATGGTTGAATCGCTAATATCAATGGTTGAACTAGAAATCTGGTCACCATTACGTATATTAGTATGTCAGTATAGTCTTTTAATAAGAAGTACCATTTCTGTTCCAGATTGGCTTTTTATTCACTAGAGAGACAGTGTGTCTGAGACAGAATAGTTTATCATGCGCGTTACTTGGCATGATGTGGTTGGTTAATTATTGGATCGTATAATGGCGCTCTAATTCTTAAGAACTCAATGTATTAAAGCCTAATATCATAATCAATCTTGATGCTTGAAAGAAGGGTTTTAAGAGCTCTAATTGGAATACATTGTGATTGTTGTCTGTCAGAGTATCATGTCAATAATTCAAAGGCCCTTTGCTTGCTCAACTTTATTAACGTGGCAGAACAGTGACACAAAAAAGAGCTCGGCTCCTCTAATTCACTCTCTAATTGAGTGCAATGCCGTGATTGATTCTGGGAATTGGGGTGTGCCATTTAAAAACATGGTTTGTTTGTGTCTGTGGATTCTAATCAACATGTATTAGATATTTTAAGTGACTAGTTACTATAGATGTCTGCTAAGCACGGCTTTCCATATAAGAGTAAAGTTCGCTTTTCAAAGCGTATGTTGCTTTCAATAACGCTCATTTTCGAGAATTAATTAAGGAGCGGAGAAATATTGTGACATTTTGTGGCTTGCTTTGTCAGTGTTTATCTTCCTCCATCATCTGAAATGAAAATGTTTTCCCAGCCTGGTCGCGGATGTGGTGGCGTTCAACTCCTCGTTCAACATGGAGTCCTTCCTCTCCTCTATCTCCACCTTCATGAAGACCATGCCCGACCATCGACCCAAAGATCTGGACCGGCTCATCCGACCCAAGTGCCGTGTCCTCCACTTCCCGATTCGCTTTCCTGATGTCACAAGGTCTGTTCTTTATATCCCTCACCACAGCCTTCTAGGGATCACTCCTCCACTGATTAAAAAATGTGCTAGCAAGTTCACTCTTAATCCGCCCCCAAAAGCTGATCGTGTATGCAAGCGTGGTTAATGGCGAGTGGGCAAAGTTGTGTAAGAAAGTGATTAAAATAGACAGCTTTAATATCCTGTGTGGATCACTTGACACGCTCCGGCTACAGATACGTGCTTGTGCTTGGGCGCACATGCATGGACATACACAACATGCCCACTGGGACAGAAAGTGATTTCTTTGTGTTCTAGTCTGTTTGACTGTAGATGGTGTAGAAATTTGTGTTTGATTTTTGTGTGGCTGAGCGACCGCAGTAAAATAATTAGTGAGGATTTTTACTTGGGGCATTTCATCTGCATTGAATGGCAGGTTATTAAAATTCACCATTTTTCTAAAAACATTTTCAGAAACCTTTTGGCTCATGTGGACGCAAGCAACTGTAGTGAACTGACTATTCATGCATGTATCCATTAATTATATATTGCTTTTAGTTGGTTATCATGACTTAAAATGCATATTTATTTGGTATTTAAAATAGTCTTGCATTTTGAGATTGCTTGATTAGAGGAAATAGCTAGGAAGAAGCAAATATTTAAAATGCGTGATGTCCTTGCGTGATCACTGGTCCCTGAATTGATTTATACTGTTATTTAGGGTCTCTGAGCACACTGCTCTTTTCCCCTCCCCTACAGCTTTAAAATCTCACTGTTCTGCGTACTTGTTTTAGACTTAGAGTCTAGATTGGCTTCAGAATTTGCTTCCCGAACTGTCGTCTTCGATCAACAATCATTGGTGTGTTTTTTTTGTTTTTTTTTCATCGCCCCATTCCAAAGCATTGTCAAGAATAAGTCGGCAACTCCTGCTTCTTGTTAGATTCCTAATGAACAGCAAGCAGGACCTGAAACGAGTGGAACAATATTGTAAATTCATTTTGATTCAAGGCATTCTTGGGCTGGATTATGTGTGCTGGTTTAAAGATTAAAGAGGCTGTAAGCATGTAGTGCATACCATTTCACATTTTCCCTTAGCTGTATCGCAGTCTTTTTTTCAATCTGATGTGCATGTCGCTATTAAATTAGAATTGTGTGAAAAGTTGCGGATTGGTTGCAAACATTTTCAGTAGGTTTTAAAAATAAAAACATACATTTCTAAAGAGTCCAGTTTGTGTTCATTCAATTAAAATTTGAGGATTGAGTTCTGTATAATATGTTAAATGTGTGTGTGTATGTATGTATGTATGTATGTATGTATGTATGTATGTATGCATATACTGTATATATATATATATATATATATATATATATATATATATATATATATATATATATGAAATATGTATATTAAAATTATTTAGAAAAAAAAAATACAGTATATCAGTTATAAAATAAATATATTACTAGAATATATTACTATATAAAATATAATTAGATATTTAAATCATAAATAAAATAGTATATACTGTATGTACACTCACAAACACCCAATATTATAAAAGCGTAATATTTATTTGAATCTGAATCTCATTCTATATGTCTTAGCTCAGCATAAAAATGCCATGTCATATATTTTTATTACATCTTTCTGTTTTATATGTTTGCAGCCCATTACTTTTCTGCCTTCTCTTTGTTCTTTCATTCTGTATATCTAAAATGTTTATCTTCAGGTCTGAGCGAGGCATGTTTTCCATTATCTTTTTGATGCATTTTGATGCATTAGTCAGTTCTTTGTTGACAAAATCAAGATTTTTAATGCACACTTAAAAGAAATATCCAGCCGCTTTGTGTTTTCAAGTTTGTTTTTTGTGATTTAGAAGAGCCAGACCACTGAGGTCACGTTTCAGTGTTTGTCATCACTAAAACAGCTGTGTATGCTTTGCTGTATTTCTTTTTTAAATGCACCTATATTGATAACATAGCTCTCCCTTTTTGTTACGGAAAATACTTTTGTGTTTTATATATGCAAACGGAATGAAAATTACTGTATTGATGGAAACAGTTTGAGTGGAAATAGCGAAAAGCTGAGTCGCTTTTGTACGCAATATTTTTAGTCTTTCCTTTATTTTATTTACTAACGATTCACAATCCAATTTGACCGGATGCTAAATATATCTTGACTATAAAAATTTGTTTTTAAGCACAGACACTCCTCCTTTATGTGTTAATTCACAAAATTAAATAAACAATAATATGGTATTACCTCAGTTTTGTTTGAAATAAAATAAAATATCAGCAATTGTGTTGAGCACAGCTTGGTGAGCACTTTTTTTGCTCTTATCTGATTTGCACCATTCTTTTAATAAATCAGGCAATACATATTATAGGGTCGGGGTATAATTCAAATTTAGTATGGTTTGGATCTGTGATGTCAGCAATAGATCTACTGTACATACTAACAGTTCACTGCATGCGTTTCACATAAACGTAGCTGTCCAGGCAGAGTGTATCTATCGACAGAACCATACATTAGTGGTCTGTTTTACACGTTGTTATAGATGCCTCGTCAGATTTGAGATTGACCAGTGCAAGTTATAGGATTACAGTTAGAATTTTGTTTTGTTTTTTACTGAGAAATGTTATACCTCTAATAGCATGTACAAATAAAGAGCGCTGTCAGTGTTGTTTGTATGTCTACTTGTTTACTATGTTGTTTGTGTTTGTTTCTATGAGGGGATGGATGTGCCCCAATGCTTGGTTGGATGACAAATTTTCTCTGTGTGTAAAATGTGGGTTAAGATGACATTAGTAATGTTGGTCCACACTAGTGTGTGTGTATTTTTGCAAAAGTGTGTGTGTCCGTATCATGGCTAAGAGACGCTGTAAGTAAGCTGACACTGATGACGCAGGGCTCTCGCCTACAGTGTTTCTCAGCTCATTTTCAGATGGTAATTCGCCCCTTCCAAAGCAAACTCACAGAGTGTAAGGAAACGATTATATGCATGGCCGGCCATCCGTCAACATGCCCTGGGTTCTTTTCTCAGCAACCAACTTTGTCCAATCCTTTTAAAAAATTTAAAATATTCCCAGAGACAAACAAGAGAAGAAACAGAGTATTTGATTTGAAATATCTCACAGGTGGGCTCCTGTTGGTCCCTTGTTTGTGTGATGCATATTTCTTATTTCTTTCACTCTTTTGTTCTTTTTCTGTCAAAAGAAACAAAAAAAAAGAAGTAAAATTTTGATAATTATGAAAATATTGGCTCTACTGTCATATACCATATCCTCAAAAGATGCTGTTTAAACAAAAGAAACACTGAAAGATGACAAGAATACTGATGTAAAACGTACGATATAGTCGCGAGAGGACAGCCCACAAAGGTTAGTATGAGGAAACTCCCTTTAAAGAAAATAAAGTACACAGGGTTAGCCCACAGTCACCATCCCCATTTAGTGGAGAAAGATGGAGAAAAATAAACAAGGTAAAAGTAACCTCAGAAAGAAAACATCTTTTGTAATATCTCATTGAATGTAGTAATCCAAAGAAATCTCTACTTTAAAGGCTTCTATTCCCTCGCAGTGTCCTTTGGATCAACTTCATCAGACCTCACTTATTAATTGGCTTTTTGCGTTTAGCCGTAATTCAATCGCGATTGACCCTAGTGAGCAGGAGCCCAGCTGAGCGGGGCCATACCACATCATCAATCACTGAAATCCACAACGCTGGTGGCCGCTATTAAAGGCCAGTCTTTGTATTAAAACACAACAGCCCAACTGGGTATGTTTGCATAAAGTCACATGACAATCAGGTGTCCTTTCAAGAGTTTCAGCCCCAAGGAGCCGCCACATCACAAAGACACTCCTGGAAGGACTCGAATGCAATGCTGCTCCGATTTCCATTGTTCTCCACTCTGGCAGAAGAGTGAATTTGGTTTCCATAGCACTTAACTGGCATCAGATGTTTGCAGAAAGTTCCACGCACCCGATCGGAATGCTAAGATTGATGGCCAGCGCTGTATTGATCCCAATGCTGTGATCTAAAACAATGACAGTTCCTCCTAATACGGGGACCACAGTGCTATCAAGCTCATTGAGGGGAAAATCCATCACAGGAATCTCTCGCATTGTCAGGAGGACCAGGTTTTCATTAGCCCATTTAACTCAGTACAGATAACTGAAGCTACTTTTCAAAGTTGGTGGGGAAAAGAGGGTATTTGGCTGCTTTTTAAAAAGCAGTTCAAAGGCATGGATGTGACTCTCTGTAAGGCGGCCTGCCGCCAATGACTGACTGGCGGAGCGATTCTGTTACTGAAGCAGATGGCAGGATATCCTGCTGTAGAGATTGTCTCAGAACGGTTCAAAGGGAACAGCGCAGTGGAAATTATGCGCCTTGGTCCCATATCGAAGTAATAAAGTCGCATCAAAGACGCCGATTACCTTGTTACATAAACCAGTGCCACGGCTTCATAGTTGTGTGGGTTACATTATTTAATTGAAGCGAGTGGTGGTGTGTTTTTGTAGAAATGTGTGTATGACATTGAGTTGTCGAGTTGTCCCTGGGTGGCTTGGGAAACCATTCCAATGTATTGGAAAATTTGCAAGCATGTTTTGTAAATACGCATATCTAAAAGCTGCTTTTGAGATAAAGCTGCGATGGATCTGCTGATGTTGAACCTCTGCTAATCCTGCTTTTCGAACTTGCTCAGGTCCCCGTGGAGGCCTTGATTATCACTGTACTCACTTGGAGTCGGTAGCCACCAGCGGTCAGAAACTCATCACTTGGCACCCGAGCTCCAAATCCTCATGCGCCTTGCTACTCATCCTGTTGCACTCTCTTTTTTGATTGCTCTTAAGCCTTAATGTGGGCAGGATGGGGTGATGAGGAGATGGGCTTTCTTAATCAAATCGCTGAGCGTTTAATCTTGTCGGTGAAACATCTGGCGGGCACCTTTTTTCATTTGTTTCTTTGACATCGGATTCCACCACCTCGTGCTTTGAGGACATTTTCAAAAGGGATCTCTAGCCTTGTGGAACGGAGACTCTTCAGTATGTGCCCTGTGAAAATAATCCAATGGTAAAGCCCAAAGGTATGGCATGCGTCTGATCTCCAGATCACGTGTGCCAGGAACGAACCACAATTGAGTCCATATGGTGCTTTCAAGTGCTAGGAGCGAACCGTGATAAATAGGAATGAATCAAGAATAAAGCCCCTGGCTTCAGAGATTTGTCCCAAACAGCTGGCTTGTGGCCATAGGTTTTGCCATGATGTAATCAGGACATGCAGGTATTTGTAAAACACAAGTCAAAATGTGTCATCTTTGATTGTTTGCTCTTAGGGAATGTTTGCTCTTTGCTCTTAGCTTGCTCTTTGCTCCTATACATTTTCTAGTCTCAGACCTCAAAAGACCTCAGGCCATTTTAGAAACCTAACCAAAGTGTATTTATAATGTTTATATTTTAATAATAATTAAAAAATGAATAGTGAATCGAAAAGCTCTCAGATGCTGAATACACTGGATCACGAGCTGCTCAGGTGCTGGGCTTCGCTTTAAAACAGACAGCGCATCAGACTATAAAGTTATTTGATTAGTTTGCAGCACTAAACTATATAATTATCAGGCATCCCCATTTATTTTCTTCAAATTTTACATTTGATGTAATTAATTATTAGCTTTTCATCAAATTGCCAATCCTCTTGCAGTTCCCTCAAAAAAAAAAAAAAAAAAAAAAAAAAAAAAAGATTCCGAACCTGTGTTTCAGCTTTTTAGTTTGAAGTGACCACCACATCTATATCTTTTAAACAGACTTCTTGTGAAAAGACTGAAGTTAGATTCAGTTGGTCACTTTCTTTTCCACAGTTCCCAGCAAGGGCTTAAACATGTCTTTCGGAGTTTAACTGTTGTCTTGTAAACAAATACTTGAGTTCTCGTTTCGATACAGAGGAGACGTTTTCATCCTGCTTACACCTGCTCAGCTTGTTAACAAAAAGAAGACAGCATGTAAGCAAAGTACAGACAGTGAAACATTGCTCATGTTCCGTGTGTAACTTAAACAGAACTGGGCATTTTTCTTACTGTTCTGTCTCTATGGTAACACCAGCTTTACACTAATTGTTATAACTTTCTTATCATTTTAAACTAATTTCAATCCACTATCTTCCATTAAGCAAACACATATCTCTATTTAGAATAAAACAATACTTCCATTGCCGCTGTCAACATCTAACAACTGATGAACAGCTATGTGCTAGTAAGGGATTGAGATGTGGAGGTTTTGTTTGAAGTGATCATGCTGTTATTCGTCTGTTTCACATGACAGATGTCATAGAAAGGGCAGATTTTGACACAACTGCACAAGCCATGTCAGATTTGGTAAGCCATATGTACATTACATAATACGGAGAGTATGTCATTGCTAACGCATTCCATAACCCGATGCAATCATATCCGTCATCTGCGTTAAATGGAAATGGGGCAAGTCTGTAGTGTCGCTGGAAACCTCTAGTAGCCTTCTGTTTGGTAGCCTTCTGTTTGGTTACCTCCTGTGACCTACTTTAGCTGTACTGCATGTCAGTCTTTGTCATAAAAATTTGGAGTCCTCATCCCAACGTCCTCAGAGGTATGATATTTTCATTCTCAGTGTCACGTAGAGTAGACTAAAGTCCAGGATGTGTGCCGCAGTTGGGACAGGAACTTTGGCGTTTGACTATGAGGTCAGTTGGTAATAATGAATGTAGATGTTAATGTGCAGTAATGACCTTCTCTGTCCACATCTCAGAGGCTCTCTTCAGGTCTCCTGTGCCCATCATACCAGACCTCTGTCAAGCCACCCTACAGGGCACCACTGATGAGACTAATGCTGGCCACGGTGCTTTCAAAATGACACACTTGGCCGCATTAAACCTTTGCGTGATTGTTCGCTTTCGCTCAGTGGGCAGAGAGTGTTATAGGGATGTTTCAGGTTTAATAAGTTAAGCTAAATTGACAGTGTGTCTATTTGGGCATGATGTCTGTTACCACCAAAAATAATTTTGACTTTTTTTTTTAATTTTGACTTTTTAAAAAAGAAAACATCATGGTTGCAGCATCATAAATAGGGTTGATCGCATATAGTTTTATAGCCACAAAACCTGAATAATTTCTTTTGTTAAGATATGCTGTAAAAAACAATGTAAATTTACAATTAGCAAATTAATACAATTTAAAATAACTGTTTTCTGTTTGAATATATTTTATTTATTCCTCTGATGGCATGCTGCATTTTCAGCATCATTACTCAAGTCTATATTCATTTAATGCTTAAGAACATTTCTTATTATCATCAATGGCATCGGTTGTCGGTTTTGATCATTTTAATGCATCCTTGCTGAATAAAAACATTAATTTCTTCTTTTTCAAAAATGAATGTTTACATTTGTGTAAATTTATAGGAAATATTTCAATTTCAATGCAAGTAAAGCCAGTTATCAAAGTAACTAAAGCTGTTGTACTTTTTTGCTGTCATTGTTTTGGCTGTACAACAGCTCTAAAATAAAGTCATTGTCTCTCAGTTCATACATGTAAGTGCTTTAACAAAAATATTTTGATTTTTATACCCCGTGGGCCATGTGTTCTTTGATTCTTTGTTCTGTGATTGTAAGTGCCTCATTATCATCATAACATTTTTATCATTCTTTTTTTATTTTATTTTGGTATTAATCAACATTATGCTACAATTGAGCTTAACTTGTAATGAACCCAGTTACTTTTAGCTGTCCTGAGTCACCCAGAAGAACTGCCCGAACTGCCGGAGAAAGTTCTCGTGCACGTAGCTCTCTCCGCTTCTAAGCCGTCACAACGGCCAACCTCAAGATCAATGGAATTTTTCATTAGCCTGGGAAAAAGAGACCGCTTGTGATTATTGCCAATAAAGGAAATTAGATGAAATGATTTTTGACTTTGATTTTCTTTCCTCCCTCTTTTCCCCAACCATCCTTTCACATTTAATCAAACGCAAGGTAAAAGTCATCTCTGAAATTGCGCCTGATTTATAAATAAGCTAATTGGTGGCATTCTCCCTCTCCTGTCAGTGGACACGGCTGTGTTTTTATTGCCTAGTCAAAACCTCCTCGTGTAATTTTCAAAATGGCCCTCGAAATGAAATTTTCCTCCCAGCTTGCAAGGCAGCTCCATCCCTCATACCTTGCCACAACCACCTTGTTGTCATCTCTTTAGTGCAGCTTTATGTAGCCCGGCTTTCCTGTCCACATCTGTTAGTTTATTCATCCATTGAAACTCTTCCCTGGCACTTTTATCAATGGCTAATCTAATGGAGGTGAACTGTTGAGTGACTGCTCTCATTGATACTCTGTCTTTCTCAGGGGCGTTGGGAGAATAATAATGACACCGTTTCATATTTGGATGGCCATTGATCGCTGCTGAATGCATATTTAGTGAGATGGAAAGGGGATTAGAGCATTGCATCTGAAACGACAACTTTAAAGGAGCTAGTGAATGCTTTGTGGACATTTATTCTGTGGCTTTAACAGCTTTCTTTGAAGGTTCTTCCATTCAGACCACAATTTACTTATCTGTATTTGACTAAAGCTTCCAGATCTTGATTTCATCTACATGAACAAATACACGATTGTGTCCTGTACCCGGAAACGCTTTCAACAGAGTTGAAAAGATAATGAACCAATGAGAAAAGGGAAATAAAGTGCTGCTTTCTCTTCTCGTATAATTGTCTCTGACCAGTACACAACTAACTTGGAAAAAGTGGGCGGTAGAAATACACCCAACATTGTGGTGAGTCGAGGCAGCCATCTGCATGTAACTCAGAGAGAAACTCTCTTTACACTCGACTGCCTTTACAGCCCCTTTTGTTTTGAAGTCGATGAGTTCTCCAGCACTTGGAAGAATCCACATATATTATAAACATATTGTGGGAAGTCGTGCTAAAGTAGTTTGTCATGTTGTATTGCTGCCCTCCACCACAGAGACTTTGGCTCACTAAAATACATATATAAGTGCCACTTAGGACATCCTCTTTATTCAAGCCAATTTAATGAACTTAAACTTATTTTATTTATTTTTCCTTCCCAAATATGCCTTGTTGCAGAGTGACGATGTTAAATCGCGTTAAAAGGAAAGATCATCTACTGTAATTGTAATGGACGCTTTCATCAGCAGACACATGTTTGCTGTTAGTGATCTGCTCATAACCTTTGGAAGATTATGTTGCATCATGAATATCTTGAATGGCTTTTGTAAATGTTTTGGACTCATTCAATCTGGACTAAAGGTATAGTGTCATATATCTGTCATTTTATAAAGCGGTACAAGGTTGTTTCTTTTTGGATTTTAACATTGCCTTCGGTTTTGCTCCACTGCAAAAAATAATAGAGCATCAGTAAGCATGGGGGAATCTCGCTCTCAAGCAGCTAATTGGCTCGCGTCCATCACACAACCTACAATTAGGACTCGTGGTGCCATGGAGGCAGCGCATGGGCTGTGCAGTCGCAGAGAACGGGGAAAGTGCTTTCTGCATTTTATGGATTGCTTTTGGCAGAGAATTACGTGAAAATGTGACTTGTTTTAACTTCTTTAACTTGTAATAATCATCGTGGTTGCAGAATATATCAGTCCGGCTGTGCGCTTGACATATTTTAAGGCCGGGGAGAGAGAAATGCCACATGAGGGCCTTTTTTTTTTTCTTTTATAAAATGTGGTTTTAGTTACCTTCTTTGTTTATTTTGCTCAAACATGTAATGTTCTGACTGGTGTAGCATATGAATTATTTGCTCCTTATGTTGTTTTTCATTATAGAAATCAGTGAACGTTTGAGAAAAACATGTTTGAATCAGGAATGTGTTTACAGTCATAGTGTGTTTTTTTTTTCCTTTCTCTTTTTTTAAATAGTTTTTTTTTCATAGTTTCTCTAATGTTTTATAGGACTTTTCCTCTTTCGTCCTCAGATTCCTCCCTGCTCACAAACGTCTCAGGCATTCAGTGCGGTGTGATGATATCCACGCTCAGGCTGCTCAAAGCCGCGGTCAAACCTCAGGTCCAAGGTAACACTGAAGCACTGAAGGCTGTTTGTGCATTAACATGACTAAGACTTAATTCTTGAGGAAATGATGTGGGCCTAACTAATGACCTTATAATAAACTCGTCTCCAGCAGTTGTCCAGACCTCACGATAGACTCTGAGTTACCTGAGAAGATTCTCTATGTGGCGGGGCCACATCAGTCCTTGAAGCCCACGAGTGTCACACCCCATCAGGAGCTGTTGGAGAATCAGCCAGTGTCATGCACTGATGATGATGATGATGATGATGTTGAGAGAGGGAAACTTCGGCCACTCCACATAGTCTGGCCACATCGTTGGTAAGACGCTCATGAGAATATTAGAAAGATTTATTCATCAAGAGCTTATTCAACGTGCAACTATTTATATAAATTTGAATTTAACAAAATACATTCAATATTTCACTTATTATTTTTTTTTAACACTACCTGACTGATTATTTAGAATTATAATGACAATGGATTGTAAAAAAAAATGTTTCTTCAACTTTGGGCACTTTTTAATCTTGTGGACTTGCTTGCAAAATATGCATAATTTAGTAAAACAAACACTCTTACATCATTTGTGTTTGATAAGGTTATGTGGTTAAATCACAATTCAAACAAAATAAAATGGATGAATATTAGTCTAGTCAAGGCTAATTTCATATCTAGCATTTGTTGTATACTTAAACACACACAATTAGTATATATTTGAAACTTTTGAGAATTTAATAAAATGCATTTTCACATGCATTCACTATTTTTGTTTGTAATCATAGTTTAAAATGTAATAATATTTATTTCACGATCTTCTGTCTGAGGCAAGGGTACAACAATAAAATGTTAGGCATAAGGCATTTGATAAGTAGATTAAATAAATAAATAACAACAGCATGGCATTTGTTTAAAAGAAAAACCTGTTGTCAAAAAAATCAACCATGGTACATGAAAGTGCTGACACCCTTATTTCATAGAATTGTGGAAACTGCAGAGTTGAAAAATTCTAGAAGATTGTTGAGCATTTTCATGTTGAAATAATAGCTTTTAGCTTTCACTGTTCCCACTAAACAAAGAACTCGCATAGAAATATAATGCGAAGACCTTGTTTCTCAGCAGACTTCAAACACGTGCGACATAAAAGTGCCTCAACATTAACCTGCATACAACTACCATTCTGTGAGTTATTTGCTTTGGATTGTGCTGGGAATTGTTTGACAGTACGGCAGAGGCATGGAAAATGGATAACATGCTTGTTTTGGTACAACATGCATAGATAGACCACTGGTTCTAAGCATGTAATGTGTCCTCCGACCCCCTCGATGGTTGTGTAATATATTTCAGCATTATCTCATTGTTTTCAAGATCAGTCTTGGCATTAGAATATTATCAGTGCCATCCGTGTTTGATTCCTTTTAATTTTTTTTGTTTAAAGTTTGTATGAACAGAACCTCAATTGCAGAAACGACAACAGAAGGGAACGTCTGTGCCATTGAGTTTTGTTCACAGGGACTGATGGGGGAGGGATGAGAAAATATTTTATTGCCCGCAGGATTGCTTTGTGGTTTTTGTTGAAGTTTAAATATCTTCCACTCCCCATATTTTAGACCTCTTCTTGGCATGAGTGAAAACCAAACAGCATTGTATCTCTACCTCATCTGCCATGGGCTGAGAAGAAAAAAAAAAAGAAACTGTTGCTCAAGCCACATATTTCTCCCATGACTCTTTGCTCATCTCTTGGCAGTGATGATATGTTTCCTTACCAAAAAACACCCATAAATCAGATTAACAACCGAAAAGACCACCGGTGTCGAAGTTTGATGCTGGCACGGGGATTTTGCAATGTTTGTTTGTGTTATGTATCTGTCATTCACCTACTCTTGTATCAGTAACAAAAGAGTTCATTGTGTAATCTCTTCAAAACTGAGCAAAACACAGATGGATTAGCGCTGTTAACATCCGTGCCTCGTAAACGTTGGCTTTGGTCCGAGTTAAATTGGGATTTACACAGGGCGAGAGCTGCTGGAAAATAAGAAGGGGCTTGGATTATCTTTGACAGTGTGTCCCATTTCATCCTTTTTCCAGCCTCTCTTTTTGTCATCATCACTGGTTGCAGATTGTTAATCTCCATGTGGCCTGGATAGGTCTTCATCCGTTGGATTACAGGACTGTCTTATTGCAGGCGCTGACTGGGGCGTATGGTCAGAGAGGGCAGCTGTTTGCAGGTGCATGTGATGAGGGCTTAGATTTGCTTCTGAAAAAAAAAGCCCATTTACCTAAGAGGGTAACCTTGTTTTTCACGGTGACCAAAATAAATAAATAAACTGCAGTAAAGCGCTAAATAAATAAATGTGACTTGACTTGACTTAAAGCACTAATGTATACCATCGTCACATGGGCTTTCCCTCCGCCGGACCTTTGCATTTTAGGCGATCACTCTCTGCTGGCAATTATGCAATGTTTTTTTTTTCCCTTTTCTTCTGTGGCCTGTCTTGAAATCCAGACATATTTGTGTATCTCGCGTTCTTCGCAGACTGTGCAGCGGGCACTAATGACCAAGTAAAAAAGACACGGGCACTGACTCATCACCACACTGTGCTGGCATGGATCGTGGCTGGTTCCACAATTCCTCCTGCGCCCTGCTCACCGCCAGAGCCGTTCTGCAGAGACCCCCATTAGAGAGGGATGGCGCTTGGAAAGACATGATATGTTGGAGTTTTGAAAACGGCACAAAGGATTTAAAGCCGACTTGCGAGCGAAGGCAGAATTCCAGACGATATTTGACTTTTGATGTTTGCACACAATTAAAACTAATGATTCAGAGTCACGTAAAAGTAGAGAAGTGGAAAAGAAATCATTTACTGAGAGTAAACATACTATCAAAAGACGTCAGCACATACATTTTCACAGGCATTCGTGTATAGTTACCCCCTTATTAGCACCCCGCTGTGAACCCCTCCCTGTGGAGGAACAGTGAGAACTATCGACACGGTCATGGTTTGTTTTGTCTTGTTTCACCGGAGTCTTTGCTTCCGCTATTTTCAGCTGACCCTAATCAATCCCCAGATAACTGAATCCTGGGCTTTCAAGAGCCCCATTAATTAGCCCTTTCGCTTCCTTCTGATTTGAATCCTTTAACGTCATGCTTTTGCAGTAAATAGAGTTTGAATTTTAAAACATGCACCTCATGGGTGCGACTTAAAGGGGAATATTTAATCATAGCTGTCTAAATGAGAGGATCATATTCTTTTAAGTGGTACCGGATGACTGCTAATGAGGATTCGCCAGGTCCCTGCAGAACCCTTTTTTTCTATTTGTTTTATTTGGTTTCTGTATCATTGCACTCTAAGGTCAAAGGGCAAGGGGAAAAAAATCCTATTTTAGTTTTGGGAAGTAACACACACACACATTTACACTATAAAAGTTTTGGATCAGTAACATTTTGTTGTTGTTGAAGGAAATTATTTAGCAAGGGTGCATTAAATTGATCAAAAGTTACAAAAAATAAGTGTGTGTGTGTGTGTGCGTGTGTGGTGTTTGTAAACCCTACGTAAAGGGATAAAATGTACCAACAAAGATGGCAATATTCAAACTCCCTGTGGGGGCATTTTTTGGTCCCCATGACAGCTTTTTCAAGTTTTCTGTGATGAGTTGGTTAAGGGGATAGATTATACAGTTTGTACAGTATAAAAATCATTGTCTTAAGCCCCCATAAAAAAAATAAAAATAAAAAAAATTTGTGTGTGTAATTAATTATTTAATTGAATTTTATAATAATATCAAAATATACAATATATAAGTATTTATTATGAATACCGCTTAGAAAGTAAGAGCAATATTGATTGATTTTTGCATTGTTTGTCCATACTTGCAGTATAATCTCCACCTCAAACTTTATTTGGGTCATCCATATTTGCCACCTATCATCAACATCTGCATTTAAAAATGTCCCTTAAGTGTAGCTCGTTGATAGTTTCTAATAATTAATCACTAATATGCTTGCGATGTACGTTTAGTAATCTGCCCAGACCAGACGTCACAGGCCAGCAGCAGCCGCAAGTGTATTTTAGTGAACTTGTGTTTGTGCGGGTCTCCACTCTTCCAGTTTTAGTGCGAGAGGCACGTTGAGCCCCAGCAATCCCTGCATAACATAACTGACATATTAATTAACCCTCCGCTATGCTGTCAGTAGGAAATAAAGCATCATGGCCCTCATGAAGGCTGTTTTAGTTACTAGACTGACAGGCCGGGTAATAGGCATCCCTGCAGTCGCCATGTCACCTCCCCGCAGGTCAACCCGTCTTAGTCCGGAGGAGGTAGCAATCACATCCACAATGTAGCGAATCAAAGAGGCTGCAAAATTAATGAGGGAATCAACGTCAAGCCAAGAGGGAAAAGGCAACATAAAAGAACCGGAAATGAGAGGAAATAAGCCCTCACTAATACCTCATCTAAGGAGATTCCACCCAAGTGGGAGGTGTCTTTTGTCAAAGCGCTTCTGCCCCGGTAATTGTTTTTGACCTTCAACGTCGTCATTTTTGTGAAGAGAGCTCTTTGCCAGATAGCATACCGAACGACAGTGCTGACGAGCTCAGAGATTTGTCAAAGCCTCTTTTGTGCAACATGTATGAGCTCTGTAAGGCCCTTGTTCGGTAACGTACCTCTGCTTTATCAAGAGGATGAGCCGCATGGATCACCATTCCACTCTCAGGGTTTTGAAAAGACTTCAAGCCAGTGAGAAGGATTTCAAACCAGTACACCGAGGGTTGTATTCGGAAAGAAGCTTCTTCGTCAGATGTGCTTTCTGTATGTTTGGCCACATTCGTTTTTTTGATTGCATAATGAAACAGGGGCTTGCTAGCCTGATTCGTCATACTCAGATTCTGAGTCTGATTCTGCTCCATTGGGCATGTGTCAACCGAACCAGGAAAGAAAATGCATCTGCACTCAATTGGATAGACCTACAACTAATCAGAGCAACGTAGTAAGTGACGTATGTTGAATCCCATCGGAAGGACGGCAAAAACATCTTTCCGATCGGCAAATGACTTGATCGCGGTGCTCTGTTCCTCTTTTAAAATGAATGTGCTGTCTACATCTTCGGCAACAGATGCGATGGCTGAATCTACACATCTCAATTCTCCAGCGGCAGCCATTCTTTGTTGTAAACTAGGGGTGTAACGGTACATGTATTCATATTGAACCGTTTCGGTTCGAGGCTTCCGGTTCGGTACGCATACAAACCGAACGATTGCTTGGACCATTTTTCTTGCCGGCAAAATTCGTGCTGACGCGGCCAACACAACGTTGCGCAACATCCAAATGGCAAGGGTAATGAAAGCAGAACGAAACTGCGCTCCTCGTTATGTGCTTTACGGATCGTTTATCAGTTCGGACCAGCAACATCTGTGCAGCGCGAGCCGATCTCGATTAAGCAACACTGTTACCACAACGCGCTAAGAGATCCGGTAAAGAAAACATTTGAATTCGCCACTGAGGTAATAACATCGCTGCGAGATCTAGTGAGATGCATTCACATTTCTCCGTTATTAACCGTAGATCTCTATTCGATCAAACAGCGCTGTCATGGAAACCAGGAGAAACATTGTGCCGTGAATGAACTAGTACTTTACGTCCACAGACCAGCAACATTCACCATGGATTTAATATAGTAACACTAACTGTAACCAGTTTGGCTGGAATGGTGAAATGCTTTCAAGTACTTCACACATCTTTTTCCAGCACTTCAAAATTCAAATATTATATAAATAAATATATATTTAAATGTTATTTTTAATGTGATGACCAAAACATTATTTGTTCATCTTTTAAAGATGACCCCTATTTATAAACCTGAAAGTTTCAAGATCTAGGAAAACTCACACTTATTTAAAAATATTTTTTCTTTAAACAAATAGGAAATTTCTCTGGCATTTCTTTCTTTTTGCTGTATCGAAAACGTACCGAACCGTGACTTTAAAACCGAGGTACGTACCGAACCGTGATTTTTGTGTACTGTTACACCCCTATTGTAAACGAATTCAACCCAACCCAACGGATAAAGCCCGGCCTGACAATTTGATTGGTCCAAACAGCTTTGGTTCGGGCATGCTTGCTCCACAACGGATCAAGTCCAGACCGAACTTCCCGACCTCAAATGTTGTGGGTGGGGCTAAGTTCGGATTGCATCCAGGTTAGGGGCTCGCAGTGGAGCGGTCCGAAGTGCACTTCGGAAGTAATTACGTGAGAAAGACTTATTGAAAATTGAAATAGCATTTAATAAAAAATATTCTTTGAAGTACTCCTCATTAATCTTCTCAGAACCTGTAAAGTGTGACTTGAAAGGCACACTTTAGACTTCAGAGTGAACTATTTTTGAGGTAATGAAACGTTGCCAGTGATCGCTGTGAAGCTGCTCACCAGATCTCTTGGCTGAGTTCAGAACTTTAATGGAAGCACACCAGCAATCAACGTCCTGGCTGGATCACAGTGACAGAACATGTGGCCTCAGCCTCAGATGTGTAATTAAGGTATACGAGCTGTGATTCCAAGAGGAACTTTGAGCACTTCTACCACGCACCTCAAATGTAAATAATTGTATTAGCATTTCAATTTGTTTACACATTTCTGGAAAATCAGAAATAAAAATGTCAAACACTGACATTTTTCTTTTTTTTTAAATCACAGATTTTACCTTTTCTCAGTATGTTTTTTATTATTTCAACAATAACATCAGAGCATATGTAAACAGAAAAGTTGAAGGTCATTTAAAAAATAATGAAAAGCAGAAATTGACTTTTGGTTACAAATTTTGCATGGATATTTTGTAGTTACAAAAATAAAGATTAGTTAAAGATGCTAATTATTATTAGTTAAATATACTCTCATGTGTGTGTGTGTGTGTGTGTGTGTGTGTGTGTGTAATTCAGCAAGGGAGCATTAAATTGATCAAAAGTCTTGTACTTGTCTGGTTGATTTTCCTCGTTTATAATGCATAATATAAACATGATGAAATAAAATATGCTACATGTTTAAATGCTAATGTTAATATGATGGTTACTGGTTTTTATGTTCTACACTTTATTTTTGAATTCCTTTTTTTACTTTCCTGCTATTAATTAATTTGTATTTATGTTATTGTTTCCAAACTGTGAAATAATCAGTGTTTTGTCTTTCTGGCTGAAGGGAACATGACAAAGACCCACAGCTGTTCTTCCAGACCTTACTGAAACTCAAAGAACGACAGCTGAGCTTTGAAGTTTCTGTCCTAGGAGAGACCTTCACCGACGTTCCAGGTACATCGTGTGCTGTATGGATTATGGATGGGGATATAATTAAGCATTTATGGTGTTATAACAGTTCTTTTAGACAACATTTTCCATTTTTTTCCAGTTTTTTCTTTCTTACTTGGAATGATTTAGTTGTTTGACACCTCTGATGTCATGCACAAATGTAATTACATGTTTAACTTTGAAACAAATTTGTTAAGTGCATCGCTTAGGTTCAAAGATTGTCTGTTTATCGCACACAAGCAATGTTTCCATTGGCAAAATACTCTCCTCATTAGTCGACAATTATGTTTTAATATCTTTTGGACAGTGTTAAGTATTTATGGTGTCGTGTTCATTTCATTTATGTGCCTGCACACTCTAGAGCTGCCAAAGCGAGACTTACAGGAAACACAATCTCTTATATTGAGATGCAAAGTTTTATCGGGACATAAACAGCCAATGGACCAAAAGAAATAAACAGATCGTAAAGGTTGCTCATGTTATGAAATTATGTTTACGATTGCTCGGAAGGCAATCACATTGAAACGGTTTTAATCTATTTTGATTTTGCTAATAGAATCCCGTTATTGATTATTTGTGCCCTTCTCCATTTTATGTCCACATTTATGAAGGGCTTGCTTATTTTATCTCCTCGCAAAATATGACCAAAATTTGAAACATCCCTCTCTCCGCTAATTACTACACGTCGATATTGAGGCCTCTGTCCCTTTCTCCGTTCCTTCCCACTATAGACATCTTTTCAGAAGCCAAAGAACAGTTGGTTGACCACATCCAGCACTGGGGTTTCATGCCCAGTAAGGAAGATTACCTCAAAACGCTGTGCCAAGCAGATGTCGTCGTTTCCACAGCCAAGCACGAGTTTTTCGGAGTAGCAATGTGAGTTTCATCTGCTGTCTGTCACAGAAATATGTTCTCTCCAAACAGAAAGTCACCACAGCGGTTTATTTATGTTGATTAGCACAAGTGTTGTTTGCCGCTTTTTTGAAATTTAGGAAAAGGTATCCGCTTTAGTCAATGTAGTCATTCATATTAGTGTATTACCACAGAATTCATAGCATCCCCCATTTGTTTAGCCGCCAAAGTTACGTGAAACTATACAAAATCAACGCTTGTACAGAAAGACAGCTCCATCGTGCCGCATTTTAGCACAGAATGTGAAGATTACCTTGAGCGTGTAATTCTCCAAACCCCAAACAGGCCCAGAAAAGTTCATGGCTTAATTGAAAGGTTGCTTTCAATCCCAAAGGCCTGTCCTCTCCTTCTGGGGTTGTTTCACAGTCAGGAGGGTGTGCTGCGCGTGTTTCGGAGCGACCTTTGAAAGCACCAGCCTTGATGTGTTCAGTATCGCCTGGATCAATATCTTCAGTCACCTGTTCTTGACTTTTGAAGAGTTTGTTAGATAATGCCCAGACCCAAGGTAGCACTCATCCAAAGTGCTAGCAGGGGCTCGTTCCACACAGGAGACTTCAGTCATCCTTGTTCTCTACGCTAAATGCTTTACGCTAAATCTTATTAGATGACAGCATTGATGCATTTTCTGGTCTGTGATATCGATTGGATGGAAACATCCTTTGCTTTGCGAGGTAACGGTTTAGACTCGCATTCCCTCTGGGAGACTTACTACATACGGCTGAGGTTGTTCTCGATTTCATTAGATCAAAGTCCAGCGGAGAGGAGGAATAAGGAGACTCCTCAGCTGTGTGTGTTTTAAGTGTATGTCCTCGGGCGACGTGTGTGTTCAAACACTGATCAAACACCTGCTGTCGGCTTTTCTTAATAATGTTCAACTTCCCAAAAACATCTCTTTTGAGTTGAGCTGGATAGGGGTAATTGATGCTTGGGTGTTTCTTTAACTATGAACACACCACAGGAGAATTGTCTCTTTTTTTTTATTTTTAAGAATTTGGACAGATTCCACCACAGTGTCATTTTGCACAAAGCATGCATGTTCTACTACAATTCTTTTGATAAATATGACACTATTGTTTTGTATTGTTAAGGTGAAAAAGCTAGTAGCTAGTATGTTATGTATCCTAAGCACTTAAATAAATAATACATAAATACATTAATAATATTTGGACAATTCATAATTACATCATTTAACAAAATAATATATTGATTTCAAGTCATATTTATCTTAATACTTATCACTTCTCATAGTTCATCTCAAGCATACTCTTTACTGAGACGTTTGTATCCTCAATTAAACTAAATTTAGAAAGAAAAAAACTTGCTTTGGGAAATAAAAAAAGTTTCGAGTGTGATGGAAATTATAGCCCAACAAGTTGCTATTTCACAAAACAAATACTGAAATGTATCATGTTTCAAAATCTTACATTTAGTCATTTCTATTTTTTTGGTAGATTTTAATATTTTAAGATCTGGGGAAAGTGTAAAGCACTGAAATATGTACATATAACGTGACCTTAAAAAAATCTGTTTGTTTCAATAAAAATCAAACACAAAAGTGCCTGAAGTTGAAACAACATCCACTTACTAAATCAATTTTGCTACAAAGGACTAATGACATGAGAAAAAGGCCGCAAGACCCCAGAACTTGAATCACCTGCTCAAATGCTTTCTCCGATCAGTCCTTGCATCTCATTGGTCAGCTCCACGCCACGCAATGGGACTTTCTCCACCGTGTTCTGTCCTCGTTATTGTGGAAATTAGCCTAATCTGATTAATTGTCAGCAGACGCCCATCCGTGCCCTCCAGAAAAACAGTAAGGCAGCCAAGCAGAATGATCGCCTAATTATATTTGAGATGAAAAGCCTGATAAGCATTTGCACGCTCACACATTAACTGCATTGACATGGATCTGACCTTAATCAGTTTCATACGACGGCCTGTCATAGACTCCAGCCGAGAAACTTTGATTTACTGTGTTCACTGTGAATTTGATCAGGGAAGGGGATGTTGACGTTGCAGAGTAGGTAATACTACACTAAACCTTCACTGTCTGGTGTTTGCTCAAGGACGGTGACTGTTGTGCTGTTGTTTTTCTTTTCCTTTGTAGAGAACTTACAGCTAGGCGATGTGTTCGTTTCTCCAACTGGCTTATAATGCATTGGAATAAACTGCCAAAACTGCTCGATCCATTATTCCTGAAACTGCAAAAAAAATAAATAATAATAAATAAATAAAATAAAATAAAAAAATATATATATATTGTTTTCTTATGTCACAAATCTGAAGGTTTGCAGTGTTTGAGTGACCATTAAATATGTAATCATACAAAACACTTTGAAACACAACTTGGTGACTCTGAGACGTTTCACAAAGGAGGAGATTTGTTCCATTGCTCAATCAGAATCTTGAAATTTCTGCCGTGAATGGCAGAGGGCTAATCGGATATTAAAATATGCATGGTTTTAGCATGGGAAATGAGATGAGGATCTGATGGTGAAGGGATAGATGGATAGACTCATTAAATATTAATACTCATTCTACAAAATATTTAAACAGCCGGTCATTTCCACTGCCAGCAATAGGGGTTCAAATGAGTTGAATCAGTTGGGAGCAAAGTTTGCCCTAGATTGAACTATTTGATGAACTAAAAGCATGAGATAGTGTGCAAAACTGTGCCATAGTTGTGAGGTAGCATTAATTCAGTAGGTATCTGAAGTAGAAAAATGCTTTGATCTGCCGTGTGTAACGGTTGAAATTGATCAAGGTGTTGTCCAGGGTGCCGCCCCATCTGTCAGTCGGTCAGTTGGAAAAATAATGATCCCTCTAGTTATGATGGCTTTGTTTAGTATTGGCAGCTGTTTTGGTTTGTCATCAGCCTTATAGTGCTGAACTTTTATGGCCGCTGTTTCAGAAATTTCTAATTGGGGAAATGGAGTCATTTGAATGGATTTGGTCAATACAGCACGGATGCACTATGGAATTGAACCTCACATGACATAAATCTTCTCTTTCAGGTTAGAAGCGGTCCATTGTGGTTGTTATCCCCTGTGTCCGAAGGCTTTGGTCTATCCTGAAATATTCCCGGGTAAAATTCTTCTCCCATTTTCATGATTTGCCAGTGATGAGAAAACTAGCTCAATTTCATATGCGAAAGAAGATTTATTGTCACAGGCAAAGCGGCCATGTTCAACTTCTGTGTATAATGACTTATTCATCTTAAAGCACAATCGAAGAATTTGCCATAAACCATTCTGGCATTTTTATATAAATAAATAAATATAACCACAGTTCAATAATGTACAGCATCACACACAGCATGGTGTCAGCTGCATTTTTAATGCTGAAAGTGCCTGCGATCTCATCTGCTCTTTGAGGTTTCTTACTTATCAAATATGTATTTTCCTCTTGTAGCAACATATCTGTACTCAACACCTGAACAGCTGTGCAAAAGACTACAAGACTTCTGCAAGCGTCCACAATTAGTCAGACAACATGTTATTCAGGTAAATAATGTTCGTTTCAGTGGAAATCAAATCAACCACAAAGACTTCTACTGAGAATTCTACAGAGAATTTGTAGGGCTTTTTAGTCATAAAACACTGTGGTTCAAGACTAATACATGATCAATGCAAGTCGTGCCTCTTTCAGGAATCATATCCATAACCTGGCTTTTTTTTTTTTTTATCTAAATCCCATTTAGGTATACATCAAATCAGTCATGTCAAGCTCTTTATTGTCATTGTAGAGGTACAGCGAGATTAATAAAACTATAAAAGTCATCAATTTGTGGATCACAAATCTGTTTGTACTGTGGAAAGCAGGAGAAAAAAGCAATGCTGCATGCAAAAAAAAATTAAATAAAATGCATGCAATATAATCAAAATATTTAATCATGCACAGTTAGGAAAAGAGAAAAAGAAATATGCTGTCTGAAATCACCCACTACTCACTATATAGTGGACTGCATAGTGAGCTTGCCATTTTGTAGTGCTGTCCGAATGTATAGTGATGATTATTATACCCTATGTAGTCCACTCAATTTATCCCAGAATGCATTTTGAAAAGTAGTATACAACCGATGGTCACTAACCCAAGCCCAACATACCATAATGCATTGCGCTGATCGTAAAAATAAGTTATAATCATGCGTGGAGTAGCGTATTATAACAGAAATGGCCAGAAAACTTTAAGTTTTTAAATTTTGGAGAAACAAGCTCAATATAATGTAATGTATTTATTTTAAAAAATCTATTTAGCCCAGAGCCGTCTCGGCTGACATATGATGCAACCAACGACGATCGAGTAGTGTCCGAAAGTGGTGTTTCTATTATGCTGGTGAGCTCACTATATAGTGCTCTACTCCCTACCCCCTACATAGGGGGTAGGGAGTAGTGGTTTGAGTGGAGATTTCGGACACATCGATAGTCTTATTTTACACAGGGAAAGAAATGCTTCCTCTTTCTTTTGTTTTTGAGGTCAAATTACACTGTATTTTGAGGTGAATTTGCCACTTATAATTTTTAATTCAAGATAAAATAAAATCCAAAACAGGCTACATTAAATATGGTATTGTTTGTTTGTCATCCACAATTTGAGTTATTGAACTATTGACTTGATAAAAACATTTAATAAAAATAAATAAATACAATAAAAATGATCTCTCTTGATGTTGAATTTAAAATGATGAAATTATTCAAATCTACATCCTGGAACGAAAGCGCTTGAGAACCACTACTTCGGATTCCAAATCTGTCATAATACTTTCATAGTTCTCTGCTTTTTCCATCTCATTCCCTCGTATTCTCTTTGTCTCTCTGTGCTAGGTGAACCTCAGTGCTTTCTCCTGGGACACTCTGGGGGACGGTTTCAGATCCCTCCTGATGTCAACTGAGGAGCACATGTCATGACTCGTGACCCCCAAAAATACATTATGATTTAAAATCCAGCCTCATTGTCAAAGAGAGTTTATGACCCAGAAAACCTCTCTGCTATTATTTAAGAAAAACATGTATATGTGATTTTAATGTCCTCGTATGCCGGAGGGGAAAAAAAAGCAACTTTACATGTGTGGTTAATGAAAAAAAAAAAAAGAACAAAGTAAAAATAAACAATCAAAAAACCTGAAACCGCTTTCGTGTCGCGCAAAGGCGGGCCCACCTCATATTTCGGTTCATATCCATTTTTATCCTTTGTGCCGGAGGACTCCAGCCTGGAATTCTGGAGTCTTTGGTTCCCACTCCGACAGAGCGGCAGCCAAGTTGCGGCTTGAAACGTTGTGGGCTCTCGCTCCACCTGAGGTTGCCAGGTTGTGACAAAGTCCCCTGAGGCTCAGTAAAGGTTGATGCAAGGCTTCCCCAGGACTGTGGTTGAATCTAAATATGGTTCTTTTATTTTCCTTGCGTCGGAGATCTGGCTGTACGTTGCAGACGGGAACCCGCTGCATAATTAAGGGGGCATGGTAACTAGCTATTTATATGTGTTTGCAAAATGTAAAATCTGGGCAAACTAACAATGGCCTGTCAGATTTTCCATAAAGATATAAGTGTCTGCTTTCACATCACATCAATGCCACAATCACACGGCCCACTTCGTGGCCTGCCAACATATGTGTTATTAAAAGAGGCCTGACTTTTATTGTAGGATTCCTCCTTTATTATCAGACATTCTATTAATAAAGCCGCAGACTTTCAGGCGTTATTATATCAGATGCATCGATTTTTCAGGTGTGCGGGTCGGAGGATTCGAATTAAAGGCTCAAATGTAATCACGCTGCCGTCTTCTCGCACGCAATCGAGATTAGTCTCATTACTCCTCATAGAAAAATAGTTCTAATATCCTACCTCCATATGTAACGTATTTCATATTTTTGGGAGACGCATTTGTGTGCCGTATGATGTGTTGAATGAGTCTACATTATTGTTGGTTTAACTTAAAAAAAAAAAAAAGTAACCTGGTTGCCTTAAAATTTTAAGTTCATTGAAATGGAAAAAAAAATAGTTAATACAATGAAATAGATTGATTTAATCACCAGAAACTCAAAATATTAAGTTATCTGAACTACATACATTTTCTAAGTTGATTTGACGAAAGAAAAAATGTTGTGATTACAAATCATGAAACTATTTTTTACAGTGATTTGCCTTTTTTTTTCACCTGAAAGTGAAAACTTGTGACTTGTGTTATTTACAAGGAGCAGATGAATGTGATTGACTTGTTTGCACCTTATTGTCATACGAGTTTGCCATCTACCCCGGGCCGACCCGAGGTCAGGCCCTAATGACGCCATAAAGCCCATAACATGCCGTTTCGGCACAAAATGTCACCCCACATATAAAAAGTTAATAGCAACCTCTATAAAACTCAGTGCACATTAAACCATTTCATTGGCCTGTTGCTGTTTTCTCACTGATGGTGTTCTAGGGAAGCTAATTTTAATGCTGGACGAATTCGATTGCAAAACAAATGGAATTAAGACTTGTGCGGTCTTCTTAACCCCCCTTTCCAGCAGCACAGAGCTTGGAAAGCTGCCATTCATATTATATGGCTACATTGGTAGATATATTAATATCTGACAGGGGAATCACTAAAGTGAATTGATCTGATACAGCGTCAGGTATAAACGCCCATCTGTTTAAGCTGTGATATTCAGACCTTTGAACGTTATCAGATAATGGGATCTCAATTAGATTCTGGGAAGTGAAGAAAACTTGTAGGGTTCTCTCTGTCATTTCTGAGATCATTGCTGTAACAGGAGCAGAGTTCAGAGCAGAAACTCACTCCACAGGATCATCACAGCCTCTTCTGAAACCAGCAAAAGGATTTAGGAAATGGAAAATGGAAATGGCACTTTAATGAGAACCCTCAAGTTCTGACTTGAGCAAAATGTAGTGGTCACAGTGTAGTTAGAGCATGGCTGTCACCAAATTAGGAAGGATTTATTTCTTCATATGCATTAAATATGTGCTTATTTTTGTATTATTTTCGTTTAATTACGGGAATGTTATTTCAACCTTCTAGGTCAACAGGTCAGCTCTTGAATTATTTGCTTTACTCCACTGACTAGCACCTGAAACACCTATTACCTTATTTTTGTTACTTCTTATTCGTCAAATGCCATTGTTAGGATCTAATAATAACACCAATAATACCCTATCATTTTAAAGTAATTTATTTTCTAACACAAGGGACGGTCCTTAAATGGGTTTGTAGATGATTTTGTTCGGGATGGCGTGTACATGAAGAGGCTTTTGCTTGCTGTTCGATGCGAGTTTATTTATTTTAGTCTTTTTTTTCACACCAGTTATACCAGTACCAAGGGGGAAGTGTGTACTACGGTTTGTGGTTATATATACGCTTGTGTGATTTGTGTTTCTCCTCATAGGATGAGAAGGCAGTCCTGGCTGAAGTGACAGGTAGAATTCACATCTTTTCACTCCGAGTTTGTGTAACATTGCCCTGATCTATGATCTTAAAGGAAGACCGGAGGAATGGATGAGAGAGAGTAAGAGAGAGAGATGTAGTTGTCCTCGTATGACTCATTCATATGCTATCAATATGCTGCCATGTTCTCTTGGAGCCCAGGCTCTTTTTAATAGGGCCTGGTGGTTAGAACATGGCAGGAATCTCATAGGGACACTGTATTGTTATGCTTTCATTTACTTTTGGGCCCTTTCTTTTTTTTTGCGGACTTACAAAGACGCTCGTTTCCATGAAGCTCTGCCAAGAAGGATGGGAAAACAAAATGTGGGGGTGGGGTGTGTGGGAGTTTGTCGGGGTTTGGAAAAGCGCAGTGGTCTCCAGTTATTACTTGAAATCATTAGACGTGGAACGTCTTGGCTTACGTAGAGAAAACATGAAGGCCACGGTTTCATACGGCTTTGCGCGCCCTTGCCTGCCGACCGCATGGCGTCAATAGAGCCCTTCACACTGATTAGCAGACCTGATCATTTGATCAACTATTTGTTCCCAAAAAATAGTGAGTACAAATGCCATCATAGTATCCACAAAAGTATTAAGCTGCACAACTGTTTTGAACATTGATAATAATAAGAAATGTTTCTTTAGTGGCATACCATCATATAAGAAGGATTTCTGAAGGATGATGATGCGACATTGAAAAGTGAAGTAACGATGCTGTAAATTCAGCTTTACCATCACATGAATAAATTACATTTATAATTGAAATATTACTTATTATTGTATTTTTGATCAAGTAAATGCAGCATTGGTTAGCATAAGATAAAAAAAAAAAAAAAAAAAACATAAATTTTCACACACAGACACAGGTCAAAATCCTTGAAGCAAACAATCTGTGTGAAATACTGAAATAAATACTTTTATTCCTTTTTTTTTTGAGTCAGTCACTTCACACCACGTTCCAAACGCTCAAAATGCACCACACCTTTTCACAAGCCAATTTGATGGGAGACGTTAATTTTGCACATATTAATGAGCAAAGCACCACCTGCAGTACGACGGCTCTCAAAGTGTGAGATGTGTTGCACAATGAATGCCCATGCACTGTCATGTGACCATGGGATCTAGCGCAAAATAAATCTGGGCGTCCGCTTCGTGTACATGGCAAATATCTGCCAATAGTCTCCCCTGGGTTACTTATCACCTCAGTCCATCCACCCACACATTTGGATTTCTTGTTATTTGAAGCATTTAATGCAAGAATGAACTGAACATGTTTAATGCTTACTTTTGACCAAGACCATATATATCACAGTGTTGTTGAGTGTTATTAATTACTAAGCAATCTCGTTACCGTACTTTTTCAAGGGAAATGTAATTAAACCAAAGTAAGGGATCACTCTTAATTTTTTCTGTAATTTAATTACAGTTACTTTTAATGTAATTGCATTAAATAGACTATATAGCAATTCTATAAAAAGCAATAGTGGATTTACCATCAAATTTCAATGTTAAAAAGTTAACTTCTTTTTATACAGTTTGGTCAGTTGAAGAATAATTTATGCAATTATTGTGTATTAGAAAGAATCAAATGTGCAGTTTGTGTCTGCCCTTTTATATTTAGAACTTAGTAATAAGTAATACCAATACATTTTAGAGAGAGAGATTAGTACAGTAATATAATTACATTGTTGAAGATGTAATTAGTATAGCTATTGATTAATTACTTTTTTAGAGTATAGATGCACACACACCACTGTAAAAAATTATATGATCAATAAGTTATGACAACGTTTTACATTGCTTTAACTGATATAAAAAAGATATTTGAATCTTGTATAACTTATTTTGATAAGTCAGTTTAATTTTATTTAAGTTTAAATGACTTCTAAACTGTATTTTTTTTTCAAGATTTGTTATCACAACATTTTTTCTTTTGTCAAATCAACTTAAATAATTTATTTAGTTGAGATAACTTATTATTTTGAGTTTCTGATGATTAAATTAATCTCCTTCATTGTATTAACTCACTTTTTCCAGTTCAATCAACTTAAAATTTTAAGGCAACCAGGTTACTTACTTTTTTAAGTTAAACCAACAATATTTTTTTACAGTACTTAAATGAAATTAACTTGGATTTTTAAGTGCAATCACACTTACACGACATCCTGTATTATTGGAACCCTAGTGTCAAATAGAAGACACTTGAGTCCACAGGGTGTGTTTAACGTAATGCTCTGACTGCGTTAGAATCATACTGTAATCATTGAGCATGTCTGGCATGTGCAACCTTTTTTTAAGTCTCGAGACATAATGACAAACGAAGCCAACACGTTCAATACAAGATCCAAGCTTTCTGTAAACTTTTTGTGAAGAAAAAAAACCCAAACTGTGTTTCTTTTCAAAGGTTCTGAGATGAAGGTCTTGGTGGCCTGCCGAACTCGTTAAGGTCCCTGAGTGAAGCGCAGCTGTGCCAGAGAGGTCACTAAAAGCTGCAGCTCATTTCACTGCGTTATTTTCAGTCGAGATTTAGAAAGACGCACAGCCCGCAAATCTGGTTTATGTCGCCCTCCTGTTCCTCCAGTACCCCTTCATCATTACTGCTGGAGATGCCAAACTATGAGGGATCTGATGCAGGGAAAATGCTACAAGGATGGATGGCTCTTCCCGTAATTACAGACTCTCTCTTATCTTTGGGATGGAATTAAAAACACATTCCATGCAGACAGTCTCAGTACTGGCCTGCGGGAAGCAAATAAAAAGAGACTGCTGTTAGAGAATTGGAGAGGACTTTGGCAGTTTGATTAGAAACCGATGTGATCACGCTGTACGTTATCTGACAATGCAAAGAGCACATAGAGTGACATGAGGTCCAGAAGTCAAGTCGTAAAGGCACAAAATCTTAAAAGGCATGTATATTTTTTTACTGTTTTAATGAAAAATTACTTTACTTCAAATAAAAACGACCAAATACCTGGACATTTTTACAGTGAATAAAACACAACGGCGCAATATAATTAAGCAAGTACCTGTTTCAACAGCAAGTCTGCGCTGCTAGAAAATAACCACAAGATCTGGGGCCTCATTTATGAAATATTGAGAGTGTGCACATGTCTCTCTTCCAGATGTGAAATTTTTAAATTGCAAATGATCTTGAAATTGCGCGGCTGAATGGTATCTTGTAAACACAACTTAATTAATGTCATTAAAAGAGCACCAGTCAATGACCAAATGCTTTACTTTGAATTGGTTAGATTTCCAAATACCTGCAGTCCTCCGACTCTCTGCCACATGGAAATGTGCAAGTCTGCTTAGGACCTAACATGGTGCTAAGCATTTTTTTTTTCCATATCAGAGTCTGTTCTTATAAATATGAACATTGTTGTGGAATTTAGCGTACGCACACTCGGAGTTCATATCTTCATATTATATGCACGTTTTATAAATTATGTCCCTGGTTTATCATCTCGGGTTTCTGCCAAATGAAAGTTTCACAAACAAACTGGCAAAAAAATGTTTTGCCTACATCCAAAATGAAAATGATCAGTATACAAAACCCATTTACAAAAACTGCTTTATTTCCGTACCATTTATATCATTACAAATATACAGCTTTTCAACTTGTCAATGATGTTTTCAGGTATGATACAATGTGAAATTTGCATTATACAAAAATATAAATTTATATATTAAAATTATATATATAAAATTATAAATGTGACTTAAAAAAATATTTTTTCAAATGGCAAAAGGAGCAAGAAATAATTTTACATGGGTGTAACATCTAGCCAGCCAGTTTTTTGGGGAGGTTTTTTTCAGTCTCTTTCCAGAATACTCTGGGGTCCATTTACATGCCCGCTGGTCCAAAGATCTCCACACAATCAATGAGAATGCACTCCACTATTTGGTTCTGGTACACCATATTGACTTCCATGTTTCCTGACTCAAACTCAGGCCACATGAGAGTCGGTCCAAACACGATGCTGACGCCCTGGGTCGACATTAAGTTTTTCTTTGACTTCGTCAAGACTCTGGAAAACAGAAAAACAAAGGATCATTGATGTAATACGATAGCAATGAATATAGTTTCTCGTGAAGATCCTTAATGGAAGAACTGACTATGGCGTACAAGTACAACCATTTGCTCCAAGCTTAAAGTGTGCACGTTTCCTGTCATAAAAACCTACTTAGAACACTGGTGACGGCCCATCGGCAGGGTGTTTTTGAGGACTTGTGCCTGGTCTTTGGAGGCATCTGAGCGCACTTTTAGCAGAATGTCTCTGAGCTGAGGTTTGGCTGTGGTGGAGAGACAATCAATACTGGGGTATTGGAGGACTCTTAGAAGGAGCCAGATTGGAGCCCTCTGGCTCTGTTATGGGTTGAGGCCTGGAAAGGGAGGGAGGGATTGTGGTGGAGGGCTGCCTTCCAAGTTGTCAACGGGATCCTGACTAAGAGGTGGGAAGCAGGCTTAACATTTTGAAGTAAACTTTGCGTGGTTTTACAGCGGCCCAGTCCTGAAAGGTACTGATTAGGAGTGTGTTGGGTTTACTGCACTCACGTATATCGTACCGTAGTGTAACCGACGTACGTCCTGTGCCATCTACATTTATGGTCACATCTATCAAAATAATGATCTACAATTATGCAATGCAATTCAACGATCTATAATCCCCGTGTTGTTGTCAAAATACTCACGCACAGGCTTCCTCGACTAGACGCGTTCAGCTGTAAAGAGGTAATGATGGTGCTACATGCGACGTACCTCCGCGTGTGTTATTAGGGCGTTGGGAAGCCATTTCAGCTGAGAAACACAACTTAAGAGGCAGGCCAAGCGCTCTCAATAATTCCCCATTAATGTGTATAATTAACCTCGGCCATTTCGTTTCCCCTGTACATCACAGCTAGACGCTTGTCCTGCCATGAGCATTTTAACCTAATTAGCGCACTATGATGTAAGGATCTCGGCTGCCATTGCTAATGGTCTGCTAATGATCTTAAGGAGAGAGACTTCATTTCCCGAAGTGATTTTTCAAAACATTAAATATGAAGCTTTTTGTTGAACCTTTTAGTGTTTTTTCGGTAATTATTCCACTGTGAGACCACTATATACATGACCCCCACACCCATTCATATTCATCCCCGCTATCAGTAATGCCAGATCGATTAAAATCATGATACAAGCTTAATTACAGTCATTATCATTTTCAGTTACAAAAGTATCACATATTGAGAAGTGCAATACAAAGACACTTTCTAGCAGGCAAAAAAAAAAAAGAGAGAGAAAAAAATTCAGATCTTTAGCCTGTAAACACTGTCATCAAAGAGAGCCATGTAAAGGACACGAGTGGCATATTTAAATATGATATATCTAAATTATATAAAATGGACAACATTTTTTAATTAAAATAAAAAAAAAAACACAAGTATATATATATTTGAGTTTCAAAACAAAAAAATATATAAAATACATTTAAAAAATAAGTGTAAACATCTGCATATGTATGTGTGTGTGTGTGTGTGTGTGTGTATATTTTATATAGAATATTATATAGAATTGATATAGATAGACTAGTTTATATAGAATCATTTATATAGAATATTATTATTTATTATTATTAAAATAAGTTTGTATTGACATAATGTCTATCACCAACCATCAATGACCTAAGCAGCATACATAAAAACAAAAACATGTATGAATATGAATTAATTTATACAGTTTATACAGTATAAAAATCATTAAGTCTATGGAATGTCCCCATAAAACAAGTATGTGTGTGTGTTTATAATATATACCCCATTATTATTTTTAAAACAAAGTTCTGTGTTAAAATAATGTTTATCACCTACTTTTCGCCAGATATGTAAGAGAGTGCATCTTTGTACACCTCATCTAAATGAACACTTTCAGTAAAGAAATGTGTTGATTTGGAAAAAGGAAGGATGCAATCTGCTCCTCAGTATCTGGGTATTTATGGCAAAATGCACTCATTAAACCATCAGCTGACTTGGAGCCCAGTGAAGTTGCTCTGGTGTCTGGGTAAGGGCCAGGCTGTGGGCAGCTTGACCGGAGGTGACTGCATTACGCTTGGTTGAATCTGACAAATCATTGATATCCCGTACATAAGCCGACGTGTACGGCTCAAGATGCCAATGGTTATTAATTAGCATCTCGTTTGCAAGCGGGGCATGACAGGAAATGGAGGATAGCGCACAATGCCGTCATTCCCCGCCTAGGAGGCCAGTGCTAATTGGGTCAGCCTAACTGGCTCCTGAAGAATCATGGGACGAATAATAAATTGAGGTGGGGTGGGGGTTACAGAATCGCTCCAAGCTTTAAACTGTGTCATTTTCATGTTATAAGACGACGGCACTGACTGAACTAATAAAAGAAATGCTGTGATCAGGGAGGTTTGAGCGTGACTTTGGTTTTCCACTTACAATATTCAGATTGTTCTTTTTTTATTGTTTACTTTTTTTTTTATTATTATTATGTTTTCTCGTCTGTCCGATAAAAGGTAAAACATTGCTGTGCATATACAGTTGTTGTGGATGTCAAAATTTGCACAGCAGCACTTCTCTTCAATCTAATTTAAGAAACACCAAACATAGATGAGAAGATTTTTTTTTTCTTGGCTTTCCTGATCAGAGGTTTCTCCAGGTTTCTTTCCCAGCACAAAGGCAAACGGAACCTTGAATTACTAACAAAAAACAAAACCTGTGGCCTTTTAAATCACTTGTGGTGAACGGGAAATATGAGCGGTGGTGACAAAACCTCCCACAAAAAAAGGCATAAATAGCACTACTGAGCAAGTGTACTGTTGAGAAAATCTGGTTGCCTTGACCACATCATCACAATGCGAGCACACAACTGGTTATTGAATCCAGGCTCCATGGACCAAAAGAAAAAAAAAAAAAGAACATTGGTTCCATGCGGGCATAGAAAGAGCCCACAACAAAGAGCTTTTGACTTTCACCACTTTTTAGAAGAGCCAAGTCAGCGCAAAATATAACCTACAAAGGCATGACAGTAGGAGTTCAGACAGACACTTCAGTCAACTATAACTGTTTCAGAGGAGAACGACAGGAAGTGTACAGGCGATAAGTGACATTTGAGCGGATCTCGAGTAACAGCCGCCAAAGTTGCTTGACAAAACAAGCTACTTATGTATGCATTATTATCAATAGTATGCATAAGCTGCATGGCACCTCGTTGTTCTTACTCTAGACTTCCGAATGACTACATTTGTCTTAGAAAACAGATACAACACACACTTTAACCTAATTCACTGCGACCGCACATTCTTTGCCTTTATTCATGGGAAAGTCATCCTGATATTTAGAGAGGGAAAGCAGCAGACAGAAACAAGTATGACTTAAGTGAGAATATAAAATAAACAGAACCACATCACTTGGCCAGGGTGTGGTGCCCACAAACGAAAAGCTTTGGATTCGAAGCACTTTATTGCTCTAATAGTGAGAGAAAGGAGCAGCGAGAATGTCGCTGTGGAGAAGGAACAGACTTGGTGGCACTACGGGGATTTTCAGTGTCACCACAAGTTCCACTGTAACAGCTTCTTAGTAAGCAGAATAAAAGCTGAATGAATTTTCTAATGCCACCATTCAGTGAATTTATGGTAATGCTTTACCCTTGTGCCTGTGTGTAGATTTGACGACAGATTTGGAAACACTGCAAAACCAACAGTGATTCCCAATCCCAACTATGGGGGTACAGTGATGGGGCTGGAGGGGCAGCTTGTGTAGATTTACATTCACAGTCAAATATATGTGTACATATATCATCTCTAAAGACAGAAGAATCTACAAATTGCCCAAAAAAAAACAAAAAAATACAAATCTGCATTAATAAAATATAATTATAAACATTACCACTACTACTACTGCTACTAATAATAATATCAATATTAAATGGAAAACAATATGCTGAATAATATAATATAATAAATATAATATAATATAATAAATATAATATAATATATAATATAATATAATATAATATAATATAATATAATATAATATAATATAATATAATATAATATAATATAATATAATATAATATTATATAATATAATGACAACCTTGATAGAGTTGTGGGGGTAAATAACACAAAAAAGCTCAAAACACATTTACAATAATGACATACAATAATAATAATAATAATAATAATAATAATACGTATTAAATGTTAAACATTGTGAATAATGAAATACCATAAATAATAATAATAAAAAAAATGTGTCATTAGCTGTGGCAAATGCATTTGTAAAACTCATGACCAATACTGTAGAAGAGGAGGCAGCAGGTTTGTGTTGTAGCATGTTAACGGGAAAGAAAAAAATAATAAAATAAATATATCATGGAATGCAGACCTAGTTTTCTTCAGCACATTTTCAGACTCTCCGAATATCATGTTCCTGTCGTTCATTGAGTGTCTCTCTCTCTCTCTCTCTCTCTCTCTCTCTCTCTCTCTCTGTCACACATTAGTGTTTTCTGATTGGGAGACCTGGCATGGGCAACCCAACAGACTTTAGCACTAGTGCCAAAGGGCATGTTCCATTGGGGGAAGGGAGGAGGGGGGCGCACATCAATCTGAGATGAGTCCTGTGGCCCTCCTGTGCAGGGTGGTAAATGTGCAGAAGGGTAAAGTGGGATAGAACACCCCTCCTGGGAGATGGAGACTAGCCATATGGCCTTCTGGCTGTGCCAGTAGCGCTATCATGGACAAGGACTTGAGCATTGACACACACGCACACACATTATGGTTCATATTAAGTCCTCTGTTCATGTTGCATCCTGTTTACTGAGGCCTTTCGTGGAATATTTTCAGATTGGGCATTATTGTTGGTCTCACTGAAAAAAATACTGAATGAAGAGAATGTCTTTGGAATTTATGGTGAAATTGTGACGTTCCCTTTATAGTCTAGCCTGGTTTTGGTCTGTTAGTGGTGCAGAGCAGACACAACCTGTGATTGGTAGATAGTCCTCAAAGGGATTATTCACCCAAAAATGAAAATAAAATAATTATTTCCTTAATATAGAAAAATCTGTCTTCATGAAGAAGGCGTAGCTAGGTCATTAGATAACTGGACAGTCGTGTAAATGTCAGTCCTTTGCAATTTCGCAATGTAGACATGCAAAAATAAAAAAAAGGAAAGCAAGGTTTCACACCACAGAAGTTTGTGAAAAGTTTGCACAAACTATCTGAAGCTATCAACAGATATCAAAAAAGCTCAGATACTGAGAGGAAAATTCAAAGATCTCACAATTGAACACAAATGGTCAATTTGTAGTGTTAAAACAACAACCAAACTATCAACGTAGATAGCATGCAGCCACCTAAAATGATTCAGAGGCCGCTAAAAAGTCAAGTAGGGACCTACTACAGTATTTGGTGTTATGGATGGAGACATACCTCCTCAGGTGGTGGAAGAGCAGTTTCATGGTGTTGTGGTTGGGTTTGGGGAGTTGATGGATCAGTTTCTTCATGGCTTGAACCTTCTGTGTGGGCTCCTTAATTTCTGTTGGCAAGGAAGAGATGATGAAATGTTTTGATTTGAGTGTTGCTCCTTCATTTGAACCTCTAGGTTCAGAGAGAAGTTAATGTCTTTTCCATCACTTTTTCTCATTAACATGATAGCTCATCTAACATCAAAATTTTCCCTAATACTAGACCATTATCCCTCTCTCTATCAATTATATAGACATGTTCGAGAAGGCCACATGCAGAATGTGTCCCATTCCAAAATGCTGACTTACCAGACAGCCAATATGTACAGTAATTGAATAGATTACTCCATTTATCTGATTATTTTTTTCTTACTTTTGCAGTTTAATTGTTCTTTAAGTCTTTTTTAATTTTCTTTTTAACTTATGTACAACATAATCCCTTTTCAAGCTGCCAAAAAGGAGCAATCAGCATTTAGTCAAACTGTTATGCAGTCATAACCTTATGTAGTTATGAAGCTATGCAAATATATTTCATATAATTGCACGGTTATCTGACACTATTACACTCCTCAGCAAAACTATATTGACTCCATGCCATCAGTATCTTAATCAGTATCCCATGGATGGATGAAATCAAAGATGAACTAGAAAAATAGTCCTGTCCATCTGTAAAACTACCCACAAAACCTCTTACAATACAACTTTAATTTAGAAGAATGTCCTGTTTATCCTCCACAGAAAAAGACCTGGGTGTTATACTAGACCGCAACTTCGAAAATCATATGTCATATGTATATAGGGGTGGTGATGGCGCAGTGGGTAAGACACAAGGTTTGAATCCACTGAGACACCAATATGTCCCTGAGCAAGACACTTAACCCTAAGTTGCTCCAGAGGCATGCGACCTCTGACATATATAGCAATTGTAAGTCGCCTTGGATAAAAGTGTCAGCTAAATGAATGTAAATGTATATGTTACAAGAACAGCCTTTTTTCACCTTAGAAACATTGCTAAGCTATGCAACATGCTATTGTATCTGTTTCTGATGCAGAAAAGTTAGTTCATGCATTCATGACCTCGAGACTATATTACTGTAATGCTTTATTAGCTGATTGTCCTGCATCCTCAATTCTTAATAGGTCAAGAAAATATGATCATCCAACACCAATTTTATTATCTCTACTGGTTACCTATTAAGTTCCATATCAATTACAAAGTACTATTACTGACCCAAAGCCCTAAATGGTTTAGCTCCTATATATGTAATGGACCTTCTATCGCCCTACAATCCATCGCATTCTTTTAGATCGCTAAATTCGATGCTTCTGGTCATTCCTAGGATATCTAAGTCCACTAAAGGAGGGAGGGCGTTCTCGCATTTAGCTCCTAAACTCTGGAATAGCCTTCCTGATATTGTTCGAGGCTCAGAGTCACTGGCCCAGTTTAAATCTAGATTAAAGATGCATCAAGCATTCACATAATGCTTACCTTTTATTCCTCTGTTGAATCAGATCGAATGCATTTAATATTATGAACAGCAGCTATGTTAATTATTTCCCATTTGCTTTTCTGCTGTTATCTCGGGACGCTAGTCCCGAAAAAAATGGCGTTCGTCAGCTCCAGATTGTATCCAGCCTCTCACGGAGACTTGCCCCAACACCTGCGATACGACGACTAAACGCCTGTGAACGCTGGCGATATGTTACCCCTAAATTAATACATGATTATAAACTGTAGCTTATTTTTCTATGTACACTTCTTAAATGCACTTTCTGTAAAGCTGCTTTGAAACAATATGTATTGTGAAAAGCGCTACCAATAAATTTGAATTGAATTGAATTAATATCTAAGCATTCACACCCCTATAATGCCATCATTTTTCAGGCAGGTTTTCAAGTTTCCCACATGAAAGCACATGCGAATGGTGCTAATGGTCCGCAATAGTCCACGTCCATTAAAAGCTGTTATGCTGTAACACAAGCTGTAACCGGTGACCTCCTGACCCCGCTGCTCTTTACATGTCAGATGGCTGATGACCTCAAGGCAAACTCCTGAGAGGCACCAACCTGTGCGCTGACTGTTCTACATCAGAGTCAGTACCTGACCTTTGACACTTTGAAGTTCTCTAAATCCATTATGATGGATATAGCAATGTAGCTGATTGTATTATCTATATACTGTATATATTAAGATCGTATGGTAAAATAAGTAAAAGGGTCATTTATTGTTGACAAGAATCTGGAGGATTAGAGGGTATTTTAATAATTGAATCGATGATTTTGATCAATATCATTATGGAACCTGAGCAGATGTTGAAATGGAGCTTTTACGGGGCCACCTGTGTGCACTCCAAACTCCCTCAGGTCAAATTTCACCGGAACAAATTTGTTTAAAAGAGTTTTAAAGGACCTCCAAGATTATAAGTCACAAGTTCCTTACATATATACACTCAAAAACATAAAAAAATTTGAGGTCGGTAAGATTTTTAATGTTATGAACAAAGGTTGTGTGTATTTGATAAAAATACAGTAAAAAAAGATTACATTTTAAAATAACAGTTTTCTATTTTAATATATTTATTCCTGTGATGGAAATTAAGTCATTACTCAAGTCTTCAGAGTCACATGATCCTCCGGACATCATTCTTATATGCTTATTTGGGGCTCAATAAACATTACTTACTATTAACATTGCAAAACAGCTGTGCTGCTTAATATTTTTGTGAAAACTGATTTACCAGTATTTTCATTATTCTTTGATGAATAGAAAAAAAAAACAGAATTAATTTGTAATATAAATATTTTGGGACAATCTAAAATTCCTTACTGTCACATTTGATCAATTTAAAGGGGTGATGAACTGAGAAATCAAATTTTCCTTGAGCTTTTGACATCTAAGAGGTCATATAAGAATATCCTGTAAGTTTCAGAACTGAAAACGTTAGTCCAATAAAAGCTTTTATTGACACCAGCCTCAGCAAAAGACTCGTTTTTAAAAGTGGGGAACTATGACGTTAAAGAGGATAAAACACAACCCCCGCAGAAGAAGATCAACGCCAACTTCAACACGGCCGGTTCAGCCTCACACCATCAATTTAAACATGCATACAGGCATCTACAATATTGTTAACGTTCATATTATACTTTTCATATGGGAGAGAAAGTTTTAATGCCAACCAAAGATGTTTTAACAAATGTAATTTAGATACCCATTAAGGTTAAAAATGCACCATCCAATGATACTGTACCAAGTGTAACTCTATTGAATAAATATCATAATAATAGAAAATTACAATGTTGTAAATCAATTATGCATGTCTAAACATTTTGAACAGAGCAAAATCTTCCTCCCTCTAAAAACATCACTGGTTATTCCTACTGAGGATGGCTAACAGCTACACCATGCTATTGATGGGATGTGTGCTATGGAAGGGAGCTGGCAGTAGTTATGCCCCCAGTCTACTGTACTGCCCAGGATGCCCCCTGGGCACTAATGGAGCAGATGTCTCCGTGTATACACCGCGCTGGCACAGGCTCGGCGAGCAGATGCCCCTGTCAGATGCCAGGTCTGTCAATTGAGCACAGACAGAGACCATGTTCTAGGACAGAGAGTGAATCTCTGACCCGCTCCTCTAGGTACCACTAACAGAGGGACACGGTTTTGTACTTTTTTATGGAGAAAGTCACAACGTTATGCCTCGAAATCATGCAAATGATGATTATTATCTAAATAATAATGTTTTAACACAGTATTTTTAACGTCAAGGCCACATAATTACTGAAACAATGTGTGTTATGAACTAGAAATCCTCACTACAGTTTTCATCAACATTCAGTGATTACTTTATTTAAGCAATATCTTTTTTTTATGACTTTCTCTTTAAGCATTATCGCAGTGGAGATCGTTAGCTTTCTTTTGGCTTTGACACTGCATGGCAGTCGGCCTGTAAAATATTTAATCTAGTCATTATTGCTGGCATTATTGCTGTCATTAATTACTTTGCCTTTGGTGGCTAGCATATTGGAGATGGTCCCTTGTCCTGTATTTTGGACAGATGGTGGGACAGTGTCATTAATATAAAACACGTTCAAAATGCCTACACCCTAAATCAGCATGAATTCACCATAGTGAGCATTACACCGTGTTCTGATCAAAGGGGATTACTCTCAAAATGAAGGCAATGTTTTGATGAAGGCATGCAGTGGGCATTCTTAGATCAAACCCATTATGCATTCATTTTTATTTTATTTTGAATACATGTTTGCATAATTACTGTACATAACTAAAAATAATTTAGAGATAAATCTGATGTACTATTTCAAATGTATTATTTCTTTAAATATAGCTATTATTAGTAATTGCTGGCAAATGTGTTTTTCTGTTGTTAAATGACAAAACAGGATGTCACCTCTTGATATTATACTTCAGATGAAACGTTTTTTTTTTTTTCTGTACCCATTTTCTGCACAAATGTGTCATTGCAGTGCAAACTTTCTAAATCAAACTGAGAGCATCATTGTTTTGTGAAAAGAGCTGATGTACTGTAAAGAATAGATGTACTTTTGGTTACAAAAATCTGTGAATATAATCCAATTACAAACAATGAGACCATCTTTACTGCAGTACAGCTTTGCTTCTCAGGATAAGCCCATCTGCGAGCTTTGTCTGCGGGCTTCTTTAAGCCCCGTCAAGGCAAATATTAGCACACTGCAAATAGTCCTGCAGGTTATGATTAAGATTTTAAATGTATCCCAATTGAATACTTTGCTTTATGAATAACAAAGTCTTAGAGGATCGGCGCTGTAATTTATTAAACATGAAAAACTTCTTGATGAAATATAGAGACTGGGAAGAGATTTATGCGTTTGAAAATATTTCTGCATGCTAGCTTTGCATGGCAATGAGGCCACGTTGCACAAATGAGGAAAGCTGCATAGAATGTAAAGACTTGTGATTCACAGGCTGGAGTTTGAACTGTCAGCTGAAAGAGCATAACATCAGAATAGGCAAACAATTATGTTATGACAGATGTACTGCCTGACGCAGCTCTGATTGGTATTATTTCAGCACATTTCACACTACCATTGTGACAAGTTTCATATAAAATAATGTTAAAAGCCAAACTGGAAAATGTTACGATCTAGTCTTTTTAAAATATGCATTTGGTCTTCTTCAAATGTGATATAACGATACAGTCAGCCTGAACGAACTTTCCAGATCACTACACAAACGTTGGATTGTGTGTGTGGGCCCGGAGAACAAAGCCGCCATTTGTCAACAAGTATGTCTTCACTTTGTATAACAAGGCGAGCTTGTCTATTGGACAGGTGGCAGGACAATGTCGCTAAGATACCAGGCAATATGAATAATAGATTTAGTCCATCGTGAGCCAAGAGCTGGTGCCTGCCACATCCACAACAGACACTGAGTGAAAGAATGGAAAATTAGGCCAACTGTTCACCTGAGGACCCCGGGAAGCCCAAATGTTGATTTGCGGGAGTGAGCACATATTGCGCATAAACATACATCGCAAGTGAGAAGATTAAATGTGCTCAGAGCTTCTCACAAATCGCGTGAGAAGGGGCCGTTTAAATGTTGGGTGTTAAGCCTGAAGATTACATATGAATAATTTGCCCAAACGTCCAATAAGCCTAAATGAGTTTGAGTTCCACAAAGACTTCCAGAAGCAGTCTGTGATTGGGCAGCTGTCCTAATTGAATGGATCCTTGTCCAAACTACCGTTCCAGAGACCTTTAGTTAATACCACCCAAATAAAGGGCAGCCATGGTTAGAGAAGCTGTCCTAGGCTCTTCTGACAGTGATGGACCAAATACAGAAGACCTGAACCACTCAAATATCAGCAGGATTCACTGAAATTGCTTGTCAGTGATCTGGTGAGATCAGTGAAATGGGCTGTTGGACAGTTTCAGTAAATAAAATGTAAGATGAGCTGCATGCTTCATTAAACCATTACAGTATTACAGACATGGGAGGAGCTTGGTAACCTACATACTAGAAATCAAGACTTTGTGCCAGCAAGTTACATTTCCCAAGTGTACAGCATAAACAGTCCTGTTCTACAGCAGTAGACTTGTCTCGCATAAAAGGCAGCTTTCATATATATATTTATATATATATATATATATATGCACACAAAAAAAAAAAAAAACCTGTAATTTATGTTTTTATTTCCTGCAAAAAGATCTTGGAAGCCTCATCAAACAATGAGTCAACAATATCGTCAAAGCTACTTTTGGTGCACTTGTCATATAGTACAAGGAATAGAAGGTCACGTTTAGTCAAGTTATTGTAATATATAAATTAACTCATTGTATTCAAGTCAAAAAAGTAATTTAAAGTAGGTTACACTAATGATTTTTTTTTTACGTATTCATAAAGCACGACTACAACAGTAAACGGTCTTACCGCATACTGTGTTTTGGTGAGACGTGTTGCAGGTTGAACTAATTATACCTCCTGCTATTAAGGACCTTTTACAGTAATAATTAGTTGTCTAAACACTATCTGTAAGTGATCAGGCTCATCTACTGATTAATTGGGTACAAACAGTTTGCGGTGCTCTGGCCTACATGTGGCGCGAGTAAATATTTATTAGCAAATTACAACATCACCCCAGGCCTGTTCCCATTCTGTCTCACGCATATCTCCTTCCAGTGGGGATATTATAAGATGCAGTGCTAATAATGATAGCTCTGTGCTTATTACAGTGAGCGCACTGGCCTTTTTGGTCCTTAGATCAAGGTTCTGAGAATATTAAATATTCATTGATTTAAGCAAACTTGTGAAAATAAAACTACAATGCTAAAATAAAACAAGTATGCCGTTTATAGGTTGATTTCGCTAACTGTATTTTTCTATGTACATTTCTGAAAGGCACTTTCTGTAAAGCTGCTTTGAAACATTATGTATTGTGAAAAGCGCTATACAAATAAATTTGAATTGGATTGAATTGAGCACAGTGACTCCGTAGCAGTAACAAAACATTGACGGAATTATGGAAACCTGTGTGAAAACAGTCATGATTTTACAGATTCCGATTGGTCACGCTAATAATGCAAAAAAATAATAATAATTTGGAGGTGAGATTTAAATGGGTGACCATCCAAAAATGATGTTTTATATTCGCTGGGTATCCTAAACCATTCCCCCCATGGAGCCACAAGGGAACGTTTTGAAGTAAAAAAAATTAAGAAAATGATTTTCGAAAAAATATTTTGAGGTTAGATTGTTTTTGAAAGAAGTCAAATATGCTCACCGAGGCTGCATTTATTTAATAAAAAATATATTAAGAGCAATAATATATGAAAATATTATTACAAATTAAAATAATGTTGTTTTTTTCCCCGTAATTTATTCCTGTGGTGGCAAATCTGAATTGTCAGCATCATTACTCCAGTCTTCAGTGTCATGATCCTTCAGAAATCAGTCTAATATGGAATTCAGTCTAATTTGCTGCTCAAGAAACGTTTTTGATTATTATCAGTGTTGAAAAAAGTTGTGCAGCTATGATTGTGGAAAATTAGATATTTTTTTCTTTGGTGGACAGAAAATCAACAATTCATTTGAAATAGAGATCTTAGAAACAAGAATAATCTTTTTTTTTTAAATACTGCCCCCAACTATATATATATATATATATATATATATATATAAGTTTATAGTCTTTATGTCTTTATAGATGAAAATATATAGCTATTTTTACATAAACATATATAAGAAAGGGGGGTTTAGTGTGCTTTAAATCTTCTGTCATTCCTGTTCAGAGTTTAGGACCATAAAGCTGCAATTGTTCCAACAATGTTCTGCACTCCCTATTTGCTCTATACTTACTCTCTATTTACATGCCCATGTACGGCATAGTACATAGTTTATCACCACTCTGTAGTTCACACGGCCACTAATCTGAAAGTGTTTGTTTTAAAACTAACAGGGCGTCAGAAATCGAACAAGTCGTAAAACAAAAGTGCAGGAGAAATGTTGTTTCAAGCACAAAGGTACATACATATATTTCAGAAGGTACGTGCCTTCCAGAAGGTAGATTGCCCAAGAGAAACACACTGGCGTCAGCTGGACGATCGAGATGAGGCCCAGAGTTTGCTCTGTGCTGCTGGAGGGAGGCTACACGTGACACTAAGGCCGATCTGGTGACAGTTTCTGTCTGGACCACAGGCCCTGACTTTGCCCTCTGGCCTGAGAAATTCCCCCATTCCCCAAACAGGGAGTTTGAATGATCTCAGCACCTCCCTGTCAAAGAGCGACCCCTTTTGGCTGACAGATCTGCAAGAATGCGTCTAAGAGGGTCAATCCCAAATAACACAACTCAACCCACGAGTGGCGAGCGGTTTAGCCATCCGTGGCTTAAATTACAGTTAGGAGGACCTACGCTGTAAACCATGAATAAGAAATAACTTGATGTTGCCGTGGAATACTTGAGCATATTTTGAGTATCCTGAAGTCTAACATCTCTGGTAAAGGTACTTAATCATTCCTTGTAATGCATTACATAAGGTTCTAATCCCAAATATGTTTAGCAATAACACCGATTTGCTCGTATCGATTTCACTACTTACTAGTGGCTTCCACAAACAAGTCAAAAAAGCGAAAGGGAAACAGGGGCTCTGGCAGTTCACGGAAAAACATCTTTAGCGCTCCGGTGATGACATGGATGTCCTCCCATTGGCTGTCGCCCAAGTCAAGCTCCTCCTCTGGGGAAACAAAGAGACAGAGTCAGAGAAGCCAACAGAGAGAATTAAAACAACAGTCGTTTGATGAGGAAATTAAAAAATGCTAATCATTATGTCAATGTTAATACGCCCCTTGAGAGTCGAGCACATTGTCCTGCCTGCATTTCACTGCTTATCAAACCACTCTGAAAATCCTTATCAAACAATTTGTGGTGCCTATTACAAACTAACTAATTCATACCTTTCAGCAAAGCCTTTAGAACTAAAACAATAATATGTCATTTAGATGAACACTGATCCAACTCTTGGCCTTAAACCAAGCACTGATAATAGATAATTACAGAATTAAACTCACCTTGGTCAACTAGGAAGCGTAGTTTCTGGATAACGGCCAAATTGCCACTCACCCTGTATATCCCATCAGCCTCCAGGCCTGTGAGGACAGGGTAAAGACATCTGTCTGTTAGTCAGCCAGGAATGTGATAAAAAACATTTTTTTTTTTTTTTGAAGGATAATATTTTGAGCTATACCTCGTTTTTCTACTTCGTCCACACACAACTTGACAAATCTGGGCACAGTGGTCCTTTCTCTCTCGCACAGGGTCAACATGTGACATCCAAACACTCGGTCTATGGAAAAACGTGTCAGTGAGAATTTTTACAAATGTATAATGGTAAAGTAGGATTTGCTAACACTTTGTATAACAGTGTCCATATCACAGGTGTTCATTTTTTAATATAAAAAAACACTTACAATGATTAAAACCATAAATCATTACTGTTAATAAGTCTAGTCAAGTCACCTTTATTTATATAGTGATCTTTACGATACAGATTGTTTCATCGCTTTACAGTGATAACAGGAAAATAATGCAACAAAGATTGTTTCGGCTGTACAGCAGATCTAGAAGAAAACAGTGTTATTGTCCAGCTTAAGTAAGTTCAGTGATGGTTCATTTCTGTTGCATTAAAAGTTATTAGTTCATTTATCTACAGCCATGACGTCATCGCCCATGGGTGCGTTTCCCGAAAGCATCGTTGGCCAACTATGGTCGCAAGTTCCGTCGTTATCAGCATAGTTCAACGATTCGGTGTTTCCCGAAACCATCATTCCAACGAACATTCGCAAACAGCATCGCAAAGTTGTGTTGTTTGAACGACAGCTCTCGACCTATGGTTAGAAGCATCGTTTCTATATTGCAACACATTTGGAGGTAATAAATCCTTATATTGAGCATAATGAGCAAGCTGACATTCAGTACAACCGGTGTCTTTTATTTACAATACTTACAAATGGAATTTACGTCTTTTAGTTTGTCAAGAGATTTGAAGTGTTTGAAAAGTGCGCATGTGCAAAAGCGCTCCACTATGTAAGAAGGAGCCAAATATTGAGTCTGGTAATAAAGCAAAACAACTGAGAACAATTAGAAGTAGTCCTCAGATGACATGTCTGTAATTTATATACAGTAAAACAAATCTAGCGTTAATTGGATCTCAAACAGTTTCATTAAAAGCACTTATTACTCCACCACGTGCGAAACCAACATGGTTGAACGATACTTTGCGACAGTGGGTTTCGGGAAACAGTCGTGACTAGCTAGTTGATTTTTCCAACGATGCATCGTACTATGGTAGTGAAGCAGTGAACTACGTCGTTGTATGGGAAACGCACCCCAGCATTGTTCAATGAGTCGGTGTTTCCCGAAACCATCATTCCAACGAACATTCGCAAACAGGGGTGCGTTTCCCGAAAGCATCGTTAGCCAACTATGGTCGCAAGTTCCGTCGTTATCAGCATAGTTCAATGAGTCGGTTTTTCCCGAAACCATCGCTCCAACGAACTTTCCAAACAGGGTTGCGTTTCCCGAAAGTATCATTAGCCAACTATGGTCGCAAGATCCATTGTTATCAGCATAGTTCAACGAGTCGGTGTTTCCCGAAACCATCGTTCCAACAAACATTCGCAAACAGGGATGCATTTCCCGAAAGCATCGTTAGCCAACTATGGTCGCAAGTTCTGTCGTTATCAGCATAGTACAATGAGTCGTTTTTTCCCGAAACCATCGCTCCAACGAACTTTCCAAACAGGGGTGCGTTTCCCGAAAGTATCATTAGCCAACTATGGTCACAAGTTCCGTCGTTATCAGCATAGTGCAACGAGTCGGTGTTTCCCGAAACCATCGTTCCAACGAACATTCGCAAACAGCATCGCAAAGTTGTGTGGTTTGAACGACAGCTCTTGACCTGTGGTTAGAAGCATCGTTTCTATATTGCATCACATTTGGACGTAATAAATCCTTATCTTGAGCAAAATAAGCAAGATGACATTCAGTACAACCGGTGCCTTTTATTCAGCATAAATACAAATGTAATTTACGTATTTTAGTTTGTCAAAAGATTCAAAGTACCAATTTTGAAGAGTGCATGTGCGCATGTGCGAACGTGCCCTACTATGTAAGAACGAGCCAAATATTGAGTCTGGCAATAAAGCAAAATAACTGAGAACAATTAGAAATAGTCCTCAGATGACATGTCTGTAATTTATAATAAAAAATCTAGCGTTAATTGGATCTCAAACAGTTTCATTGAAAGTAGTTATGCACCACATGCGAAACCAACATGGTTGAACGATACTTTGCGACAATGGGTTTTGAGAAACAGTCGCGACTAGCTAGTTGATTTCTCCAACGATGCAGCGTACTATGATCGTGAAGCAGAGAGTTACATCGTTGTACGGGAAACGCACCCCATCTCAGTTCGGTTCTCATACAATGGTAGGTAGATCAATAATAGTTAAATATCAAGTGCCCCCAACTAAGCAAGCCAGAAGCCAAAGGCGTCAGGTGACAGAATTAAAAAAAACTTGAGAGAAACCAGACTCAGTCCCCCCAGCCAATAAACAAACAATGATAATTAATAACATAATTAATGTTATTATTATTATTAATAATAATACCAATACAATAATAAAAATTCAAATTATTAATAAAGTACAATTTATAATAATAATTGAAATTAATCTTAGTTTTTATTATACTAACAGTAGATCTTCAATGTATTTATTTAGTACTATTTATTGTGAAAAACAACAAAAGCATTATTAGCATTAATTATTATTATTTAATTAATTATTAAATACAATAAAAATAATGTATCAAATTTAACTTAGCATCTTAAAATTGTCACTCACTCATGGTGCAAGATTTATTTTTCTTTTTTTTAATTTAGTTTATGTTAATCAGAAAACTTATTTGCATTGTCTTTTCAATTATTTACTCGTCTGCCACCACAATGTCTTCAATTATCTTCATTTGGTGGCTTTTTCAACAAATATCTAAAAAGTATCTTTGCTTAATTAATCAGCATCTCAAGTAATTAATTAGATGTTTCAAAAAAAAAAAATATTGACAGCTGTACTTAATAGCAATGAGTAATTACAAGCTGCTTTGAAACTAATTACAGATTACGAGGTGCAATATACGAGCAATATAATGTAAAGTGTGACCCAGGAATTTCACAGATGAAATGCATAGTGAAATGTTTTGGGGCAGTCATATTTCAAAGATCAGAACGCCCCATAATGAGCAACACTACAGTAGTAAGCGTAGAGGTGTAAATGTCCTCATCATTTGGCTTTTTGAGTTCATATAGGACCAAGCGAGCTGTCCCAGAGGCTTCTGGAACATCAAAGATGTCCTGCTCTCATTTCGGCACCCGCGAGGAATGGGGGGTGGGGGGGGGGGAGAGTGGCGATGTGCTAAATGCATAAATGACTGCAAGCAAGCCACCTTTGCATACAAATGCACATTCAGAACTTTCCTAGAGAAATATCTGGCAGGAGGGGCATTTCTACATAAATTACTATTAAAAAGCATCGGTACAATACGGAACGCTCCTAATTTCAGATGGTTGTTTAGCGGGCTAGCTCGCCTTGGAGCTCTGCCAGCGATAGCGGTGTTAGGAGCCACCTGCGCTACTCTGTTAATCCCACAGTAGTTTTATTCATTCCCTTAATATTGTCCTCTTTGATCTACCATTTACCCCCACAGATACAACATTAAAGGGTCTTTTTGACACCAGAAGAAATTAAAGATATCATTACCTTTATCCGAGAGTTCCAAGTATGCTTAAAATATCCTTTAATGTTGTTTGGTGTATGCCATGAATAAAATAAATTAGTTACAGTCTTTAAGAATTCGCATCAGGGATTGCTTGTTGAACTGGAATAATGTGTAAATGAAAAAGAATGTCTTGCTACCTTTTTTTTTTTTTTTAACTGGGTCACAGTTGTGTTTAATATGGAAACCATATGGGAGCCAAAATAAACGAATGTCCTAAGATTGTACATTCGTATGTCATCATGTAATATGTAACCTGCAATTGTGTAGCATGTAATTATTAACTAGGCTACAACTGGGCAGAGTTGTTAAATGAATAAGTAAAAAAATGTTGGATTTTTGAAACTGATAGTTGGCAATGAGCATCACATTAATGTATGGCGCACATGTCAAATCTTTCACCTTTAATAAGGCCTTTTTCCTGTAGCGTTTTCATGGAGGGCCGTCTGGAGATGAACTTCTTCAGTCTGTTCTTAACTCCATTCTTGTCCGCGCTGTCTGAGGCGCTGTAATTCAGCTTGAACACTGTGCGGGGGATCAGAGGAGACACAGGAACAATGCTGTCACTGAACACTCGCCACATTCTTTTGAGGCTGTCTTTGTGCAAGTCCTCCTCATGCAAATAAGACTGTCTCCTTTCTCCACATTGTTCAAAAGCACACCAGAAAAGTTGAAATATTATCCAGTGTATGTGGATATCTCATTTCACAGCATTTATTTATTGATTCCGGCCAATGTTGGTGTCAATATTACACCATCTTGACAAGTCCAGTGATTAGTGTGTGACTAGTGAGCGTTCGGAGCTACTGCCCAGTATTCGGTATGGTAGTAAATTAATTCTCTTTGATACTCATTCAGGGCAGAAAATGCTGCAATTACCAATGACAGAAGTGCTTGGAGAGAGCAAGTCAAATAGCTTGTAATTTATAATAATGATTGACAGAGAGCAGACTGAATCCATCTTACTCAACATCCCAGTGGAGTGCCACACAGTCTTATATATTGTCTGAAATTCAGCTTCTGTAGGTCACTGTCACATATGGTAAATGATGAGAAGAGATGAGATGTGGTAACGTGTCTGAATTTTATTATAGTCGTCATGTTATTCCAGATGTGGATGTCCTTGGTACAGTAACCTAACTGCATGTGGTCAAGGTGCTGCTGTGCTTCCTGTTCAGAATGTGACCACAGTCGCACAGAGGAAAATGTGATGGAAAAAAAAATAATCATAAGAATGAATCGTGCAAAATAATGTCCAGGTCACATTTCACCCCCAAATCAAAAGGAAAATAGTATAGTATATTTTGATTAAAAATAATAAAGCCTTTTTTTAAGGAGCATTAAGATTTTTATATGGTAGCATGACAAGTATTGAATAACAATTATAAAACTGTTAGTTCCAATCCTTGATTCTGATTGGTCAATAGCTGTGCTTTATTCATAATAAAACACGACTACTATCGCTTCACCCAACGGTTCTATTTATCACTGCGCAACAATGCAGTTCCTATGTAGTTTTTGTATGTGAGCTTTCATGCATATTACACATTCTAGCGTTGTTGCCGTTCATGGTCAGGGACTATTTTTTTTTCCAGCGGAAGGAAGGCATTAGTGATTTTACTTCATGAAAGTTGCACTAATACATATTCTTTTTTACTTCAATATTTTTTATTGTGTGATAACCGTTTTTTTAAGGCAATAAGGTATTTGAGCAAGTGCTGTATCATGAATACGTAATGGCTGAAGGGGTTACTCTGCTTCGTGTCGTGCCTAACAACGCCCTTCAGTTGTTACTTATTTACGATACAACTCAGCGTCCCGTACCTTATTGCTTACTTAAAGGGGTCATATGATGGTTCTAAAAAGACATTATTTTAATCTAAAAAAATAATAATCTAAACATTATTTTGTGTATTTGGTTTGTTGCAACGTGTTTACGCCGTTTTAGGTTATAAAGAAAGTGTGGTGTGCTCTGTTTGGCTAGCGATCCATTACATTGTGATTGGCCCAAAAACCTTAAATGTGTGACAGAAATGTCACGCCCCTTACCATATTTGGATCATCAAATGCTCCCAAATCAATAATGACAGGTGATAATGTCGGTACTACCTTATCAATTCGAGGCCGAATCTGATCCGGAAAATGCAGGTGAACCAAGCTGATCGATCAAATTTGGCAGCGCGACTGGACTAGAACGTATCACTCCAGTATCGTATGGTATGGTTTTATTTTCATTGGGGACACAATTACTGATTATTATGACTGATACTCTGTCTTTTTACGCGTCGCTCTACGGGCGTGAGAATAATATGTAAACATAAAACTATGTCTGAATTTGTGATCGTAGAAAGGACAAGCAAGCGCTACTCTATTAAGCTCAAAATTCGCGTTTGAATAGTCAAATTATTAAAATGTGGAAACATACTTTAAAGGCTGTGTCTGTAACTTAGAAGCAGCAGACCCACTTTTTAGAATCAGCCTTTGTGTTTTAAATACTAATTAACAGTGAAAAAAAACATTTAAAAAATCTTATTTTTTTATATTACAGTATTTGGAAAAGAAATGAAGGTTTTTGGTGAAAACATTCCAGGATTTTCTCCATATAATGCACTTCATTGGGAACCAAACGGTTCAAGGTCCAAATGAGAGTTTCAGTGTAGCTTCAAATGGCTTTAAACGACACCAGGCGATGAATAAGGGTCTTATCTAGGACCCTTCGAGTCATGACTCGGAAAAAGATTTGTTCATTTTGATGAACTAGTTTGAACAGGAGAGTCACGAACGCGCATCACAGAACAGAGCAAGGCGAGCATTTTTGCTTATAAAACTTAAACTTTGTTATTTATTTTTTAAATGACTGATGGTTTCGCTATAGATAAGACCGTTATTCATTGTCTGGTGTCGTTTAAAGCCCTTTGAAGCTCCACTGAATCTCTCATTTGGACCTTGAACTGGTTGGTTCCCATTGAAGTCCATTATATGGAGAAAATCCTGGAATGTTTTCATCAAAAACCTTAATTTCTTTTCGATTGAAGAAAGAAAGACATGGACATCTTGGATGACATGTGGGTGAGTAAATTATAAGCATTTTTTTTTTCAAGTGACTTTAATTGTCATGAAAAAAAAGGTAAAAAAAAAGTTACAATGCAAAACAATCCTGATCCTAAAACAGGGTCCATTTTATTCAATTAAAAAAAAATGTTCTTTGGATTTTGGGGTAAAATATGACCTTCATTTCTTTTGGAAATAAAGTCTGTGAACAGACTGTACTGTACTGCTAACTCATTAATGTGAATATTAAACAGTGGTGAAGCAAGGCTGCAACCCAGACACACTCACTGTTTCTGAACTCTCTGTACTGATCGCCAGTTATCACCTCTCTCACACACTCACACACACACACACGTGTTACTCACTGATGGAGCGTCTGTGATCAGACTTGGTCTCTTTTGGTTTAGGTTTGGTGGCTTCACAGGTTGGTCTGGGCAAGCATTCTGTACTGTTGGATCTGTTTAAGGCCACTCTACCACAGCTCTTGCTTCCAGCGCCACTCGACTAAACCACAACATCATATAAAAGATTCATCAGATAGATGCAGAAATATCCACAAAATGTTGCTTATTTATCCCAGTGTTAGAAGCTTATCATTAGTATTAACCTTTTTTTTAATTTTTTTAATTTTTTACCTATTCCAATCTTTAAATATAGTCCTTCGTATAAAGCACAGACTATGTTAAAGTAAAAATGTGTCTTTTAAGAAATGGCATACCAGACTGTCCACTGCTTTCTTGAGGGCATCATGCCATTTACAGATGGTTGGAAAGTGATCTGCCTGCAGCAAAAACTCCTGACCAGTTAGGGTGGTTATCTGTTGGTAAAAGAGGGTTGAAATTAAAGTTAAAAGAGAGGCATTCAAACAAAGACAGCTGGCAAATTTTGTGTGAACGCCTCTCTTGAGCATAAGAGACTTAAGATAGAAATGCGGATTTGGTGATCACAAGAGACCTACCAATCTTATCTCCAATCTTTTAAACGGTAATGTATAAGATAGATATACAATATATTAATACATATTTTATTTATTTATTTTTAAATACCATCATAAATCAATAATAAACATTATAGGAAGAAGTTAGATGAGACACAAGCAATTTCAGATTACAAGTTATTAGTGTGATACCTGACTAAACATTAGACTTATTTCTCGAGACTGGCATAACATCACATGGCACAGTCGCATAGAATAAGTGACATTCCGAGAAGAATGCAAGCAAACACCAACGCTAAGGTCAGAATTGTCAAATACCGTTGCACAGAAGAGATCCTTGTTATTTTAAAGAGAGCTGACACTGCATATTTCTAAAAACCTAAAATGCTTTTAGATTGGTCAGTCTCTAAAAATACCAGGCCGGATCACAGAACACACCACAACCCCCTCCCCCCCATACAGTCACTACACATAGACGTCCAAAGTTTTCCCCGTTTAAAACAGACTTTTCTGACTTTGAGAGAGGGTGGCAGGGGGAATCACGCAGTCTCTTTGGGGATGGAGTGAATACAGAGGGGATGGTTAGGGGCACAATTCTTGTCAGAGTGTGTTTGCGATCCCTCTATTCTTCAGAGTGGAACATCCGAGAGAGCATGTTTGTTCTGAAGCTCCTTCTTTCCTGGAGGGTGCCTGCGGACATGACAGTAATAGTTTCGAGTGGGGTGGACTTGTTGGAATCCTCATCGGCGGTTTGAACGGGTGAAACAGACCCACTTTAATGAAGGATATTTTTGCTGCAGGTCATAAGAAACTTTCAGATGACAGTTTCACATCTCTTTATGGTTTTGCTAACAACGCATGGAGCTCGTGCAGTATCAGTGATCCCCTTTTATGCAGATTCGACAGATATTTTATAGATGTGAGACAACATTCTTTTCGGACATTTGAAATTAAATGAGCCTCTGACGTATTGCCGTTCCACTTTGATTCAGAAGACAGCACAGTGATAATGTTTCACAACCCAGCACGCAATGTATCAAATAATTCAAATAGTATTTCAAAGCCAAACCACCCTTAATAAATTCAACACCAAAGCTCGATTAAGTTAAACTGAAACACATTTTTTACGTCTTTCAAAATGGCTCATCTTGTAAATCAAGCCGTTTCAAAACCAAACGTCACATTGGTCTTTGATTTCATGAAGATTATCTGAGAGCGTTAGCTGATGAGTCATGAGTTCTGTGCCGTTTCTAAAAAATGATAATCATCTTTCCAACTATCCGTTGCTATTCACCGATACCTTCCCAGAATCAAGCTCTCCTAATTTATGCCATGTTTCATCTCTGCATGTGGTGCTGCCCATGGAAAAGAAGGGCCCATAGATATAATGCCAATATTTTTATAATGTGCACATATTTCTATGGACATTTAATGCTGTTATGGGCAGCTTACACAACAAGTCTTGTACAAATCATACTGCAATATTTATGATTGTATTGTTGTACTGGGCTTAACGCTGTATATATTTTTCTTCCCCTAACCGTGAACTCAAATTTATTTTGTAATTCTGTACTTTAGCTACATATATTTTCTTCTTACTTATTACTAAAAAAGTGCACAGACATTTCACTGCCTTTGCATCACTGTGTACTGTATGTGACATTAAAACTTTCAACTTAAACGTGTTAATGTTCTGTAACATTGGTGAAATAACAACCGCAAAAAAGTAAAATATATATATATATATATATATATATATATATATATATATATATGTTTTTATATATATATATATATATATATATATATATATAATTTATTTATTTATTTATTTAAATGTTGTGTAAGGACATTATTGGTCAGGAAAAGTGATTGGAAAACTGGGACTAGTGGAAAGTTTTGTGTGAGTGGAAAAAAAAAAAAAGAGTACAACATATAAAAGCCCAATGCTTTTAATCACACTGTTTAATGAGGAGGAATTTGAATATCTCGGCTCTCACTTTGACTCTTCATTAATGTTTAATTATGCAGAGCAGTACAAAGACCAGAATGCCATTTGTGACTTAACATTTGTGTTTTGCTGTTAAATTAAACATTAATTTGAAAGCTACATAAAGACACAACTCAACTTTGAAGCGCATTAGATTGCAGGGTTAATTATCTCCAATTTCCACAACTCCTGAGATGGGTCTGGGTTTGAGAGCTACTGGATTCCCAGAGAAAACAAAAGCCAAATCTGAGGGAATGGAAGAAGATGCACTGCATTCCCCTGATGCTTTCTCATGCACAATGTTTAATTCAATGGTTTAGGCTGCATAGGTCACATTAAAAAATATTCATAACAACAACGACAGAAACAAAATCTTTGTAAAGTGTTTCACGAGTGGCAAATTAATACTGTTTCTGTAACCAACATTCACCAGATTGCAATTTTAAATGAGCGGGCTAATCTCGTAAAGGATTGAACCATCAGTCGATTTGATTAAAAAGAGTGAGTTGTAATTTGCAAACACAAAAGCTTCTACAACTGAACAACGGAATTGAAATTCAAAGTGAGAAATAACATAATAATGATCCATAAAAGTGACCAGGGGAAGATGTCACAAGGGCTTTCGTGTCAACAGTACTGTTATACAATGTGTTTCCTCTAGCAGTGGTTTTTATAAGTTGGTTTGAATTAGGGTTCAAAACCTTCTTAAATTGAAAAAAAAAAAAATCTTTGTTTTTTTCTGGACAATAACTATTTGTACTGAGGCGTTGTAAATCGTATGTTCTTGCTAAGAGAGAGTCATTTTGCTGCTGTAATCTCCTTTGTAATCTGCTGTCTGAATCTCAAATCCTTCCGTTCATCCCATGATTATTACAGAATATAAAGTATATTGTTTGAATACTGAAATTAACGCTCAATACAAATGTAAGCAGCTTTGAGGGCAAGCAAATACCTTTCCTTCAACTCTCTTGCAAATTGGTCTTAAGAAAAATATTTTGTGTGGACGAGAAATGTATTTCATATTTACGTGCTTGAAACTATCGTTTTAGACACTTGTACTGTATGTCGCAGGAGTGGATTTTTATTAAAATAGTTTTCAACTTAAAGGTGACATTAAGTGTAGATTAGGAACTTTTAAGCATAAAATACTTTTTACTACTTATCAAATGTCTTTTTACCCTTGTCTCATATTCAGTATTATTCATTTATTACATTTAATTACATTTATAATCTAAACTTTTTAGTTTCAATCTTTTTGTACTGAAATTACCACAAAATGTGTTGTATCATTCCCAATTTAACTGTATTTTTGTGCAAAAAGGGTGACAATATTATTGAATTATATGCACTCTAAAAAAATGCTGGGTTGTTTTAACCCATCTTTGGGTCAAATATGGACAAACTCAGCCATTGGGTTAAATGTTTAAATTACATTTTTAACGCAACAGTTGACCCAAATTTGGGTTAAAACAACCCAGCATTTTTTAGAGTGTGTATTTAGGATATATACAATCCTAGTAATAAAATGACCCTTAGTAAAGAGTCAGCCATTTTATTTTATGGAGTTTAAAATGTCATTGGAAGTCTAATACACTAAAAAATCATTTGCGATATGGTGGAAGTGACACTGCCATGGAAGAAAAAATACACTCTAAAAAATACTGGGTTGTTGGACAAATATGGACAAAAGCCAGCTGTTGGGTTAAATGTATAAATTGGATTTTTTAATCCAACATTTGGGTTTGTCCATATTTGACCCAAAATTGGGTTAAAACAAGCATTTTTTAGAGTGTAATAACAAGAAAAACTAGTAGCAGAGTGAAAAGTGTTTTTAATGTTTTGAACGTTGTGAACCTTGTCCAAACATTGCTCACCAATGGCTAAATATTGGCTAAATACACTACGCCTTTATCCTGCAATTTGATGTCATTTGGATCAAATATGTTTTAATAACAAGTCCAGCATTGAGTGTCCCACTGCTGTGACAGTCAGGTTAAGCCTGTACATGAACCGCAGTGATTGACAATCTAAACAACATTCTGTAATTACACAAAACATCACTTCATTAGCTCAATTCTGTAAAGCGTCCTTTCAAAAGCACGATACTTAGCAGTCCTTCTAGGCAAGCCATTTGAAGAGTCAGATCTCTCCTACTACTCAGTGTAAGCCTGTCAGTCTGTCAAAATCTGCAGTAAACATGCCCGAAAGGTGCCGAGTGCATGAGACACGAGATCTGACAGTGCCTGGCCAAAGATCTTCGCTTCCATGGACAGTTGAGGAGATGGTGTATGGACATCAACCACATGCTATTTATCGCAGTGCCTATAAACATTGCAATAACCTCCCCTGGCCTTGTTCCAAACAGTCCAAATTGGTTCATAATTGCTGCTTATTCTCTGCCCACTTTTTGAGGAAGAATTTATTTATTCATTCATGACTGACCTCAGCAAAGGTTTTCCCCCTTTAATTCATGTTCAAAGTGTGTGTCAGGTGAAAGGAGAGTGCAATGTTTGAGATTTAGCTCCACTGTCTCTCCAGCTTGACGCCACATGCCAGCATATGATATTTCAATCAGCCTCAGATGTTTCCTCTTGATTCTCAAACACTCATGTCAGGCAACCATTGTCAATAATGTGAGGCAGTTGTAAGGTCTTAGTGCAGTCACATTTGTGTAACAGGATTGCTGGATTTGATAGTCTTTTTCACGCAGGTGACGCAAACACGGATGCGATGAGAATTGGATTTCCATTGTCTGATGGTTTTTTGTTTCCTGCTGCACTGAAAACTGATAGGCTGTGCGAGAAAGGACTTTGTGTTCAGGATGAATGTTTTGGAAGATAATCTTTTTCCGTGGGTTGTTTAGTACAATGAAAATATTTTGAACTTGTCTTTTATCACAGGTAAGACATAAAGGTTTCATTTACCAAATAAATAAATAAATTACGTTGTCATATAATTATTCTTAACAATAATAAAGTTGGTTCCTAACATTCCCAACCTCTATGACTTTCTTTCTGCTGCATAAAACAAATGAAGATATTTTGAACAATCATGTTTTAACTGTTCATTCAGTAAGGTTTGGAGTTTGGTTTGAAATTTGTTAATCTGACTATACAAATGGCCAAATTAGAAATTGTGAGAGTTCAGTCATACTTTTAATTCTGTATTGAATTTGATTTGATTTGCATAAATGTGTAACAGGCTAAAATCAGTTCTTTCAGTGGTCTTTCTTTTAAAGAAACGTGGTGTTCTCAGAAGCACTAGAGTTTCATATGTGCGTATAAAAACTCATTTATTTTTGTGGGAGCTTTGAAAGTTAAAAATGCATGTCTCCCTTGGTTCATAACCCTTTTAAATGAACCGGAAAGCCTGAGAGTGTCAAACTGCTGAACAACACCGTGATGAGAATGTCTAGTGAAGTCGATTCTTAGTTCTTTTTACTCACTTGTTGACATAAATCACAGTAATATGAAATATTTCTTGAAACTACCAGTCAAAAGTAGTTTCTTTTTTTTTTTTTTTTTTTTTTGTGGCAGTACATCGTAATATATATATATATATATATATATATATATATATATAGATATATTCATGATTTGTAATCACAACATTTTTTTCTGTTGTCAAATCAACTTAATAATTTATGTGGTTCAGATAACATAATATTTTGAGTTTCAGATGATTAAATCAATCTCCTTCATTGTATTAACTCAATTTTTCAATTTCAATGAATTTTAAGGCAACCAGGTAACTTCATTTGTTTAAGTTAAACCAACAATATTGTTTTACAGTGATGCTACCATTTTTTTTTTTTTTTTTTGCTTCAAACAGATGCTGAACTTTCTAACCATCAGAGAATCCTTAAAAAAGTATCACGAGCGCAACTGTTCTCCACATTAATAATAATAATAATAACAACAAAAAATGTTTCTGGTGCACCAAATCAGCATATTAGAATGATTTCTGAAGGATCATGTGACACTGAAGACTGGAGTAATGATGTTGAAAATGTAGCTTTGCCATTACAGGAATAAATTACATATCAAAATATATTATAGAAAACAGCTATATTAAATTGTAATAATATTTGACAATATAACCGTTTTTATTGTATGTTTGATCAAATAAATAAAGCCTTGGCGAGCGTAAGATCTTTCTTTAAAACCATCTTACCGACCCCATACTTTTGCACAATCCCTTGGTGCACAATTTACAAATTTATGGCCATCTTAAATATGTTAATTTGCAAACACACTAAATAAAGCACCTCCAGTGTTGTGATTGAGGTTCAAGGCTGTTAAGTTTCAACTGATAAATGCTGTAATCCTGGTATTAGTAGAGATATAAGGATCTGCACCAGCATCCAAGGTCAATATCAGCAGTGACAGAAGCACAAAAAGGAATGAAAGTCAACTCCAGATGCTTAAGACACTGATCAAAACCTCCAATGAAAGAACGTGAACTTTCTTAATCACAACTATCCCTCAATCTGACACAAGTGTTTTGTCTTGCCCTAAGCCTCACAGATCTTTGAGACCTCGGCTGAATGCCTCACAGATTGCAAATCTAGCTCTCCGCGCTGCTGAATTAACGAGCCTGCACACTAATTTCTAATCCCGGTTGAGGTTGATTGACAGCGGTGGCAGACTACGAAATGGCTTGTACCATCATTACAAGCACTTTTTTCTGTGTGAGAGTTTGGGATTATTTAAGATTACTGCTTAATGCCGTTTTAATCTCTCCTGCAGAAAAAAGAAAAAAAAAAGATTTCTGGGCAAAATACTGGACAGCAAGTACAGTGGCGGTGATAAGATATTATAAGTGCGCGATGAGATCAGAAATCGTCTTTTTATCCTCGTTTTGCCTCATTATGAGAGCTAACTCTGCTATCAATCTATTGATAAGCATTTGCCGCACACAAAAACACCAGCCGGAAGATTATCTCGCTTTAGATAAGTCCTAATAAAGTCTTTGTGACAACAATGACTAGACAGAAATGTTAGGAAATGCTTTTGGATGTTAAAGAACTTTGCACCCTGAAAGATCCATCCAATCACTGGTATGCAGATCGAAGACTGTATTTTTTTTTTTTTTTTTTTTTTTTTTTTAAGAGGTATGACACCACCTCCAAGAGACAGTATCAAGCCTGGCGGATGTGGACGCTAAGCTCACTGAGCAATTAGGTTTCTTTGTAGATGTTTCAATCCTTTGAGACTTCATACATGTATTGAGCAGTTTGGTTAAGCTGTGATCTTACAAAGTTTGAGCCGAAAAGGGAAGGATAGATTATAAAAGATGAAGCCCAAGTTGTTATTAGAAGTGAGACCTTGTGACACAAGATCAAGACCGATGGCACTTCTGGCAAATCTTCACTATTAATATTTACTAGATAATACGCATCTGTATTATAAAGCTATAGCGATTACAATGCGTTTTTGAATAGTTTTGCCAGTAACACTTTACAATAAACTCTCATTTGTTAACATAAGTTATTGTATGTTAGTTAACCTTGAGCTTTGTTCATCTTTGTAAAAGCTGCTGTTCAGCTGTTCATGGTTTCTTCGTGTTACTTCACAGTGCATTATCTAATATTAACAAACACAACATTTGATATTAATAATGTATTAGTAAATGTTGAAATTACCAAGTGCATTATCAGTTCATATTAACTAACAAATCAACTACTGTTTACTAAGTTTTTCCTGTTTTAACGCATGATAAAATGGATGAAAAAATGAACTTTGGCTCAATGTGTTGGACTGTCCTACCTGAATCACGTTCTTTCGACTGGATTTCTCTGTTGTCCACTCGATAAGAGCCCCACACAGATCCACACCATCTGCTTTACCACCTGGTTTCTGTGGAGAAAGTACAATTACATTAACATGTTTGCCAAGATACTAATAGAAACACCACGTTTATCATGTCTTACGTGACTTTGTGAAATAATAAACAATTTACAAACACAACGTTTTGATACAAGAAAGATTGCCTATTAAATCAAACATGCTTTGTATTAAAATAATAATGATAAAAAAAGCTCCATGTCAGGCTTTTAAGCTATGTAAAGAGGCATTTCTTACAGTCCTACGGTTTTAATGAGGTGGCAAAAATACTTAACTTCATCCTGATAACCTCTGTACGTACCGCCCTAAGAAATGGCAGAGAGCTCGGGGGCTTTATGGCCACTTGACCATGAGTGATGTTGAAACTAATATGAGTTGACCCCATCGATGGCCTCGACATACCATTTACATGCATGACAAGCATGTGAAGGTAGTAAACCTCTATTCTTCTCTACCTCATTTTCTCCATCACTGCAACATGCTGCTCAAATCAGCAGAATAATAATATGGCTGTAAAGTCCTGTGCATGATGTCCCGTGCTTGATAAGTGTTTCCTTTTTCAGCAATGTTTAAAATAGTCGGCATCAAAGCAAAGTTAAGAATTGAGACAAATATGGAAATCGTTATGTTTCCGAATCCCCACCCAGACGCTAACAGTTATGCTGCTCGGTATAGCTTCTCATTAAATTGTTTTATTTTCCTGATTTTATATATTATTCAAGTATTTATTTTATTTATCATTTGACATAAACATTTGTTCATTGTTTTTTTCACCCTAAATACAGGTGCAGTGGGTTTTTGCAAATATGTACCGTGGTCTTACCAAATTTGCAACAGCTTCTTGTTTGCTCTCTTTATAGAATAATAGTTGATTGGAGCAGAGAACAACCCAGGTTGAAGTCCAGTTTTTTCTGTGAAAATAATTGAGGTTTTTACAAATTAAACTCACTGTAGCACTCCAGTTAATAGTGGAAATTTGTCACCAAACTTAGTGGCTTATTAGCTTGCATTTTACTAGCATATTGGCTGTTTTAATTACTTATAAAGCACATTAATGCCTTTTTCTGCATGGCCATTTTTACATCCCTTAATCCTACCCAATACATAAACTTAACCACAACAAAACTACCTTACTAGCTAGTAATAAGCAGTAAAATAGGAGTTTGACGTAAAACTTGTAATGAAGAGTGAATATGTGTTGCCGAAAATAAAGTGTGACCAAACTAGATAGATAGATAGATAGATAGATAGATAGATAGATAGATAGATAGATAGATAGATAGATAGATAGATAGATAGATAGATAGATAGATAGATAGATAGATAGATAGATAGATAGATAGATAGATAGATAGATAGATAGATAGATAGATAGATACCGTAATTTCTTTCCTCCTTCAGCAATTTTGGCTTTGTTTAAATATTCTCCTTTTAAAACAGTCTGTGACAGAACAGAAACACAAAAAAATATATATTCCACAATATTTCAGAATATACAAAATACATAATAGCTTATTGGCTGCTGCATTTTACTGTACTTTTTTGGATAATTTGCTGGAATAAAAAAAAAAAAGTTTTGAAACCATGATTCCCATTTCGTGTGTGATGACACTAAACTCTGTTTATTCAGCTCAGATTTCCATTCTTCAAAATAATCCTTTATTATATTTTGTGAGTGTAAATCATTTATTGCAGGCTCTTTTGGCTCCCACATTAAAAAAAAAAATAATAATAATAATTTTTAATTATTATTTATACGATGGTGGTAGTGGAGGAGGTACATCATACCTGCAGCCCAACAGAACCATCAATGTTATCCTGAGACTGGTTTCTCCGGTGACGGTTGATCTAAACAAAGAACATGCGTTGCCTGAATGAAATTATGGACCATGATACGGCCAGAAATATTTTGTAATTTACTTTAAAATTAATAATAATTTTCTTTTTGATTGTTATTATTATTATTTTTTTTGTTGAGTAATATACAGTCAGTCACTGCACGAAATTTTATTCTACATGCATGTTACATATTTCTATGTAACATCTAATATTGAATTTAATTCCATCCATATTTCTTTTCAATCATAATTCTGATTAAAATTAAAATTTAGTGGTTTTTTTTTTAAATCATAAAAATGTACATACTACCACACAAAATGATTATTATAGTAACAAGAAAGCATATTATTAAGCTACTTATTTGATGTTTTGTGTTAGCTTTAGTTTGATGAAAATGGCACAATTTCCAAAACGCTGTGCAGCAGTGCTGGCCTGCCCTCTGCTGTTCTGTGTCTGTGTTTCTAAAAACAGCCAACGCAACAGGAAGCTGCTCATAACATGGTGCATGAAGTTACACACACTCATGCGACATAGATAGACAGAGAGGCATAAAATCATCGAACTGGTCTTGGGCCGTGTGGTTGCCCTCATGCTCACGGGTTTCTGTAGTGTGTCAGGATCTGGTAAGACCATAGACTTTGTCTGGCTGAGTCTCTCTACAGTATTGTTCTGAGAACTCTTGATCCTCATCTGAACAGATCCAGGAAGCACCAGTGCTGGCTGCTTGTGCATCGCTGACACTGAAGAAAAAAATAGCAATAACACAAAATCTGTCATTTATCATTTTTAATTTGCTGAAAATATAAACAATACATAAGACAGACACAAAAATAATCAAGTTTCAGCCAACAGAAATTTCTAATTATAAATTGCATGAAAATGCACTTAAAAAAGTGACATTTTTTTGCAAGATATCCTTGCTCTGAAAACACAGAGTCCACAGGTCCAAGGCTATTAGCCCAGCAAGGGTCGTTTAAAGCCCTAGCTCGCACTGGCCCGACAGTGGAAACACGTCTAATGAAAGCAGTGGATTAAAGGTGCGTTAGAATGGTGTTTAAATTCACTTGGGACTACCTGTGCATTAAACAGTTTTATTGCACAGCTTCTAGCCAATCAGAATTGAGTATTTAGACAGGCCATGGCATAAAAAGTAAAGTGCGGCTTTTTTTTAAGTGGCACTGCTTCCAGAAGAATTTTTCATTAATTTTCCCATAGGGATTTTAAAATAGTCTTCAATTATGAACCAAGCCATTTAAAAAAAAAAAAAAAAGGGACATATAGACAAAAGAAGATTGTGTCACTAAATGGATTTAGTGAGGGAAAGAAACCATTGCTATCAACATGATGGAGAAATATAAAACTACTAATTTACAAAAGTTGATTATAAAAACAATATATTTAAAGTTTATTTGCTAAATATTCATTAATATATAACAAATATTATTTTGAAAGCATAAGAAGAGCGACTCGATTAAAAGATTTGATTACAGTGGATGGAGCTAAAGAGCTATTTTGGATCGTGTTGCTTTTTTCGACTCTTGGCAATGCCACTTTGCAAAGAAAAAGTATGCACCTATACTGCCCTACAAAGCAAAAAGGCAGTAACTACGCAGAGTGCAGAGCTGAGAAAAATGACTTTTGCTAGGGCTTTTTGCAGTTACTGTACAAACGACTACAATTTTTCACTAAAACGACATGCATTTAAGATAAGATGTTTTGTCATATAACAACGGTTGGCTTGAATGTCATGAAAATTGTAATAATTAATGCTTTACCAAAACTGCAGTTACTGCCTTTTTGCTTTGTAGGGCAGTATAGAACACGTAATATGTATGCGCATGACGTCACAGTTTTCACAAATTTTCAAAAACTGCAAAGCGTTTTTGTAGTTTACATGGAGACAATAACAAAAGTTAGCATTTTCAGGCCACTAAAATGCTGTTATGTATTTATTTGTATATATATATATATATATATTTTTTTTTTGAACGGCCCTTAAAGCTACGGGCGACAAAAATACGTTTTCGTTTGAAAAATCTTTGTCTTTCCTTTCCATCCACATTAAGACAGCGTGTTTGTCAATGAAGGCAAAGCTTTTTGAAAAAAATAAATAAAAAATAAAAAAATAGAAAATTCCATTTTTTGCATTGTAGTGTGGAAAATGATGACCCGTTTGTCGTGTGACGCATATTGTACCAACAATATCTATTTGTACTGGGATTGTTGTGCCCGCTATTCACTTTCAGTGTGTTTCTATAAGTATAAATGTTCCTTTGTAGATTCGTCATAATAAATTCCTGCAACAGAATATGCACTGGCAATTGCTGTTGCAGCAAAACATGATGACAGTTCCATTTTAGATCATTTAATGGTCAGATTGTGACCTAGGCACAACAGTGAGTGATGGGATATTTTGCTAATAAAATGATCGTGCCAGAAGAAAAGTGTGAGAACTTTATGTCTGTACCCTCTGTATCATCTCGTGACCTTTTATTATATTTTACCCATGTGCTGAAAGGTAATTTAAGAAGCACTAACGTGCAGGGAATGTTTTGAAACGAAAAGGCTGTTCATTTTTGAAGAAAAGGTCCTTTATAGAACCTTAAAGGTTCTAGCAATCGTCATTTTGCGTCATCAGAGGATTTTTGGGCAAGAGGCTAAAGACTACAGCCAGTGCTCTGCATGTTTTCACCACGCCCATATGGGGCGGGATCTCACTCATAGAACGTAAAGATCATGTGAGCCATCTTTCTGTAGAAGCTAAGCTAAAGGGCTCTTGCCTCTTGGTCTTTGTAGAAAGTTTGTATAGTAGGCTAATCACGATGGTGGAAGGTAGTTTTGAATTTGAAATGGCAGAAGGGGATTTCGAAGATCTGTTGCGAGAATCTGATGCTCGCGGCAACCTGTGCTAGCCAGTTGCGGGAGATGGAGGAACAAGAGGCGGCCGGAGCGAGACAGAGTCGAGCTGGGGCGGGCGAGAATCTGATGCTCGCGGCTACGCATCACGAGCCGTAATACAGTGATAAACAGTTGCGGTAGATAGAGGAACAAGAGGCGGCCGGAGCGAGACCTGAGCACAGGCAGACTCGAGCTGGGGCGGACTGGCGGTGTGAGTGCTTTCGCTGTGTGCCTACGGAAACAGATATAGACCCCTATTGCTGTCGCGAATCTCAGCGATGCCATTTTCTTCTGGTGAGATCGCTGAATCCGCAGAGCTTTGAGTGTAAAAGTGTTAAAATGTAATTATTTTTTAAATTAAACGTTATAGCTCACATTGGTTGTGATTCATTTTTTTAAACCTTAATCAAATGGAAATTTATCAAATAACTCACGATGTATCAAAGCAAGCCTAGTTGTATCCATTTATGGATTTTGCCACCTGTAACCGGTAGGCGTGGTTTGGGAGTGGCCTCGTAAGGGCAGCAAAGCAAGTGCATTCTGGGAGTTGTCGTCTTTCAGCACATGAGTAAAAAATACATTTTCTGCCTTTTCTCAGTCTAGAATGCTTCAATTTCAAAAATAATTTCACACTTCTACAATATTAATGACCAATATTAAATACACATTCATCTTCCCAGAGGTGAAGTATCCCTTTAATTAAGTGTTAAGTTAAACAGCTCTTAAAAACACTTAAAGTAGAAAATAGTAAATAATGTAAGAGCTTAATGCGTTGTCTGAGAAACCATGGGTAAATGTCTCTTAAAAAAACCTTTTTGTCACAAAACCATTGGTTCATATCAACGCATTCTCATCCTAGGGCGTCATATAGTGACGCTTTTGACAATTCTTATATATTCAACACACATGGCAACTTTCAGTGCCAATATGGGTAGGTTTAGATCTGGGGTAGGGTTAGGGTTAGACCACTAGGAGGCGCCTTCTGGCCCATATATATCTGCGTCTCATACTGACGCTAAAGGGTGCCATGTGCGTCGGATGTATACGCATTGTATGTTTATATACAGTATAGCACGCTATTGAAGATTGTAGGCCTGGTGACCACTTCCCTGCTTACCTACCATTAGTTGGCTTTGTAGTAGCTCATGCCTCAGTAAAATAATGTTTTAATTTTGTTTTTGTTTACAAAATGGTAGACATCAAACTAGAATTCCATTGCATCAATATATTTTAAAATGTTACTGGTCTTTTCAAGTTATGGACTGAATTCACTTCCTGAATTGAATCCGTCTTCTAAGCTACAATAGCAATTTGTAGTTTGAGCTTTTATAAAATGTTAATAAAATGCAAAATGTTTAAGTGCATGTAGACACTACATTTGGATGTGTTCTTCCGCATTTCATTATTGTGTCATTATTTATTTTGTTGTCTGTTGGCAGCTTTTTAAATATGTTTCTTGTGAATGTTTCGAAAGAGTAATTGCACCATCGGGTGAGTGGAGGAACTGATCTGTCAAGCCTTTTTTTTCACAGAATCTAAGCTTTTTAAAGCTTAGATTACTACATTATAAGCTACAGTAGATGCACTTTAAGCTAGTAGATGCACATATATTATACAGACTCACAATAGAAAGGTTTTTATATAATAATTATAATAATTAATAATTTGTCTTTAAATGGTTTACATAAAAATAAACAACCAGCTCTTGCAAAAATCTATAGATCAATTCACATTATCAGCCATTTCTGACAGTTCTTAACAGGTTTTAGACAGGAGATAATTCTGTCAGCCACTATTTTAATTTTCAATTTGTAAACAAGCCATGGTCGCAGCGGACAGATATCAAGATTAGTGGCAATTTACAGATTTATTCAAAAATCACATTTTTGAAAAAAAAAACTAACTATATTTTGCTTATTATTATTATTATTATTATTCTTTGTCCAACTCAAGACTGTTTCTATGTGTATATTTATTTAAAATGTTTCTGTAGCTGGTAAACCATGAAATCTGCTGCTGCTGATAACACACTGTAGCCTGACAGGAAATAAATAAATCTTCAAAAAAAAAAAAAAAAAAAGAAAAAAAGAAAAGAAAAGAAAAGCACAGCGGAAACAGTGACACTTTCAGTGGTGCGTAACAATTCGCCTGTCTTACAAGAGTGGGCAACAGTCTACATATCCTCTGTTTAAAAGAAAATATTCATAGTATTTTTTTTATTTTTATTTTTTTTTAAAGTAGCTTATCAGTTCTGACATTTTGGCATAACCTTTGGGAGCTTTGCATGCAAATATTTAGAACACATTTAATCAAGGCATCACAACATTTCAGTTAAAAAAACACAACTTTATCTTCTCACCTGACAAATTGTCATATATTAAGGCAAATAATACTATTATATTATAGACTATTAAATTTATAATCAAAATAATTAGCTCTAGATATGCATGTAAAATAACAAATCTGTTCCTCTGCGGACCTACTTTTCTTTAAGCATCATTAATTTGATATGCAGGATAGAGATATAAATTCAGGTTAGAGATATAAAATCAGGATCAAGATCTAGCTTAGAAACAGGTTTGCATCTAGCTTAGGATTTAAGCAACATCATTGAATCTTCAGTAACCAGCTGTCAACCAGAAAACATTACTTTAGTAGCATCATCTATGTTCATTTTCTTATACATTCTGTCATTTCCCAGTGCTGCCGTCCTAAATATGTATAAAGTGGACATTCATACCTGGTTCTCAGTCGGTTTCCGAAAAATATAGATCAAAACCTGTTTCAGCAAAGACAGAGAGAAAGTGTCGTTTGGAGGAAGTGTACAAGTCACATGGGACAGTCAAACTCAAGATGTGCAAGCATTAGTGCATACATGGGGCTTCTGCTGTCACACACTCTTCACTTCCTGAGGCCTGTGACAACAGTTTCAGACAAGATGGCCGCAGCTGTTAGAGCTCACAAGAACAGATGAAAGCATATCAGCATGTCAGCCTGATATGATGATCAGATCATTATATATGTGTGTGTGTGTGTGTGTGTGTGTAAATATGTAATGATGATTTTAATCTTTCTTTGTATCTTTTCTTTTTTACTTTCTCTCTTAAGTCAAACCCACTTTCCGTTTCAACTGTCTGAGGGTGTACATTTAAATATATCTTTTGGTGCATCATAACCCTATCTGGCTCAGTTCAAAAACAGGAAACAGAATAATAGCATGTGGTTTGAAGCCCATCTCCCCTTCTCAGTCTTTGTGATTTTTCAGTAAAATAAAATAATAATAATTAAAAAATAAAATAAAAAATAATAAAATGGGGACCCACATCATATCAGAGCAGAATACCTTGGAGATTTGGGTCTCCTAATTATTATAATAAGAATAACAATAATAATAATAATAATAATAATAATAAGAAGAAGAAGAAGAAGAAGAAGAAGAAGAAGAAGATGAAGAAGAAATATTTAGAATTATTATTATATTAATTAAAAGATTTCTAGATTTCCAGAAATGTTTCTATAAATGTTTGCTGCATTAATGTCAAATAGCCAGCGCAGTTTCTTCTCTTTAGAGATGCAGTGTAGTACAATATAAGCACCTCTATCAAACGTAATAGTGAAAATCCTTTATTTCATAATTTATTCAAAGGAAATATTCTGTATATTTTAACAGAAAAATCTGGTTGTTTTTTAAAGCTGTAATTACATTGAATGCAGAACACACTTAGGCCACTAGATGGAGAAATGCATTAAAATAGAAAGAAACAAAACATTTAATAATGTTCTAAGCAATATAAAATACATTATAATACAACCAACCTTTTTAACAATATGTCATCATTTCTGTATATTTCTGCATCCATACAACCAATAAATATTAAAGCAAGTTTACTAGAGCTGGACAAATCCACGGTCCACAACATCCACATGCAGAACCTTAATCCAGCCACTAGATGACACTCTCACAGAACGAAGATCTCACAGACCATAGCCTTTTATATAGGCCTAAGTTCATTTTCTAGTTTTACTATTAATATTTTATTTAAAAAAAATAATCTATAATAAATTGAGAGGGACACACTGTTAAGACCAGACGAGAGAATTTCTCTTATTGGACTGGGGAAGAAAATATACATGATAACTGGTTATAAAATTGCCATTTTGTCTTAAATTATCAAGAAAATTTGATTACTTGTGACATGATCACGTGATATAGAACGGCTTCCTAAAATTTCCTCACGCAGGATTGCAGTAAACAGCCTAAGTAGGCTATGTGAGGTTACGTGATAGGCTATGTAGAGTAAATGTAGTCCATAAAGTAGTATTGATTATTTGGAAAAAAAATGGCTGATCGACCTTGCTTTAGAGGGAAGGGGGGTCTCAATGATATCCTGGTTACTTCATAGGCAAAGAACTGGATGAAAACTAAAATAGAAGACATGCAATTTTTCAGATAACAGATTCATCATATTATTATATGTATTAATGTTTTTTTATATATAAATTAAGTTTGGTGATGCATGCCCTTATTTTGAATCTGGATTTCATTTTTTATCGTTAAATCGTTATTAAGACCTGTATTAATCATATTGGCAAACTTTCCACTTTAAAGAATGAAAGTGTGGACATGAGCTAATGTTTCAGTGTGCAGGAGGTGCGGGACAGATTTTCAGAAAGAGAATTAGAGACAGGAATGTGCTGGAGTTCACAAACAATGTCAGATTGTATTACGGCCGCAGGGGCGTCACCCTGTGAGTGAGGTGCTGTGTGCGAGTGGGGTTAATCCACTGTTTATGAAACACAGAGGGTGAATAGCCGGCCTGGTCACACTCAAACTCCACTGCTGTGTGATGTATGTTTGCTCTGTCACTTCATCTTAGAGAGAGAGGACGGGTAAAAGACCGAGAAAGAGAAGAGCTTTTTATCTTTCCCTTTAACAAGGACAGGTGAACAGAATCTTTAAGCCCGTCGATAAACAAGCAACTTTTGAGACAAAGCTGTGAGCAAATAAAAAGAGAGCGGTTTCAGAGGACATCTTTCATCATGAATACCTTGAGAGGTGTTTAGGTCTAAGGCCGAGGCCCGGTGGTGTGGTCCGACCTCTTTCCTTGTCTCCGCCGGGGCAGATGGCAAGTGCACTCGGTTCCCATGTCTGAGTCTAGATTAAACCCTGAACCAGAGGTGTGTTAATCCCAAACAGCACCTAACAATGACAGAACTGGGGCTCTTTGATCAGACAAAGAGAAAGAGAGAGAGATTGAGTAGAAGAGGGGGTTGAGAAACACAGGGATGGGATGGAAAATAAAGGGCTCAAGTAATAATAATTGCTACAAGATGGTAAAATCTCAGCAGTGTATATTGTACATACCTAAAGATATATTCAAAAAGCCTAAACGCTTACCGAAATCCTAAACTGAAAACTGTTCCTTTTATTATGAACCAAGTTGCATCTAATAGTTGTACAATATCTTAATACTTCAGTATTCAGCTATTCAACAAGGATGCATTAACCAAATGTGAAAGCAAAATGTTTCTAAAAAGTTTCTATGCATAAAAGAATCCTAAAAATATTGAGCTGCACAACTGCTAAGAAGAAGAAATTAATAAATTACATTTTAATATATATATTCACATAAGTTATTTTAAATGAGTTTGAAAATGTCCAAACTGAGTTGTGAGGGCATTTAACGTGGTCATCAATATTGTCTTAATAAAGACAATGCCACAGCATTAAATCTAGGCCAGGCTATAGACATATTTGTGTGAGGTTAGGTTGAATCATCAGTGGTGTGTGTTTAAGGGCTTATAAGGAAGCATAAATGAAGAGAACTGTTATTTCAATAGCAGGAAATGGAGCCCTCAGTGAGTACAGACATAACTATGAGGTACGGCGTGAGAAACTCTTGTTCACAAAACTCACACATTTAATGCCACCCCATTAGCATACAGTACATAAATATATCCATGAATATATCGAGAATACTGATCTGCTCCAAAAATATCTATGCAGTGACAGAAACGCATTAAATTTTATCAAAAATAAATGTGTAAAACTATAGGCCAGATTACAGAGTTAAATGTTTCAAATATCCAAGGTGTGAAACCATCGTCAGACTGACAGAGTGACACTGGTTAACCACTAGAGGGCAGCAAAGGGCAGAACACACGAATACAGTCAGATGGGTGAAATGGATTTATATTGGTGTGTGTGTACGTGTGAATTTTATGTGCAAGTCAGAGATCATAAATGTGTTTTTTGTTAATATCCTGCCTTGTCAGGTTCACTTTTACTCTGAGTCACTCTGTTGAGTCTCTTTTCACTTTAACATGAAAAGACAAAGTGTAAAACACACACACACATATATATATATTTGTGCTCAGGTTGGAGTCCATTAAAGCTGCAGCGCCCACTCTAGTAGACGTCCAGTGTGACAGCGAGGTCACAAAAGGTCAAATCTCCTCAATGCAGCTCATCTTGTCACAGAAGCAAACTTCTGCCTCTGACCCCCCGAAAGCTTTGGCCTCTGACCTCATGTTCTTAGGACTCTTTTTTTTCTTCCTTTCATTATGAGCGACCAAACAAAGGCGTTCTCTAATCATTGTCCGACAGACAGGACAGGAGGTAAAAAGATATTATTATCTACTTAAAAGGGCTTTATTCAGCTATCATATGACCAAAAACATGGAGCTAAGCGTGGACTGCATAGTTGCGTGCATATGCAATGAAACCAGTGAAAGAGTGTTCATATAGTTGCTCCACGTTTTTTTTTTTAAGGGCAATTTTCACATATTAAGCATTTATGTCGATAGATTAAATTAAGTAAATAGCCTAATTACTAATTTTTTTTTCTAAAAAAATTGTAAATTGTTTAAATAAGTATTTTACTTGACTAACATGATGTAATTGTGTTAAATCAATCAGTGTTTAATGGACTAAAAATAAAATGCAACAAAAAAAAATGAAGGCAAAGTTTATGATATTATGATATATTTATGTCATGGTATAACAAATTCATATTATAATTTACTTTACTAAAATGTAAAATGCATATAAAATACATATACAAAATCAATTATGTAGGACTATCAAATAAATATAATCAAAACTTATGTTTATTACTTGTTTATAATACAACTATTAATTGACTATTAACAGATTTAAGCGGTACAGTAACTGCTGTGCCATATGAAAATAAATTCTGATTTGGTTACAATGTGTTCTTAATCCAGGGTCTTTATAATTAAACTATAGCGATCTCATCTCATGCACTTTCCTTGCCAAGTGCAGGCCGCATAGTAAGCACTCCTAAAAAAAAAAGTTGTGTTTTTAAATGACAACCTTCATGTTACTTTTACTTTGTCATTCATACAATAGAAAATGCAAATGTAACATTAATCTCCAGTAGTGTGATTTTTCCTCTCTGCTATCCTGTGATGTATCGATGTTCCAATGTAAAGCACTTTTAGACTGGTTACAAAACAAAGACTACAGACAAAAATAACATAAAATACATAATACATAAACACACACACACACACACACACATAAATAAAAAAATAACACTGATTGGGGAAAAAAACAATCTAATACTATCACTGTATCATGGTGCCTCTCATTACTTTTTGTAAGGGTTTTATTATGTTTTTTTTTTTTTCTGTTCTGCCCCACAAAGCAAAAGGCGGTAACTACGCAGAGTGCAGAACTGAGAAAAATGACTTTCAGGGCTTTTTGCAGTTACTGTACAAACGACTACCATTTTTCTCCAAAACGACACACATTTTGTCACATATATAACAAAGGATGCCTTGAATTGAAAATGAAAATGATAATAATTAATGTTTGGCCAAAACTGCA